GAGGAGCATGGTCGAAGGAAAGGAAGGTGGTTTTATGAGAACATGTAAGAAAGGCCCCTGATGCAGACTGGGGGGTGGGCAGCGGGTAGACTTTGAGAAAGTGTAGTTTGAGCTGAGACCTGAAGGCTGCCCAGGACGTGGATAGATGAAGGGGACAGAAGGGAAAGCTTTCACAATTGGGGGGACCAGCATGTGCAAAGCTCCTACCATGGGGGGCTGCCTGGCAGGTTCAAGGGACTGAGACCTGATGGCGTGGGGTGAGCGATGGGAAGTTAGGGAAGAACAGGTGGGGGAGTCATCATGAGGCTGGGGGCAAACTCTGCGGAGCCCTGTCAGCCTTGTTGATGATTCTGAGTTTTGACCTGGAGCATGGGGCTGCCACAATGGGTTTTAAACAGTGGCATGTCGGGGTCAGAGTCGTGCTTTGAAAAGTTCATTCCGCTGCTGCTGTCTGGAGACTGGACAGAGTGAAAGCAGGGAGACCAGTTGAAATAGCCCAGAGACACACGGTGCCTTGGACTAGGGTGATAGTAGTGGAGCAGGAGAAAGATGGATGGAGCTAAGAAAGGATGGGGAGCCCTGGCCAGGTTTGCTAAGTGGTTAGAGCATCGGCCTGCGGACCAAAGGGTCTCGGGTTCAATTCCCGGTCAAAGGCACGTACCTCGGTCGCAGTTCGGTCCCCAGCCCCAGTCAGGGCTGTGTGGGAGGCAACGAGTCGATGTGTCTCTCTCACATCAATGTTTCTCTCTTTCTCTCCTTCCAACTCTCTCTTTAAAAATCAATGGAAAAATATCCTCAAGTGAGGATTAACAGTAACAAAAAAAAGTATGGGGAGGTGAATTGATAGGTTGTGGTGGTTGGTTAAGGGAGAGGGAGGAGTCAAGGGTGAGACTTTGGGCGAGTGTCCATTCTGGAGGAGAGGGTGTTGAGTTTGCCTTCGGAGGAAGTGGTGATGTGGAGTAGACGGGTGATCGGGATCCGCCCCTCTGAGCTGGCTCGTCACTGGGCCTCAGCAAGGTGTGTGTGGCGGGCGCAGATGTCAAGGGAAAGAGCATGTGTGAGAAAAGAAGGGGTGTTTCCTCAGACCGGGTCGTCAGCCGCTGAAGGACAGGGCTCTGGGGGAAGGAGTCACTTCCACTGGCGGGGTGGTGGATATTTCTCTCACTTCTCCGTCTCTTCCTGCTCACCATTATCCTAGCGCAGGTTTCGTTACGTCTGCCCTGGACGCAGCGAGAGCCTGCTAACTCATTGCTTCTCAAATTTCAGTGTGCACCCAAGCAGCTGGGGGTCTTGAGAAAACGCAGCTTCTGGTAAATAGGCCTGGGCTGAAGCTCCCGGGTGATGCGGACCACGGTGTGAGCGGTGCGGGGAGGTGGTTGCCCTGGGCCCGAAGCGCCTGAGGGTCCCTTACACTGGAATCCTCAGCCTCCGCTCAGAAGCCTCAGTGGCCATTCACAGATCACGCAGAACTTCCCACTGCGTCCCTTCATCCACGCTTAATGCCACCAAGCCAAACGCCTCGCTCGGAACTTGTCTGTCTCCTTAGTTGTTCAGAAAGGGTCAGAGACCAACTGAGGCTAGCCTTCAGTTGGAAGGAGACTGCTGCTGTGTCTTTGAAGTTTTCTGCTTAAAAGCCCCCAGAAGCCCTGGCCGGTTTTGCTCAGTGGTTAGAGCATCGGCCCGCAAAACAATGAGTCGCGAGTTCAATTCCGGGCAAGGGCACGTACCTCGGTTGTTGTTCATCCTCGGCCCTGGTTAGGATCCTGCTACTAGTCGATGTGTCCCTCTCACATCGATGTTTCTCTCTCTCTCTCTCTCTCACTCTATCTGAAGATAAATAGAAAAATATCCTCAGGTGAGAATTTTAAAAATAATAAATAAAATAAAAGCCCCCAGCAAAGGATATTGTAAAACTTTATACTCCTTCATACATGTTTAAGCTTACATCTACATTTTTAATCATAATTCATAGAAGATGCAACTCTCAGTATTTTATATATATGGATTTTTTTTTTCTTTTAGAGAGAGAGAGAGAGAGAGAGAGAGAAACATCGATGAGAGAGAACATCAATTGGCCGCCTCCTGCATGCCCCTCACTGGGGATCAGGCCCACAACCCGGGCGTGTGCCCTGACTGGGAATCGAACTGGCGACCTCTTGGTGCGTGGGTCGACGCTCAGCCACTGAGCCACACCAGCTGGGCTGCATTGATATTTTTAAGGAAAACTATTCCATCACTGTTACCAGTTTACCCAGTGGAATGTGAACACCGTGGCATTCTGACCCCCACCATTCCCCATCGTAAAAAGGTGTGGAGACGCTCTTTGTGAACAGTCGGTGCTCTCGGCTCCTCTGCGCCTGGGAATCTTACTTCCGTTGCAGTTCCCCCATGGACTTTTACCCTGATGTAATATATGTAATATATTTTTATGCTTAAAACTCTTTTATTTGTTTGCCTATCATATTTCTCTGTAACAATTTTACATGAAGTTAAAACTTTTTTAATTTCCTGAAGTCATAAAGCTCTAAGTATTAAACTTTTCTTCTAGTTTGAGTTATTGTTATCATTATTAATAGCGTACAGTTGATCAGAACAACACAGATGTATTACTAATATGAATAAATAATTAATAAGCATAGAAATGAAAATTATATTGAAAATGCATCTCATTCTGAGATGGTGAGGCCGTTTGATTTTTTTTTTTTCTAAATAATTTTTTTATTCCACAAGTATTTTGAATTTAATTGTATTGAATGCTAGCAGAAGTCCATGGAACAAGTAATGCAATAGATTCTGGGGCAAGAACATCTATTAGAAGTGATAGGGTTATACTTGAATAATGTTCAGCAGTTGGCCAAGTGAGGAAAGAAAGAAAGAACATTTCAGACAGAGGGAGCAGCATGATGGGAGACGGGCCTAAGTGGGATAAGACGGTTAGCCCACAGAAACAAAAGAAATTTTGTTATTGACATACAATAGACACGCCTGTAGTGACCAGGTCGGCTTGTACAGTTTGAGTTATCACATGGAGAGCATACCCATGCAGTTACCACCCGGGTCCAGAAATAGAACTGTGCTGCTACTCGATTATTTCTTCAATTTGTTTATTTATCCAAGGATGAATATTATTTATTGCATGAGACGTGCGACAAGGATCAGCATCGATTCTTTCCATTTTTCACTTACATGCACTGAAAACCCTCACTCACATGAACTAGTAGATAGAAATAAACTTTTGATAAAGCAGGATCACTCGGTTCTTGGCCTGCTTCTGAGGTATATGCCAAACATCACATAGTACAATTTCATTTTAATTACTTCTGTTTGGCCTTCCTAATAAAAAAAGAATTGGAAATCATCCAGCCTGCGAAAAAAGAGATTTACTACGCATTTATTGGAGTTGCTTGCTTTCTCGGTATTCTGAGTGTCTTCTTGTGTGGTGGCCAGGAGCTTAGTCCCTGGGCGGTAAACCCAGCTAAGATTTGGATGGGATGGGTAAAAGGTTTGCCTTTCTTTTGTGAAGGAGGAGGGCTGTTGTAGAAGAGCAGGGATAAGAACAGCTCACACCTCCATTACCCATCGGTTCTAGAAAAGAGTCTCTGTGGACGCTGAGGATCTGGAAATTGATTCTCTTAAAACTTTAAGTGGGTGTGTAGCACTTGGACGGTCTTCATTTCCTCCCAGGGGTTTGCATACTCCAGTTTAAAGTCCACGAAAGAACCTGAATGGACTCAAACCAGACTAGACCATTCTCTCCAGATTGCCTAGTTCATGTTTCTAAGAGGGAATCTGATGGCCCAGCCTATTTTTTTGGGCCAGGCCACATCATAGGCTTCTGGCCAGGTGGTCAGCCCCTTGCGCAGATGTTTCCCTGAGCAGGGACCACAAGGAAACATGTAACTATGTTGACCTAGCAGGCAAACTATTAAGTACAGTACTCATTTAAACTGGCTCCAATTCTGTTCTGCTAGGAATATGCTCTCTAGTCTATGAGGTCCCACATTGTGATTTTTACCTTTCATTTATTTATTTTTATTTTTTTAAATTTTTTTTCTTTATTGATTTTTAGAGAGAGAGAAAGGGAGAAGGAGAGATCGATAGAAACATTGATGAGAGGGAACATCGATTGACCACCTCTTGCATGCCCTCCACTAGGGATCCGGCCCGCAACCTGGGCATGTGCCCTGACTGGGAATCGAACCAGCGACCTCTTGGTGCATGGGTCGATGCTCAACCACTGAGCCACACTGGCCAACTCATTTACTTTTTTAAATATGTTTTCATAATAATTTTTTTTTTAGAGAGAGAGAGAGGAAAGAAGAGATGGAAACGTTGATGTGAGAAACATTGATCAGCTGCCTCCTGCACGCCCCCTACTGGGGATCGAGCCCACAACCCCAGCATGTGCTCTAACTGGGAATTGAACAGGGACCTCTCAGTCCATGGGACACTGCTCAACCCAACCATACCAGCTGGGCTGGTTTTTACCTTACATGCATCTCTTTCCTCCTTACATTGTTGTACTTATTCATGGACCCATCATCTTTTCTAACCATAATCTCCTCAACAGCAGGCCCATGTCTTAATCATTTTCTAGCGTTGTGTCTTACACTTAGTAGGTGTCTAATAAGTATTTGTTGAGCAGATAAATTGATTAATGAATGTCTTAAACTTCTTCATGTCTCCTTCAGATCCTAGAGTAGTGCTGGGCTTTCAGTAAGTAGCAGGGTCCCAGAAGAACGGATGAATTCATTCATCAGTGAGAAAAACAATGAATTAACAAATCAATGAACTAATGAGCCATTGGATAATGAATGGCTTGAAAGTGAGGGTCAAGATTTGAAGAATCAGTGTAAAGGGTGTGATGTGTATGTGTGTGTGACACTATGTCTAATCGAGTCTCCTGCTTGTGTTTATTTCTATAATGGGTCATAATAGGTATAATTGCTCATTGCAGAACATCCATGTAAGTCTTCCTGTTCTCTACATCTGTCTTGCAGGTGTGAGCAGCATCTCTTCACCACGGTGGTGTTTGGCCCGTACCTCAGCCCGGGTGGGGACGTCAAACCCCCGGCTCTGCACATGAGTGGGATAGGCCAACAGGAACACCTGGCTCCAGCCACGGTCACAGACATGTCAGCCGTGGAGTAGCGTGGACCCTTCTTCTCACCTTCTCAGGGTTTCAGTCCTTTTGGGTTTGTTTCACTGACCTTTTTTTATGGTTTTGTGGCTGGACATTCATGAGCGAGGCAGGCAGCATGGGGGATCAGCAGCTGTACAAGACCAACCACGTGGCCCACGGCGGTGAGAACCTTTTCTACCAACAGCCAGCACTCAGCGTGCATGGTGGGCTGAACCACAACTATGGGAATACAGTCACAGGGGCTGGAATGGATGCCCCTCAGGCATCACCCATTTCCCCCCACTTCCCTCAAGATACTCGGGATGCTCTAGGCTTGCCAGTGGGCTCCAAAAACCTTGGCCAAGTGGATACCTCGAGGCAGGGAGGGTGGGGTGGCCATGGAGGGCCTGGAAACCACGTCCAACTCCGTGGCAACCTGACCAACTCAAACATGATGTGGGGGGCACCAGCCCAGGCTGAGCCCCCCGATGGCTACCAATACACCTACTCCCAGGCCAGCGAGATCCGGACCCAGAAACTCACCAGCGGTGTCCTGCACAAGCTAGACTCTTTCACCCAGGTATTTGCCAACCAAAACCTGCGGATTCAGGTCAACAACATGGCCCAGGTGCTGCACACCCAGTCAGCAGTGATGGATGGAGCCCCCGACAGTGCCCTTCGCCAGCTGCTGTCCCAGAAGCCCGTGGAGCCCCCAGCACAGTCTGTCCCTTCCCGCTACCAGCAGGTGCCCCAGCAGCCTCACCCCGGTTTCACTGGTGGGCTGTCCAAATCAGCTCTTCAGGTCGGGCAGCACCCTAGCCAAGGGCACCTGTATTACGACTACCAGCAGCCGCTGGCTCAGATGCCAGTGCAGGGAGGACAGCCACTGCAGGGCCCACAGATGCTGCCCCAGCACATGCAGCAGATGCAGCAGCACCAGTATTACCCACAGCAGCAACAGCAGCAAGCTGGGCAGCAGCGTGTGTCCATGCAAGAAATGCAGCCGCAGCCGCAGATTCGCCCGTCTCAGCTTCAGCTTCAGCAGCAACAGCAGCAGCAGCAGCGGCAGGGTTCAATGCAGATACCTCAGTATTATCAGTCCCCACCCATGATGCAGCACTTGCAAGAGCAGCAGCAACAACAAATGCACCTGCAGCCCCCTTCGTATCACCGGGACCCCCACCAGTACACCCCGGAGCAGGCGCACGCTGTGCAGCTGATTCAGCTGGGCTCCATGCCCCAGTACTACTACCAGGAGCCCCAGCAGCCCTACAGCCACCCCCTCTACCAGCAGAGCCACCTGTCCCAGCACCAGCAGCGTGAGGACAGTCAGCCCAAGACTTATCCAAGCGACAGGGAGGCCCAGGCCATGCTGAGTGCCCACGGGGACCTGGGGCCATCTGATACAGGAATGGGTGACCCAGCAAGCTTGGACCTGAATCGGGTCAGCAGTGCCCTCCCCCATCGGCCGCTCTTGTCCCCCAGTGGGATCCACCTCAACAACGTGGGGCCCCAGCACCAGCAGCTGTCTCCCAGTGCCATGTGGCCCCAGGTATTCTCACATGGAAGTTCCTCCTTCTGTCTCAGCTGCAGGGCCAGCCAGGGCTGAGTCTACGCAGTGCCCAGTCCTCTCTCCAACCTTCAATCTTTTTTAGTCATTCCACAAACCTTCACCTACATGTGCCAGACACTATGTCAGGTGCTTGGATCACACACACAGTCAAGTTTGACTCAGTCCTTTGCCCATAGAGCTTGTAATCTCACTAAGAAAATGGCCAAAACTCCATATCAGATCCTGTAATGTAATGACTAAGACCTTGAGTCAGGTGCCGGGGGACAACATGGTGGGAGTGTCTGGTTCCCCCTGGGTCTGTCCTCGGGGTATATTCCCCATTTGGGAGGGAGACCACATTATGACAGCATTTCTCAACGTATATTAGAACAGGAGTTCCATGGAATGTTTAATGTTTAATGGATATTGCTGGGGGTGGGTGTTCTGTGCATGATAAACTTGGGGTTTCTTAAAGCGAACTGGGTTGCAATGCTGCAGGGCTTCTCAGTGCCTTTAAAATGCTAATGTGCACTGTGACTCTCCCAAAGGGGAGACCACATGTAGTTGCAGAGATGAAAACCTTAGCTGCCTGCAGGTCCAGGCAGGTAAAGGTAATAAGTAGAATGGGCTGGCAAGAGACAATAGTGAGTGGCCAGTGACTAATGGCACTCTTGAATTCAAGATTTTAAAAAAACAAAAACCTTCTAGCCAAACAAAACAGGTCCATGGGCCAGATGTAGCCTATAGGCCACAGTTAGTAAACCTTGCTTGTTTCCCAAATGTATTTAACCACAAAACAGCCTGCTGCGCTGGATATTATTCATGCTCTGGCATATTTGATTGTTGCACTCAAATGCCAGTGTGGTCAGGGGAGGAGGGGACCCTAAATTAGGACCAGGTTAGATGACAAGAGGGCTCTGATGGATGTTGAAGTCCAGAGATGAACTCCCCTTGATTCCGTTTTGTTTGGGGCTTGGGCGCAGTGGTAACTGAGAACCTTTGTGATATAAGAATAAGGTGACATGGTCAAGTCTGGGAAAGAATTTCAGCAGATCTCTGGACATGCTGCTGCTTCCTGCGGGAATGGGGCCTGTCTGCAGAGTGGGGGATTGAGTCCGGCTGGGCTGGGGGCTGGGGGCAGCTCCTAGAGTGGGCCGTGCCCCCAGGTGAGGGAGCAGTCAAGAGAACGAAGTCTCGGGTGTGCAACAGCGCGGTGTGAGCAGCTGTGAGCACAGTCAGTGGCAGGCGGAGAGCGGGCAGAGTCCGGGAAGTGCGGCCCCGGGGTTCCTCCTCCCAGCAAAAACACGTATTTTTTCTCTTCTTTCTTTCGGTGTCCTGCATGACTCAAAATTAGATGCACCTACCTGATGGCAGAGCCCAGCCAGGGTCCCCTGAGTCAAGGTAGGATGGATGCAAGGCGGCTTGTTGGCATTTTGGGCGACTGGGGGGTTTTCCTGTGTTGTCTCATGATTCATTTCCAGATTCAAAGTCAATTCCTCAAAGAAGTTGATAGGAATAATAATGATAGCAGCTAGTGTGTTTGAGGGCTTCCTGTGTGCCGGGCACTGTATATTGTGTGTAATAACTCACCCAGTGAGTGTGGGCACGATTACCATGTACCTAGCTAGACACAGTGAACACTCAGCCATTGTTAGCTATTATTGTTATTTTAAAAACGTATAAACTGAGGCTCAGAGAGCTTAAAGTTGCACATCAGGTAGGCAGCAAAGCCTGTGTTCTGCCCACTGTCCGTTTACCCAGTATTTACTGAGTACCTGCTGTGTACCGGGCATAGAGCTAAGCTTTGAGAATGCCAGTGAATAGTTCAGACTGGTTTCCTCCCCTCTTGGGCAGAGTGTATGATTAAAGACTTAGCCAGAACTGATAAAGTGCTAAAAATGTGCAGTCTGGAAGCTGAACTAGAGGACTTAGACACGCATCTCTAAAGGAAGTTTCTGGAAGAAGTGTGCCCAAGCTGACCCTAGAAACGTAATAAGCTGTCGGTGGGAAAACCCAGCCCCTGAAGGCCTGGAATGGAGAAGGACGTTTTGTTCAACTCTTGCGTGACTCTGAACAAGCCCTTTCCCACTCTTGAGCCTCAGTTTTCCATCTGTAAATTGGGCTTAGTTCTCTGAGGGGTATTGGGGAGATACAGTTGGGGCCATGGACCTGGGGGCACTGAATGAATCAAACAGGTTCATTGTCAGGTGTGAGGTCTTGAGAGAAATCACTGTTTCCATGCCTCATGTATATGTCCTCTCCATTGGCCCTCCCCCGGAGCAGCGGCCAACCGAAAGGAGCATTTGGGGAGCAGGTGGATGCCAAGAACAAGCTGACGTGCTCCATCTGCCTGAAGGAATTCAAGAGCCTGCCTGCCCTGAATGGCCACATGAGGTCCCACGGGGGAATGAGGGCCTCCCCCAGCCTCAAACAGGTTAGCCGGAGCCAACCCCTGTGCTTCCCAAGCCATGTGCTGCTTGCTTTGCTTTGCTGCCGTCAGACAGTGAGGTGAGCCCTGCGCGGGCACCCGGGGGGCACAGTCCCTCCCGAACGGGAATGCTTACACTTAGACGCTGGGAGCCGGTCAGGTCAAACAGTCCCACCTCCACTGGTCTCGTGAATGAGAGTCAGAAACAGAAGTGCTAGGAATCCTTTCAGGGCGTCCCAGCCTCCCCACCTCCTGGGGAAGATGGCCAAGAAAACGCAATTTGACTTTTAACGTCTGCTGCTTGAAGCAGCCAAAACCAAGGTCACTTGGGCCTTCCAGATCGGTAGTCGATGGCCAGCATGTGACCCTCAGGCTGTCAGCCAGCATCTTGTACTCACCAGTGCACTGGTGTTAGAGTCCAGCGTCCAAAGATCTTGAAGTACCCTTAGGATTATCCAGGGGGGATATCCATGTCGTGAACTACCCCCTCAGTTTTAGAGGTAGATTAAAATTCAAAGAATTTTCTGAATTCTTTGAACATTGTTGAGATTCATTTAAGTCTATGAGATTAACTCTGTTCCCCCAAATTTTCAGTCACTTCATCTCCTGACCATGCCAGATAAAAGCTTTGTCTTCCATTTAGCAGATGAGTAAACTGAGGCCCATAGAATTCAAAGGTCCTACACAAGAGTTTGGTGTGTGTTTTTTGCCTGATTACAAGTCCATATTCTCTTCTTTCAAAGCAAAGACAACCACACACAAAATAATTAATATATGTTTTAAAATACACACAATACGTGGTCAGGATTTTTTAAATGTGAACAAGGGAGTCAACGGCCTTGTCCACTGCCCACGAGCATCACTCAAGCCGAGGGACTTGGGTTATAGGAAGAAAACCACCCTGCGGTGGTCCCGTCACCTGCATGATGTCCCGGACCCTGTCAGGAAAAGCAGAGTGTGCCCCCCAGTGACAGCTGCTCTCAGCCCAGGATCAAAGCCTTTATTGTCTGTGTAGGAGGAAGGAGAGAAGGCCCCGCCACCGCAGCCCCAGCCACTGCCGCCTCCACCGCCACCGCAGCTCCCTCCTGAGGCAGAAAGCCTCACGCCTATGGTCATGCCCGTGTCTGTCCCTGTCAAGCTTCTCGTGCCCAAGCCCAGCTCTCAGGGCTTCGCCAACAGCGTCGTTGCCGCCCCCTCCGCCAGAGACAAGCCCGCCAGCTCGATGTCGGACGACGAGATGCCCGTGCTCGTGAGGATGACCCTCTCTCCCCCACATTCACCCCCAGGGGCTGTCCCCTGCACGCCTGCTGTGAGTTGCTGCTCTGCCCCTCATGCCTGGGGTGGGAACATCCCTTTGCTTTCTTAGAGATGGGGACAGCTCTTCCAGGGTCACTGGTCTGAGCTCAGAAATGGGGTGGCCTCTCAGGATGGGCCACCACCTTGGGAATGCCATCCTTGCCCACACTGCCCTCTACCCAGGAAAACCTGTTATTCGGCCAGACTGATGGTCTGGGTTAGATCCTAAGAGACCTGAAGGTGTTCCCAAATTGAAACAGATGATAACTCAGCTGGTAACCACGCTTATTAAAATATGCAAGTACTGATAATAAATAGCTATGGCCTGGGCCCTGGCCCCTCCCCCAGGAGCTCCAGACCTCCCCAAATCCAGCAACCAAAGATGTAGCCCCTGGCATCCATTCTGATGGGCAGCCTTACCAGATGCTTAACATTTTCAGTATCACACCTGCATAAATACCTTTGGAGGACCTAATTGGTTATGGTTCCAAAAGTAATTCCACTAGGAGACACCCATCCCCAGCCTCAGGAAAGCAAAGAGATTTGTGTTTCTCACTCACTGTTAAGTTCTCTTTCTCTTTCTCAAATTCCAAGTGCTTCATCCAGGCAGCTCAGCTTGGCTCTGGAGCAGAGATCGCTCACTCTCTCTCTCTTCTCCTCCCCCCCTCCCCGGGCGTCTGTAACCATGAGGTTGACTATATCAGATTTGATCCCTCCCACAATTGGTTGCTGGGTCATATTTGTCCCTGGATAATAGAAAGCTACTGGGATTCCAGAAGGCATGAGGATGGGGGTGACCAGAATAGGAGGGATAATTAAGAAAACTAGAAAAGTCAAGAAAGCTTTTTTGGTTCTCTGTGTAATATCTACGTCTCAGAAGAGGAGACTGATGGAGAACTCTGGGGGGTGAGGATTCTCATAGCTGGCAGGACTTAAGGCCAGCAACAGGCGGAGAGATGAAGTGATGACCAAGCGCCCTCTTTGCTCAGGGAAGCTCCTGGTTGGGTGGGAGAGGCACTGTTTCTGCCCTTGGATCACTCTCAGCCTGAAGCTGGAGACAGTAAGGTTTCTAGTCACACAGGGCAGAGCCCCAAGCAGCACCCTGCCCCAGTTCAAGACAGTGGGTTAAAGACCAGGGCAGATGAGAAATAGGGAAGCCGTGGGTGGCGGGGAATACACCTGGGTAGCTAGAGTGGTTAGAGGCTGGCAAGGGTTTGGTATGAGTTGGCTCAGATCATCATGAGGGCAGTTCTGAGCAGTGTTTTGAAGGCAGAAACGAACTTGGCTTTGTGGAAAGGGTGAAGAGACATCGTACGTGGGGAGAGCAGCTGAAGTGGAAGCATGTAGGTGGTACTGAGCAAATGTGAGCAAGGTCCTGACATTTGATATCAAGAAAGGAACGTGTCCTGGGAGGAGTCCTGAGTTCTAGTCTCAACTCTGCTCCCAGCTGGGATGTAGGCAGCGGAGGCTCCCCCACCCCCAGATCCTCCGTTTCTCCCCTGACCTTCACGGGGTGGAGAGCTTCTGAAACCTCTTAGTGCGTGGCCCCGATTCCAGTCTGAATAGCTTGGTGGGAGTGGAACACTGTAAGTGCTTCCTCTCAGGTGGCATCAGGTCTGACATGGGTGGCTCCCTTGGCCCAGGGTCAGAGCCTCGCCTGGAGAACAGGACCAAAGGCTCACATAGAGAAGCCCAGGAGGCAGCTTTGGCTCTGTGATCAGAGGTGTGGGTCCTGGTGCCGGATAGAAGTCACAGGAGGTCTGCGTGTGGTCAGATGACCTCATTAGTTACCCAGGAGCAGGGTGTAAAAGTTCAGGATGGCTCCCCAACAAGCATCCTCTCCTCATTCTGCTCAGCACCCCCCTCTACCTCAGCCTCAGGCTGTGAAGAGCCCTCTGATGTGGGGAGGAGGCAGGCTGGGGCTCTCTGACCTCAGGAGAGTCCCCTGGGGATGAGCTGGGAGCCTAGAGGCCCTCTGCCCCTCCTCCTTTCCCCACCTCCTTGCTTCCCTGGACTCCCCCTAAGGGACTGGGGGGACACCAGAGGGCAGGGAAGCTGAGGGAGAAGCAGGAGGGTCCAGCCTGAAGTGCTGAGGGCAGCAGCAGGGGCCCAGAGAGCCAGGAGCCCAGAACTGGGGGACTGGGCAGGTCACATGACCTGAAGGCAGTTGGTCACATGACCATGGCCAGTCCTTCCCATCAGCCCCTGCTGCCTTCTACTCAGGCACCACCCTGGGCTCAGGAATTGCCAGGGGCTGCAGCTGGGACAGGCACTGGCCTGCAGGACCTGGGAGGGTACCACAGGCCGCCCAGACCTCTCTGCAGGTATCTCCACTGTCCCTCCCAACCTCACCACTGCCTGTCCAGCCGCACCCAGCTCTTGGATTTTCTGGGCTGACGCTGGCACACAACCCAAGTCTGTCTGTCCGGCTTTGGCATGCCCTGCTTATCTATTGACGTGCATCTGTTTACTTACTACTCTCTGTGTCCGGGTGGCAGACCCTCCAGACGGGGCTTGGTTCTGCTGCCCCTGTAAACCACCCCGCCGACAGGAAGCCGCTGCAGGGAGGGCTTGCTCCGAGGGCGCCGAGGGCTGGGGCATCGGGAGGCGCCGAGGGGCTGAGCAGGGCCCCTTGGAGGAGGGCGCACGAAGTGGGCCCCGGAGACCGCAGAGGGCTCCCCCTCAGCCCCAGTTGCCTCCGAGGAGAGCCCAGGGTGGGTCCCTGGCCCAGGGAGCCGTGGCGGGCCTGCCCCCGCGTGCCCCACAGCGCCTGCCCAGCTGGCCCGGACAGGCTGCGCGTCCCGTCCCGGGGATGTTATCGGCCCCGCTGTCTGTCCTCGGGAGCAGCGGGAATTAAAGGGCCCACTCGGCCGGATTCCACACCGCAGATGGGAATGCAGCGATAAGGGGAAGAATGTGACTCGGTTCCCCTCGCCCACCCCTTCCGCCCACCCGCTCCCTCCAGACGGGACAGCCTCCCAGGCCCAGGGTGCTCCCCGAGGCCGGCGAGGGCGTGGCCGGGCAGGCGGGGTCCGCACCCTGCGCCCCTGTGCTGTGGGGCCCGCATCTGAGCCGCTCGCCCCCGTTTCAGGAGACGCCCAGGAGGCTCCAGCCTGGCGCCAAAGCTGAGGAGCCCCTCAAGGCCGAGAAGAAGAAGTTCCGGCACCGGCCCGAGCCGCTCTTCATCCCGCCGCCGCCCTCCTACCACCCCAGCCCCGCCTCCTACTCGGGCGCCACCCTGTACCAGAGCCAGCTGCGCTCCCCGCGCGTCCTGGGGGACCACCTGCTGCTGGACCCCGCCCACGAGCTGCCCCCCTACACGCCCCCGCCCATGCTGAGCCCGGTGCGCCAGGGCTCGGGGCTCTTCAGCAATGTCCTCATCGCGGGCCACGGCCCCGGCGCCCACCCGCAGCTGCCCCTCACGCCCCTGACGCCCACGCCGCGCGTGCTGCTGTGTCGCTCCAGTGAGTCGCCCCTCAGGGCCCGGGGTGGGGGTCGCACTTCCTAGGGTCGGCTGTCATGCCACCGACTTCCGTGCGGGTCGGCTCCGCGGGCCAGGCCCGGTGCTAGGCGGGGACAGGCGGGGACACCCCCCCGGAGCAGAGTCGTCTCGGGAAGTCCACAGCAGGCCGGGTGGGCGAGGTCACCCTCAGCGTGTCCCCACACTCCACGCGGCCCCTGGACGCCGCGGGGGGCTCTGGCCTGGGCGGGGCAGGAGGGCCCCTGAAATGACCGTGCAGCCAACTGTTCTTTGCTCTGGTTCCTTCGGGACCCTCTCCCTGTTGACCGGTGACTCTGGTTTTTGTGCTTCAGACAGCATCGATGGCAGCAATGTGACGGTCACCCCCGGGCCTGGAGAGCAGACTGTTGACGTGGAACCGTAAGCCAAAGCCAGTTTTTCTCTAGAACGAAGCTTCCGCTGAGGAAAGGGACAGGGGCTTGGAGGAGTGCAGTTAGTTCTTCAGGGGTCAGAGCGGCCACTGAGGGAGAAGTAGAAACTGGGGGCTCATGCTGTTTCTGGAGCCCTGTTGCTCTGTTACTGCCGGTGTTTCAAGGCCTTTGCTGAGGACTGAGGGCAGAGGAAAGCATGCAGCCCTGGCTCGTGCTTGATGGGGAACCCAGCGCCCCCATCTGCGGCTTCCTGGGCCACTTGCGTTGTGGTCAAGTGCTTCCACGTCCCCCGTGACACTGAGGCATCTCTCTCAGAGCGCCCGGCTCTACAAGGCTGCTTCCAAATGTCCTTGCGTCCCGCATCCCCTCCCGAGTGTGCTTGGCCCGTCTTCCAAATGGTTTGTTGAGTAGTGGGGGGTGGGGGTATATAGAAGGGAAAGGTGGATATTTGCATGGCTGAGCACAGCAAAGAGGCCCTGTGGTAGAGCGGTGAGCCGACTGAGCCGGAAATCGATAAACCTGAGTCCCAGCACCATTGTGCTATACTGGATCTTTTTTTTTTTTTCCCCTTCCAGGTGATTTTGAGGCTTTGTTTGTTTGTTTATTTGATTTTTAGAGAGAAAGGAAGGGAGAGAGAGATAGAAACATTAATGAGAGGGAACATCGATTGGCCGCCTCCTGCATGCCCCCCACTGGGGATCAGACCCACAACCTGGGCATGTGCCCTGACCGGGAATCGAACCTCCGACCTCTTGGAGTATGGGTCGACGCTCAACCACGGAGCCACACCAGCTGGACTGTGCTACTTGATCTTAATCAAATGAATCTTTGTAGGCTTTAGTTTACTCCTCTATTAAAAGAATAATTTTCACTCCCTTGATTATGTCACAGATCTTTAGTAGTTTCAGAGGCGATGATTTATGTGAAAGTGGTCTGAAAGAGATAAAAAATGAAATAAGCACTTTGTACTTGTCGCATTTCTCCCGGTTATGTGGTATCATCAGCTATGCTCTGGGCAGCTGTTCCCTTGGAATTAGCACCCTCCCTCTCTCAGTCATGAGCAATGGAGCCCCAGCCGACCTCTCCCTTGCTCCTGCAGCCTCTCTCCCCAGTCTGAAAGCTGTTCCTTGTCCCAGTGTAAAGGCCATGCCTGGAATCTTAGGATCACACTGAGGAAATGCCCCTGCATTCTTCTTGCAGAAGGAACTGGTTTTCTTCTTTTGCAAGTTCCTGATAGTTGCCCTTGGCTGCAAATTGAAGACCACACTGTTGTTTTTCTTGTCATTAAAGGCGCATCAACATTGGCTTCAGATTCCAAGCAGAGATCCCAGAACTCCAGGATGTCTCTGCCGTGGCCCAGGACACACACAAGGCCACACTGGTCTGGAAGCCATGGCCAGAGCTAGAAAACCATGACCTCCAGCAAAGAGGTACTGGCATGTGGGAAGAAGTGGGTGGGAAAGGCTGGGTTCTCTCACAGGATCTCTGGCTCCAGGGTCCGTGTGTTTCCATGATACTGAGCTCTGATGCCGTGGCCTCTTGTTCCCCACAGTGGAGAATCTCCTGAATCTGTGCTGTTCAAGTGCGTTGCCAGGCGGAGGGACCAATTCTGAATTTGCTTTGCACTGTCTCTTCGAGGCCAAAGGTGATGTGATGGTAAGGAGCCATGGAAAGGAGTCTTCACGTCAGAATTCTGAAAAGTGTTTCCCCGGGTTTCTGGGTTGGCCCATGTACCATACGACTAATCCATAAAATGGTATCCAGGCAGCGTACCTCCTGTTCCTTCTCAGTGAGTAAGTCAGGATTCAGAAGCCTGCAGGGAAACCTCCAGTGGGACTTCTGTTTACGCCTCTGAGTAATAATTATGAGCACTGTGTCTTGGGAAATTAGACTCACTTTCAGCACTCTTGTGTTTTACATTGTAAAACCTCTCCAAGCGATGGAGGTAGGTCTTCCTGAGACAAGTCTTCGCCTAAAATAGCCTGTCATCCTCTGCCAATCGTTCTTCCCTACTACGGAAACCAGCCAGAGTTGATCACAGAGTCATTTTTTCCCTTAACCAAAACAGAGTGTGCACATCATTCTCCACCTTTGACGCGGTTCTTTGGTCAAACCAGGCCTTTGGTGCCATCTCCCGAGAATCAGAGCTCACCATTTGCCTGCTCAACCTAGACTCCTGGCGCGATCACTCAGAGACTAACTTCGGTTTCCCCTTTAGTAAACACATGATTCTTAAACCAGACCTAGCTTCCTGCCTTTTGATTTCATGAAAATATGAAAGTAAGCAAATGTCCCAATACTACGTTCTCACGAGGTTACTGATACCCTTGAAAGATTTTCTGGAATGTTGGAGAACTCTCCTTAACCCTTCCAGATAGCGTGGAAGAGCCGTGCTTCTTGAACTTTTAACATGCACATGGATCACTCAGGGAATCTGGTTAGAATGCAGGTTCTTTTTGTTGTTGTTGTTAATCCTCACCTGAGGATATGTTTTCCATTGATTTTTAGAGAGAGTGGAAGGGAAGGAGGAGAGAGAGAGAAACATCAATGTGAGAGAGAGACATTGATTAGTTGCCTCCCGTACATACCCTGACTGGAGTTGGGAATCGAACCTGCAACACAGGTATGTGCCATTGATGGGGAATTGAACCCCTGACCCTTCGGTGCAAGGGTTGAAGCTCTAACCATTGAGCAACACCTGCCAGGGCAAAATGCAGGTTCTTACTCAGCAGTTCTGGAGGCAGGGTCCAAGGCTCTGCCTTCCCCACCGGCTCCCAGGAATGCGCATGCTGCTGGTCTGTGGACCACACTTGGAGTAGGAAGATTCTTGCTCTTCCATCCACTCCTCAACTTCACCTGCAGCATTTTCTTTTTAAGTCAACAAGGCTGAAGGAGGCAGTTTTGAAAGGGTGTATTTAGCTAGGCTCTCTGCGAGGACAGTGTCTAGTACTGTTATCAGTAATACAACTGTTGAGGTTCAGTTGTAATGAAACGTGATTTTTCTGCAGAACAGTTACAAGTCATCCACTCACTTCCTCACAATCTTTCCCCAGAGACTCGGCATCCATTTAGAGGAGGCTCCACCATCTCTGAGGCTGGAGCCCTCACCAAGGAGGTTGCAGACATGGGCTGGGGAGGGTTACAATGACGAGCCCTGTTGGGTGCTGACCAGAAAGGAACCCCTAATTAGGGGGGTCTTCCTCTGGTTTTCCTGCTAGTGCACCCAACCCCACGCTCTGCAGTGCCGACCCCTTTGCCCCATTAGGTAGATGGTGTCCTTGGGACACACAGACCCATTACTGACTGTCACCTTTTCTCTCCCATGGGTCTGCAGGCTGCTCTGGACATGCTGCTGCTGCGGAAGCCAGTCAGGTTAAAATGCCATCCTTTAGCCAATTACCACTATGCCGGTAGGTCGCCCGCAGCCCCTCTCCCCGTTGCTCCCTGAGAGCAGGCTGTTTGCGTGTTTGGTTGTGTTGTTTTTTAATCATAGATAGCCCTGTGTCAGTCCTAATCATCGCCTTTGACCTCAAGGCTCCCTGGGCGTGGCTGATGGGGCAGCTGTGTCTGCTGGCTGGGCGCTGCTGGGCGTTTGTCTGTATGGGCTCCTGCCCCTTGTGGGTATGCCAAGAGCCGGTCAGTAGTGGACAGCGCCTGCACTTTGGCAGGGACACCTGTGCGTCTGGGGTAGAGCCACAGAGAGGACAGCACAGAGCAACAACACTCAGCAGCCCTCATTTGGAGCCAGTAGATGTGGATTCAGATCTCACTTGTGCCCTTGGCCTTCTGCAACCTTCATTTTCTCTCCTGCAAAATGCGGCTTATACTCCATCTCTTGCAGTGTTTTGTGAAGATTCAAGATAGTATATATAGCCCAATGCCTGGCATGTTCTAGAGGCCATTATTATTCATGTATCTAAGTTATTTATTGAAGACTTACTGTGTACAGGGACTATGCTAAGCACTGAGATGAAATAGTGACTATGACAGGCGTAGACACAGTCCTGCCTCATGCAGTGTGGAGTCTGAGCAGGAGGCAGCTATTAAACAACAGATCACACGGAGAGCAGAAATGGTACACATATGTATATACACACACGTACACACACCCGAATGTGTCTTGTAAGAGTGTAGATTAATGATGGCATCACCAATAAAAGGGAGGGAGAAGACACCTTTGAGAGTTGAATGGCATGGGAATCATGAAAGAGAAGGAAACAGGTTGGGGAGCCTAAGAGATGACAAATGAAATTGAAGTCAGCATTTTTATTCCCATCAACTGACAAGCCCGTCCATTCTGAGGGTCTCGACAAACCTACCTGGATTCTCTCTTTCAGAGGGGGCTGAATCCTCCAGTGCCCCTTGATTATTCATCGTTTGTATGTATCCTTGGTGCATTGGTCAGACCCTGCGTGGATAGTTGCTAAGTACATTCGTGGGTTTGGGGACCTAGGAATACCTTTTCCAGTCCTTGGTGCAGACGGCCAGGTAGGCCGACGGTGAGGGCTGCTTTCACATACCGGAGCTCTCCCAGTGGGCATCCTGTCCCCACCGCGTCCGCCTCACTTCCCGTGCTCCGCGCCTGCCTACCATCCCAGGGTGGGGAGGTCTAGCCTTTCTGAGCACAGCAAGCCCAGTGCACAGGCCACCACTGGAGCTGGGCAAGGACAAGATAGACACAAGGGATGAGAAATCCATTGTTGAACCAGTGACCCAACGGAGCGGTTTCTTCGTATCGTTTCAATGATTTCCTGCTGGGTGTCTGTTCCTAGTGCAGGTAGGAAGCTGTGGGAATTCTCCCGAATCTGCCAGGGAAACAATTTCATCCTCTTCTAATTGTGAGTGTTCTCTGCCCATGAAACCCTGACGGGCGGTCCAGCCTCCTGGAGCCTGTCTCAAGCATCTTGGCATCGTGGGTGGAGAAGGCGCCTCTGAGCATCCGCTGTGAGATGTGGCTGCTCTGGGCCCTCGGGGTGACGGTGGCCGTGCCCCTAGGCTGGTTAGCTCCAGCTGTGAGCAGCCTCGTGTGAGACCCTCATTCCCTCTAGCTCTTCCCAATGTATCAAACAGATATTGTTATTTTTTTGTGTGACATGACATCAAAAAGGTTAGAAAGCTGAGGACTAGAAGCTACCCCCCACCCCAAACAAAAACACTAAAGTGATACCAAGAACTTTGAAATTAGAGGGCCCTAAACTCTGCTAAAATGAATTGATCTATTGGCGGTGGGGGTTCCTAGCTAACCCTAACCCACCCCTACCCCTTTCAGCCAGGCAGACCAGGAGGGACTGTGGCTTCCTGGAGTCGCTTCTATTCTTGGAGGCAAGAGAGGTGGAGCTGAGGAGGGAAGGGTTGGCATCTTGCTGGCCGTGTGTCCCCAAGAAAAGAGTGCTCACCGATGAAGTGATCACAGACTGGGCCCCAGAGAATCTTCTAGAATTATGAGCAAAAAGGGCAGAGGTCACTGGTCTCTAAAGTCTGACCTGATCCCATCTCCTTAACATTTTCCTTCCAAGCCACAGGGGAGGCATAGAATTTACCCCATCACATGCCCCAGCTACCAGCCACTCCCTCCTCACCCCCTTCTCATGCTGCTTGGTCACTCCCGTCCCTGTGGCCCCATCCTCCCTTGGCCTCTGTGCCAGGCCCCATCGGGCTGCTCCCCAGTGGTACTGCTTGTCAGCTCACTTCCTCACCGGGACACTCTCTTCTGGGTGGCCTTTGGCTCTGTCTCTGGCTGTGGCCAGTGTCATGCACCCCGACTCCCGGGCCTGGAATCATACTCCCAGGTGTCTTGAGAGGTGGGTCAGGTCTGCCCTGCAGGGGAGGGAGAGAGATGGCTCAGGGAGGGAGGCTGCAGCCTGGGGGGAGAGACCAAGACACAAGCCTGTGAAAATCACTTCTCTTGCTTCACTCCTGGCTTCCCTTTCCCACCCCAGCCCAAAAACTCAGTAAGGAAAGGAAAAAGTGACTGATGCAGGGACCCAGGAGAGACACCAGCGTGGGTGGGCGGCTCACCCCGATCTGGGGGCTGCGTGGCCAGGAGCCCTGTTGAGACTCAGAGGAAAGTTCTATCACAACCACTCCCTGCACGCTTTTTTTTCTTTTTTAAAAAAAATCACCACTTTGCAATTTTTTTTTTTTTTTTTTATCCTCACCCAAGGACATTTTTCCATTTTTTGTTCAGATAGAGTGAGAGGGAGAGAGAGAGAGAAACATCAACGCGAAAGGGACACATCAAGTAGTTGCCACCCGCATGACCCGACCAGGGCCGGGAACAAACTGCAACTGAGGTACGCCCCTTTAGCAGGAACCGAACCCGGGTCCCTCTGGACCACAGGCCAATGCTCCAACCGCTGAGCCAAACCGGCCAGGGCTCCCTGCGCCCTTTCATCCACGAGAGTTGGCCAGGCCAGCCCTCTCTCGGCGCCCTCCCCCTAGGCGCCGTTAGCCGTTGTTTACAGCGGCTCCCTGGTGGCAGCCGGATTGGGTGGGGAAGGCGTGGGCATGAGAGCCAGGGTGAAAAGACGCCTGGATACTATTATCGGGCCCACAGCATCCTTGGTTGTCCATTGAACTGGTCGTTACTGCAGGTGGGCGCCAAGTTCGGGGGTGTCAACTGGCCCTGGGCTTCTTGGCAGGGGTTCAACAGAAGCTACTCTCGGCTCCCACCGCAGCCCAGGTGATCACTGGGTGCTGGCGTCCGACCTGACTGGAGACAAGGGCGGCCTGGAGGAATGCACACCTGCTCGGCTGGGGAAGCCTGCTCTGTCTTGGAAGCTGCCAGTTTAACAAGGAGAAGGATTGACATACTCAAGCGAATACTTTTAAGAAACACAATTGTGATGTCATTTTGCAGGCGTTCTTAGCCCACGTCTCTGGCTGGAGGGTGGTCCCCTGAGGGGCAGGCAGTGACAAGTTACCCTCTCGTGTTGCCTTGCACAGCACTGGTGAAGAACCGGGTCAGTGGGCAAGCGCGAGTTTTGGATCAGACCAAGGTCTCCCTTCCTGCGTCTCCGGAGGGAACTTTGGTGGCAGCCCGCTTCACTCTGCGCCCCAAATTATTATTGACCTTCACCCACCGTGGAAAAACCTTTCACAGGAATGAAGATCTGGTATAAGAACGGTCCTTTTTCTACAATGAACATCTTTCTTGCATAACTGCAGTAACAGCAGCATTCATGAAAGTTTTTCATCCCGAAAGGCCGTCTTGAAGAGATGCTGTGTCCAGACTCGCTCTCCCCTCCATGTCTCTTCAGCCGCCAGTGTTCACTATAGATTGCCCCAAATTTAGCCACAGTCCAGAGCCTGTTTCCCAGCAACGAACACTCGGAACATTTTTCCTCTGGATACTGTTCCAGCACCGGTTTCCTCCAGTTAATTAGGCTCTTTGTAATTAGCTTTAGTCGTCTTGTTAGGGGCCCCCGCTGACAATAGCCAATAGCCAGGAATCCCCAGGTAGAACAAATGAGAGCTGGGACTGGCAGCCCACCAGCCCTGTGTGCCTGCTGAGTGGACAGCGGGGATCTGCGAGAGGAAGGCCAGCGGAGGGTTGGAGGCAGCCCCCTGCCTCGGCTTTGCATTTTATGCTGGACTTGGTCCAAGATGCAGTCACTCTGAGAAGGGCTGGCTTGGAGAGCCTGTCTGAGAATGAGGAGCGTGCTCCTGTCAGAACAGGCTGCGGGGACGAGAGACGCCGGAGCCTCTCGTTGACTGGATCCCAGGGGGCTTGGGTGGCAGGGAATAGAAGGCTAGAAGTGGCGAGTGGCCAGGTATAAGGCTGGGGGTTTATTCATACACAGAACAGGGATGCTGGCCAAGCCCTGCTGTCTTCGTGAGTGCTACTAGGGTCAGGGGACAGCGAGTGCCCCATAGCTGCAGGCCAGTTACGATCTAACACATTCACTGTGCATCTACGCAGGACTAAATGCTGCCAGTCACAGAGTGACTGTCCCGATCCCCATGTCACAGGAGAGGAATTGAGACTCAGAGAAGTCAGTCAACTTGCCTGGGCCACAGAGGAGTAAGTGGCAGAACCAGGTTCACAGCTGGTGGTCTCCTGATTTAAGTCACCCCTTTGTATCACAGCTCAGTGATTACTTGGGGAGCGCCCGTTCGGGTGTTACTTTTGTATACCAGGTTTTACCCTGGAAATTCAGCCCAGCAGCAGCCCAGGGGTGGATTCTCAGCCTGGTGGGGATCCTGGGATCAGGGTGCCTGTGTCTGTGGATTCACAGACACCCTTGTGGGAGAGACACATGCACACTGCGCTGAAGCATGACCCTCGGAGGACAGAGAGGAGCCATCCCTGCTCTCTGAGCACATGCTCCCTGCCCCTGCGCCCTGGGAACAGAAGGGTGACAGCGAGGACGGCGAGAGAGCGCAGCCCACTTCCAACCCAGCACTGGTGTGAAGTGAACACTGAGGGAAGACTGAAGACCCCGCCACAAAGCAGCAGCTCAAGAAATCACCGAGGAGCCCTGGCCAGTTTGGCTCAGCAGTTAGAGTGGCAGCCCGAGGACCAGAGGGTCGCAGTTTCCATTCCAGTCAAGGACATGTACCTGGGTTGCAAAAAATATCCTCGGATGAGGATTAACAAAACAAAAAAAGATATTAAAAGAAAAACCGCTGAGGAGTCGGCAAGGAAAGGTCTCCTTCCCCGATGAGGCTTGAGGATCCTCCGTAACACCTGGTCCAGAAGTCACTTCGCCTGTGTAGGTTTGCAGCTAGAGAACCAGGTAGGGACATGAAGGGACATGCTTTTCACAAGGAGGCAGACCTGGGAATTTAACACAACCATGTGGACAGTAACCAGGCAATGAGCTTGATGTGGGGTGGAAGAAAGCATCCACCGCAGAGACGGTGCCGGCCTAGAAGGCTGTGCGGCCCTGTTTGTGCCTCCCCCAGTATTAGGTGTACTCCAGCTCAGGAAGCGTATGGTCTGGCTGGGGTGGAAAGGCCCCTCGTTGGCCTGTTTGGGGGTTTTCAATATCCCCTGATTCCCCATCTGAGATGCAACCCAGGGCTGCACCAACTGGACCTACAGCAAGCTGGACAGCCGATCAGCCTCTTTTTAAAGTTGCTCAGAGCCTGTCTGGTGTGGCTCAGTGGATTGAGCTCATCCGGTGGACTGGGAGGTCCCGGTTCGATTCCCAGTCAGGGCACATGCCTGGGTTGCTGGCTCGATCCCCAGTAGGGGGCGTGCAGGAGTCAGCTGATCCATGTTTCTCAAATCGATGCTTCTGTCTCTCTCTCCCTTCCTCTCTCTTTAAAAAAATCAATGAAAACATTTTAAAATAATAATAGCAAATACATTTATAAAACTCACCCAGGGACTCAGCTGCTGTGACGTGTCCCTGACATGATCCTCTTCCACCATCATTTTGGTGGGTACCTGAAAGGAACCATGACTCCTTTCTGGTTGTTCAACTGAATTGTTGGTTCATCCTTTCTGCCTTTCTGTCTCTGCCCCTGGGAAAGGGGAGCGTACGGGAGCTGGGACCCCAAGGCCTTGAATGTTGGACAGAATTTGAAGAATGGAGATGGACCTGCACCCCAGATCCCAGCACCCTCCCCTGCTCACGTCCACGCCTGCAAAGCTGCTCCAAACGCCTGGCCGCTCTTCTCTCTGTGCGATAACGGTTCTCACAGCTGGAGGTGGCCCAGCTCCCGGAACCTGTGGGAGGTGTTTCTGTCTGCTGAGGATCAATCAGAAAGCTGCTTTCCTTCTAGAAGTAAAGAGATAAAATCAGTTGACGGCCCTGATTTTTTAGAGGTTTGAACCAGCCGGCTGCGGAGAACACGTTCTGCGTCAGGAGTCAAGCTGGTGGCTTGCGGACCCACTCGGGAGGGAGTCACATGGAGAGGTGGCTCAGAAATCTGAGTGTACATCACTGAATATGTTTGCCAGAATCTCCACCCTGCCTGCCCAGCGTGGTTTCGCCTGAGTTAGTAATTTTGGCTGAATCTTCCAAGGGGAGAAACCATTCAGGTTTCCTGTACTTTAGCCCCATCCGTCAACCACAGAGGATAGAAGTCTTGGGCTAGTCCTAGTTGGAAGGAAAAATACTACAGTCTGCGGGATCACCTCTCTGAGAAGTGGAGGAATGTCGCGCCCAGCCATGTGCCGTCCAAAGAACCAGAGAGAGGAGAATTTAAAAAAAAAACAAAAAACAGAAGAATGTGACTGACTTTTCTGCACATTCAGTACTGACTGAGCTTGGGGGTCCCTAGAAATAGGACTCCCCTTAAAAGTAGGCCTTATTTCTTGCTGCAGACAGCCCAGCACCATTGTCTACGATAATCTGCCTATCCTGCTTCCTCGTTTATCGATGAAATAGACACTCGTGTGGCCAGCAAGGCAGATGTGCCCGCCCAGCATCGCAGGGCCTCCTCATTGGTCTGCAGGTCTGTCAGGAACTGGTCCCTCACCTCGGCCTCAGCCACTCTCCCTCCACTGCAGCCCTGTCGTTGGACCATCCTGGATTCCTGCTCAGTCCCTGAACACCTCAATTTCCTCAGCTGTAAAATGGTTAATGATAATACCAGTCTTAACAGGTTGTTGGGAGAACCAAATGACTAGCATCTGTGAAGTACTTAGAACTTGGCACAGTAACAATCACTTACAAATGTTGGCTTTTCCCCCCAGTTCAGCTTCTTCCATGTAGTAAACACCTAATAAGGGTCGGGTGAATGGATGGATAGATGAATGAAGAAGAGAAGGAAGAGAGGAATGAATAAAATGCATCTTCTCACTGCATACCTCTAACTTCACATCCACACTTCCTCTTTCTAGAACTCTCTTCCTTCTCCTTGCCCGACTTGCTCTGTGTTCTTGCAAACTCAATTCGGGTATTTTCTCTGCCTGGAAGCCTCTTGGCTGCCCTGGTCTCTGCCTTCATCGTCGCATGAATGCAGTGGCCTACTGGTTTGTCTCCCTCCTGGGAACCTCTCGAGGGTGTAGACTGCCAAATTGACCGCATCTCAGGGAGCGCTTGTACGTGAACGCATGCTCTCGTGAGCATTGCTGTTACGGAAAAACTGCAGCTGAAGAACCAGGGAGAGGAGAATTCAAAAAACCAGAAGTTACTAGACTAGACACCTTTTGCATTATCTTTAAACCTTCATACGTATCCTAAAAGGTGGAGGCAATTAGAATTATTCCCATTTGTTGGTACCAAAGCTGAGTCTTAGGTTCAATAATGTGCCAAGGTCAAGGCCGTAGCTGAACCCAGGTGTCAGGGCTGCTGACTGTGACTCTGCACTGGCTTTTCTGTTCCAAAAGGAGTTTGGTGGGTATTATATTATCTGTTCAACGGTTTTACTTTGTAACTTAAGCGAACCAACTACGAAGGTGGGGAGACCTGGGAAGCTGGAACCAGCAGCGTGGGGAGAGCTGGGAGCCGTTCTTACGAAGTGTGTGTTTTGTCTTAGGTTCGGACAGGTGGAGCTCCCTGGAAAGAAAACTGTTTAATAAAGCACTAGCCACTTACAGCAAAGACTTTATTTTTGTACAGAAGATGGTAAGCATGCGTTTTCCCGTTGCTCACTTAAAACTGAATTTGGGAGAAGTGTCTGGTTGCTGGCTTAATGTTCTCACAAGCAAGGTGTCTGCCCCCCTCGCTGGGGAAGGACGGCATTTGTTACAGGGCCGCATGGCCCCGATGTCGGGGGGAAGGGGGGAGGAGGACGTAGAGTATTTGGACACGACAGTGATGGGAAATTATTTTTATCATAAAAATGTATAATTTATGCATTCTGTTAGAATAAGGAGAACTGGGGCTTCTGCTTCACAATTTACATAATGTATTTCATGTATATTTGATGGATCTATCATTTTTCTGACAGAACTTTTTTCTGGGAAATTGCCCCCTAGCCGGTAGTTTCTGGTGTTGAGCCCCTAATCATGACGACGGTGATAGTAAAAACAATACATATACAGCATTTCGCAGCAAAATAGACCTCTTTCCCATAGATGAAACGGCACTTTATACAGCAGACAATAAACCTAATAGGCCTTACTTGGCTGAGACGTGGTTTAGGCTGAAAGTTAAAACAATTCCAGTGTGGTTCAGCAGACGAGGAATGGTGGAGCCATGATACATTAGTAGGTCATGAAGGTGTTCAGGTCCACGGAGAACAGGGTCACGGGTGACAGACAGCTCCCACTGGCTCCGAGCTGAGCCAGTGGTACCAGTGGTGTCCTGGGCACATGTCCTCAGTTGCAGGCCTTGTTGGACAGGAGTCCAAGCAGCTGGACTTGCTCTCCAGCCTGCCCCCATCTCCAGATCTGTATCACTCATACCTGGCGCTGCCTGGGAGGCCAACACGCCCTCTGCCCGCAGCCCCCATGCTCCAATCTTTCCTGAGTCACCTCCCCCGGGCTGACCCACCCTGGACCTCATTCCTTGAAGGCCTCACACATAGATTCATGTGATACACTTGTCAGGCAACACAGGTTTTGTTGTCTGTTTGTTTGTTTTAATATGTTTTTATTGATTTTTTAGAGAGAGAGGAAGGGAGAGAGAAACTTGATGTGAGAGAGAAACATCAATTGGCTGCCCCCTGCACACCCCCTTCTTGGGACCAAACCCAAAACCCAGGCATGTGCCCTGACTGGGAATCAAACCAGGACCTCTCAGTCTTTGGGACGATGCTCAATCCACTGAGCCACACCGGCCGGGCGCAACACGGGTTTTTAAGCAAGGGCTCTCTGGGGCAGTATCCTTACTCCCTGGGTGATTCTGGTGTCAAAATTCAAGGTGTCAGGTGGATGTGAATCGGGCAGCTTTGAGGAGATGAGTCTTCTGGGGGTGTCCTCCTCATCTCACCATGCAGGTGGCTGTGTCCCCACCCCAAAGGGCACCGCCAGCTTTTTACCTGCCTCCAGAAAACCCACTTTAGCCAACCACACTTTGAGCTTAGAGATTCATGAACTACACAAAGGAATTTTTTTTCTCTTTAAAACACTACCTTTTCTCTTTCAGGGAAGAGTAGAGCAAAGTTTGTTTCCTGCAAAAACTAAGCTCTTGTCATTACAACTTTGCTTATGTTCCTGTTCAGTGACTAAGGAGCATTCTTCATAAATAGATTCTGAAGGTCAACGAGTCAGACAACCAAACACATTCAGGCACATTTAATGAGAAAGCATGCTGCTTCACAGATTAAGAGGAGTGAGCTCTCTGTGGACTGACATGAAAAATCTCCAGGCTATATTGTGCAAAAACCAGGTTGCAAAACATATACGCTACCTTTTGTGAGGAAAATGGTGGGAAGGATCATACCTCTGTGTTTGTTGGTATCTGCGTAAAGAAATTCAGCGAGTGCTAGCCAAGAAGTCCATGAGAGGGGCTCGCTGTGCTGCAGGGGTGGGGAGAGTTGGATGGATGGAGAATTGGCATGGGAAGGAGATTTTTTTCTCTGTATACAATTTTCATTGAACCGCATATTACAAAATTAAATCTCCACCGAAGCGCACTGCTTTGCGCGCTGCCTGCTGTGGCGCTGACCTTGCGCTGCCCTCCGCAGGTGAAGTCGAAGACGGTGGCTCAGTGCGTGGAGTACTACTACACGTGGAAGAAGGTGATGCGCTTGGGGCGCAAGCACCGCACACGCCTCACGGAGCTCGTGGACGACTGTGTGGTGAGTGAAGCTGCCGAGTCGCTGCTTATGCTGGCCCCACTCCCACCCCACGCCCAGGTTAGTAAGGGGCTGGCGTTTGGTTTGGCTCTGCTGCCCAGGTGGCCGAAGTGAGGGGGTGACAGCCCCGCTCCCCGGCGGGGTTCAGTGAAGGAGGTGGGGCTGGCCTGTGTCCAAGGCGGGTAGGAGCCAGGGTTAAGCCAGGGTGGTCCCAGCCTCGGGTGGTTGGTTTTGTATAAGCAGGTGCCCAGACCCCCAGTGTACCTCCTCCTCGATCCTTCCACATCACAGATGCCACTGATCAGAGTATATAACGTGCTTCCAAAAGATGAAGGAGCCTCAGCTTGACCACAGCTTCTATGAAGCATGAGCAAGAAGGGGCCTGGCTTTAGATAGTGCCAGGGACGGTCAGTGATGGAGGAACCAACTGCTCAGCACAGTGTCATTGTCCTAATGCTCACATCACCATTTCCCCCTGACGGTGACTTCCTTCATTAGCAGGCAGTCAGCGGCTGCTTATTAAGTACATACTAAAGACATACGATCGAACCCATCTCAGAACCCTGTGTGAGTGGCTTTGGTCACGTTCATTTTTGAGGTGAACTCTCCTCTCTGTCCATGGCCAGGGGAAATCTCCATCTCATCTGCAGTGGAAAATACTGCCTACTGTGTGCATGTGTAGTACATGTAGTTACATGTCTTACAGCAGGTTACCAAGCCCCAGCCTGTATCGTCAGGGAACGTGTTTAGAACTAACGAATGGTGTGAATATCTGATCATTCTGTCATTCCAGTAGTGCCCGGTGTGAGTGTCACACATATGTGGGTTATTTTTTTGAAAAGACTTTGTATGTGCCGGGCATTGTGCTGGACACTTTACAAGTATTGACTCATCTAATCCTCAACGCCAGTTCTATGAGGTAGGAAACTGAGGCACAGAGTGACTTAGCTGTGGTCAGTGGCTGGTGAGTGTGTTGTCTAAGCCTGATTCCCTTATGTAATACTTAAATCAAATGCAGTTCTCTTAACAAAATGTAAAATCACTTAGACTCATTCATACTTCAGAAGCCCAAGTTCCTAGCTAAGTATTGAGACTAGCTGTGAGACATACATACATATATAAATTTACATTTAGACTCAAATATGAGATGAAATAGATGTCTGTAGGATAGAAGGGAATTTCCATTCTTTTGATTAAAGTGGACAGTATTCTGTATTGAGGGTTTCCTGTGACCAGGGCTTTTGTCTGACTGGTTTAAGTAGTGATGTCTTGTGTCAGAATAGCCTTTTGTTCATCTGTGGCCTAATGTTTAAAAAAAGAAATGCGGCCCGGCCGGTGTGGCTCAGTGGACTGAGCGTCGTCCCATGGACTGAGAGGTCCCGATTCGATTCCCGGTCTGGGCACAAGCCCCGGTTGTGAGCTCGATCCCCAGTAGGGGGCGTGCAGGAAGCAGCCGATCAATGTTTCTCACGTAGATGTTTCTCTCTCTCTCCTTTACTTTCTCTCTAGAAAAATCGATAAAAACATACTTATAAAAAAGCAGTGTGATGCATGGGTTTGGATTTACGGCAGGCCCATCCCCCTGGGCCTCTCATAGTGCCCCATGTCAGAGAACACTGTGGCCTTGAACCACTGCCTGGCCTCTGCTGCAAGCACTGCAGGGGGTTGCACAGTGGAAAAATTAAAAAATTTAAAAAAAACAATGCAGCCCGGCCGGTGTGGCTCAGTGGTTGAGTGTCAACCCACGCACCAAGAAGTCACCAGTTCAATTCCTGGTCAGGGCACATGCCCAGGTTGTGGGCCTGATCCCCAGTCAGGGGGCATGCAGGAGGCAGCCAATCAATGTTCTCTCTCATCGATGTTTCTCTCTCTCCCTCCCTTTCTTCCTCTCTCTGTAAAATCAGTAAGGGAAAAAAAAAAAGGCAGTGTGGCCTCATCTGCTTCAGTCAACTAAAACCAACTGAGTCCCCACGGCATAAACAGCAGTGGGTGACTCGGAGTGTTAACTGGCTCTGTTCCCACTTACCCAGGTGAGCACGCGCTCTAGCGGGGAAGATGTGGCATGCACACGTAGAAACCTGACCGGGAACCCACACGTGTTTAAGGGCAGTATGAAATGAGAACAGTTCTTAGGTACGACCTGAGGCTCTCGGTCCGAAGTTTGAGGCCCAGAGGGGGAGAGGCTTGCCCCAGGTCACACCAGGCATTGCTTCCATGTGGGTCGAATAGGTAGTAAACAAGGAAGCACAAAGAACCCTGGCCTTGGCCACCTGGGACCTGGCTCCTGTAAACGAGCAAATACCTTCAATGATTTGGAAAAGGGCAAAGTCAGAGGATAAGGTTTCCTAAGGCAAACTGGTGTGTCTTTGGCCTGGGTGTCATCAGGTGCCTCGGAGTGTGTCTGTGTAATAGAGGCACTAAGCAGATACTTACTGAGTGAACAAACATGGCTGCGGTGCACAGGAACTGTAAACGTACTGGAGGGAGACAGGGTGAACAGGGGATTCTGAGCATAGGGGTGTTGCCAAGGAAGTTGTTACCTCGAAAGGCAGAGGCACTGTCTCGGGCCAACAGGGCTTTGGAGGGGGGTAGAAAAGCCAGGCCAGGTGAGGTTACGACGGTGCCCGAGGGGCCACACCTTCTTGGGCTTACTCACCAGGAGCCAGTATTAGGCTGGATCAGGAGCATCCACACCCTTGTGACCTCTGAGTTCAGGGAGAACCAAAAGTGATGTGCAGAGATGACTCAGGCCCACAAAAACAAGAAAACCTTGATCTAAGGCCCGTGTGGTAGCTCACACTCTCTGGGGCACTGCGAAGGCCCAGCCTTCTGACAATAGTCTGTAGATGAAGAATCGGGACCGTGCAAGGGCTGAGGGTACGGAAGGCTCTGTCCTAGGACAGGGGTCCTGCTGTTTATCCTTCAAACCTGCCTGGGACACCTGGGGGAGCTCTCCTGATTGTGTGTCCTCAGTGTTTTAGTAAAGGGACAGGTGACCATTTCACCCCATTGGAACATGCCCGGGTAGCTTAGGCCCCCGTGTGGGGAGAGGGGAGAGCGGGAGACTTTGTGAGGCGTGCTGGCCCTTCGGGAACCAGCAGGGCAGTCTGCCTTCTGGCCCGAAACCATCACAGGCCCCTCCACCTTCCTTGCAGCAGAAGAAGGGGCCAAGATGCGCCCTGTTGAGGAGGTGGGAGGACAGTGCTGTGCCCTGTCTGTTCTCATGATCCCACTTCAGACAAATCTGTAGATCTGGCTATGAACAAAACTTAATACAGTCAAGAAACTAATTGACTTTGGAAGACAGCAGTCAGGGCTACAAGGGCAAAGCCCACCCATGGTCTACGCTCCTTAGGTACCTACACCCCACTGACCAGGGAAATATCCTCCTTGTCCTTATCATTTAAAGCAGCTGTTCCAGGGGTTCTGAGAGGTATTTAAGCCATGCCCAGGCAGGCAGACACACACCTGTGGACATTTGCAGCCGGGCGAGGGGTGAAAGGGGTTTGGGAATCAGATGGCCCAGGTTTTACCAGCCACTGACCTTGGGAAAATGAGTTCTCTGGCCAATTTCCTCATTTGTTTGAAAAAGAAAAATTGGTACAGGGTTGTTGTGAGAACTGGAATGTGTGTGGATGCCTGCCTCATAGCAGTCGTTCAGAACGTTGTCACCACCGCCATCATCAGTGACTAACACTCAAGGTTGTATTTGGGGGCAAATAGGGGTTGTTGAATATTTGTTTTATTTTTGTTTATTTTTGTTTTTAATCCTCACCTGAGGATATTTTTCCATTTATCTTCAGATAGAGTTGGGGGGGAGAAACATCGACATGAGAGGGACACGTGGACTGGTTGCCTTCTGCACGAGCCCAACCAAGGCCGGGGACAAATCACAGCTGAGGTACATGCCCTTGTCCGGAATCGAACCCGGGACTCATTGGTCCACGGGCTGATGCTCTAACTGCTGAGCCAAACCGGCCAGGGTAAACATTTGTATTTTAACTTACAAATTTCTCGTAATACAAATTTCATTTACATGCCTGAGAAATAAAAGTATCTTCCACCTCAAGTAACTCTTGAAATTTATATAATGTTATTAACCAATGTTACCCCAATACTTAATTGAGGGGAAAAAAAGAAACCCGTACTGTGGACACTCCAGATTTTGAGCACCACGTTAAATAGGTAACCATCCCCCTGTCCTGTATCTGCCCACCTGCTACCGATTTTGGAATATTACTCAATGTTTTATTTCACATCATAAAATGGCCAACTTGCTGATAGGAAGTTCTACATGTCAGGATTTTTGTCCTATCTTTGCATCTCTTAGTCATTGTGGCAAGCTATTTGGCTTAATGAGACATCATTTTGTGAACATGTATAGATCACCAGTTGAAATAAAACCAGTCTAAATTCCTGAGACATATGTAATCACAGGACAGTGTCATCAAATCTGTAATTGTGCGGCTATATGGAACGTTTCTTCCCAGCGTCCTTAAGCCAAAAAAATGGCATCGTGAGAACATTGTAATTATTACAAGTACCGTGAAGTAATGCCATTGTCATTTAAAGTTATTGTGTAATTTATTTAAAAAGCCAAGCTATAGGCCCTGGGCTGCTTAATAACAAACTGGTATTTGAGACCATGAAGTTCCAGTTCTGTACGGAATGGAGTGAACCCTTGGGGTTTGACATAACATGGTTTTACCTGAAACTCTTTAAGACTGGAAGACGGTGGATTCAGATGGGAATGTGGCCATTTAAGTGAAATCAACCTGGATGTTTATACATTAGTAGGAAACCTATAGCTTCTATCATAAATCACTCTATAAATGTATTAGTCCTGTATCTGTATTCATTGAAGTCTTTCAGCAAATGTAATTATTACTAATTAATCCTAATTAACTCAGTGGGAACTGGGACTGTTTCTCACGTACACCCTGTTACTACGTGATCTTAAATATGCACATGAGATGTTGAACACAGTCACTGCTGACCCAGTGAGGGGAGTGCTGAGCGCCCATCCTTGCTGGCTTTGTCTTTCTTTCTCCCCAGCCCCAGTCCAGACTGGAGAGAGGAAGCTGTGGTTTCTGCATCCCAGGACCACTGCTCTCAGAAATCTGTTCTTCTTGGACATTCTGGCTTCTGGGTTCTAAGAATCATAGGCTCACCCAGAGTTACCCCGCTGTCGGGGGTAAACCAGACTGGAGCCATGTGCGTTAAGCAGTGGTGTGCACAGAGCGTGGCGATGTCACTTATGTGGGGATAGATCCGATTGTGAGTGGTAAACACACTATGCAAAATGGAGATGACATATCATAGAACTGTACATGCGAAACCTATATAATTTTATTAATCAATGTCAACCCAATAAATTTAATTCACAAAATAAAAATAAAACTTAATATACCCTGGCCAGTGTGGCCCAGTGGTTAAAGTGTCAGCCCTCACATAGAAGGGTTACAGGTTTGCTACCCAGTGCAGGGCACGTACCTCGGTTGTAGGTTCAATCCCCAGCCTCGGTTGGGGTGCAAGCAGGAGGCAAACAATTGATGTGTCTCTCTCACATCAATGTTTCGCTCTCTCCCCTTTGCTCCCTCCCTTCTACTCTCTAACAATCTGTGGAAAAATATCCTCAGGTGAGGATTAACAAGAGAGAGAGAGAAATGCCCCACCAGGGTCAGGGCAGCCCTTTCCTGTCCTCGTTTGTAAATTGGGGAGACTGTTTACAGACATGTCAGTGATGTGGCAAATGTGAAAGCACTTTGTAAGGTGTGAAGAGATGTGAAATGGAGGCTGGAACGAGGCTGATGTGACAAAGAACTCCCTTTTCCTGGCCCCAGTCCTTCTGGGCCTGGAGGAGCCAGCATCCCTCACCCCCGAAGAGGACGGAGAGAGGAATAGGGTTGTTAGTTAAACAAGAGGCAGAATGAGGGTCTCCTGGATTCCTGCCCTCCCTTCCAGCCCGGCCGGCCCTGCTTCGAGCTGCGCCATCAGTTAGTTTACTGTTTTGCTAACCTGAGGAAGGAGGCACGGGCCTTCTGCCTCGTTCCACCTGGTTGCTCTTCTGCCGAAGAGGGAGGAGACCGTGGTAGCAGAGATGGCGATTATTTATAGAAAGTATTTGTCTTGTTCTTTTTCATAGAATGCCTCCGGAAGGCATTTCTACAAACCCCTGATCAGAGATGGACTGGAATAGGAAAAGCACATGAGCCCTGGCCAGTTTGGCTTAGCGGTTCGAGCATCGAGACCAAACAGTCTCGGGTTCGACTCAGGTCAAGGGCACATACCTCGGTTGCGGTTCGGTCCGTAGCCCTGGTCGGGGTCATGCGGGAGGCAACCAATCACTGTGTCTCTCTCACATTGATGTTTCTCTTTCTCTCTCTCTCCCCCTCCCACTCTATCTGAAGATAAATAAAAAATATCCTTGGGTGAGGATTAAAAAATTTTTTTATTAAGAAAAAAGAAAGCACATGATAAAAGGGCATATCCCCGTGCATTTTCCTCCTTTTCAAAGTCACTGTGGTTCACTCTTTGACTCTCTTTTCTGACAAGGTCAGAGCGGGAGCACCCCTGTCCCGTGCTTTCCACGGGCCAGATCCACATCTCGGGCGTCTTGTGTGGAAGTGGGTTACGAGGCCTGTAGAACAATTCCAGATAGGTCTTTAGTCTCTCTCCAAAGGGTCCCACCGCAATGCTATTGCTTGAAAACCCTCCACATGACTCTGGGAACAGAGCAGGACAGACAGACTCAGTGGGCAGCCTGCCTGGGTTTAGTCTGTTTCAAGGTCTGCTGGTCTTGAAAAAGGTGGAGAAACTCTGCATACAAAAATCTCTCCTCCCTGCCTTAAAATATTTTTATGTAAATAATGAGGGGATCCAGGGTGGGGTAGGGGGACTTCAGAATTCCAAGTGTCCAGTGTCCCTTATGCAGAGAGAAACCAACGTAGCCCCAGCGTCCAGCCCCTCCCCCCTCTCCGGTCCTGTGGGTTCTGTTCAGCCCTAAAAATGCCATTTGGGGACTTTTCCCCTTTTGCTTTTATTGCCTTAACACTAGACGAGTGAAGAAGACGAAGAGTTGGAGGAGGAGGACGACGACCAGGAGGAAGATAGGAAATCCACGCGAGAAGAGGAGAGTGAAGTGCCCAAGTCCCCCGAGCTGCAGCCGGGCCCTGTCCTGGCTCCCGCAGAGGGGCCACCCCTGCAGGCCCTCGGCCAGCCCTCGGGCTCCTTCATCTGTGAAATGCCCAACTGTGGGGCTGTAAGTGTCTGTGCGTCCTTCGGGGATCTGGGGCTGGCGCGGGCCTGGCGTGTGGCTGGGCCTGGCTCTAGGAAGGGAGCCCCAGCTGCAGTGGAGGCCGGCAGAGGGATTCATATTGCCATGGTTTTCTGTCTTTTATCCCGTCTACTCACTCAGCTGGTGGATAATTCTGGAGTGCGTGTCCTGTGCTAGGCGCTGGGCTACATGCTCAGAGGACACGAAGTAGATCCCTGCCCTCAGCAAGCGTGAGGTTCCGAGCAAGTCAGTGCCGGGCCCCAGGGCTGTGCAGTGAGCCTGAGCCTCCGAGCTCGCCCTCCATTCCTTGGCGTCTCTGCCCTCCCCTGGGCTGTGTGTCGCACCGGTCCTGCCCTGTTGCATTTAGTTGCGCTAGGAGAGCCCACAGAGGATTGTCCCGTACGTGGCATAATTACAAAGACTTAGCCGAAGTTTATCTTTGTATTCTTTGGGGGCAACAACAGAGTTACTGAGCAAATTGATCATGTAAATAGACCAAAAGGGATTCTGTGTAATTCTTAACCTCGTACTTTTCAAGTACGTTAGAAGCATCCTTTAGCTAAAATACAACCAGTTCACCATTGATCACTCCGAGCACTAGCGGAGGCCTTGCAGAGTGTGTTGGCCCGGCCGAAGGCTCCCTGTGCACCTCAACAGTTGTTAAAAGTCGTGTACTTTGGACTCTCAGTCCCCCGCAGGTCCCCCACTAGTCTGAATTATTGAGCTTTTCCCAAGTCGGGTTTCTTACAGCCTGGCACACCTGTACAGGTGAGTTCCAGGGGTACCACTCGAAAAATGAAAATGTTGCTTCCTTCACAAGAATCCCTGTTTTCCTAAAGTTAGTATGAATCTTCACTTGTCCATTATGTGGAACAACAGTGTTTTCCAGAGTGTGCTCAAGGCTGCTTATGGAGCCTGTCACTTAGAGAAAGCAACAGTCCTTAAAGTATTTAGATCCTAAGGCAGAAATTCACTTAATTTACATTTAAGAAAAAGTGAAAAGGTAAAAAAAAATGTATGTATATATACACACACACACACCACGCACATATTTACATTAACTTGGAAGAGAACATGAAATTGCAGGCTTGTTTTTACTTTGATGTTTAATGAGTGACCTGGACATGTCACACCACCCTTGCCATTTTGTGTAGAGTGCTTCTGTTCCGGGTCATGAAGGTGTGACTTCAAGTGACAATATTTCTATGTAAATTTGTTTAAAACTTGGATGCTTCCTCAATTTATATTTTTTGATGTGCAGTAAATTCTTCACCACGTGGGACGTCATCTTTGACGTTTCCCAATCAGGGGGCTCAGCTGGATGGATACCTTTCAATGACTTTTAAAAATCACAGAGGAAAATGTGTATAATCCTTGCCTAACCATGGTGGTCTGGGTTGCTAATTCAGCAATACATCTTTTTTCCCTGTAAGACCACAAACTGAGCTCGTGAATTTAACACAGAACAACCACCCACAGCGGGGCAGCTTGGGGTCACCCCCGCTAGCTGACATCGGGCTCTCGGAATTCAGGGTTGTGGCTTCTATGCCTTTACAACAGTGGTTCTCAACTGACCATGATTTTGTTTCCCTGAACATTTGGCAATGTCCAAATACTATCACAACCAAGGGGGTGCTACTGGCATCCAGTGGGCAGAGGCCAGGGGTGCTGTTGGCATCCTACAGACAGCCCCACCTGTCGGTGACGCCGAGCTTAGGAAGCCCTGCTTTACGGCAAGCTTCGACGCATTGCCCAGGTCCTTCCCCTTTTGATCGTCCTGTAGTAAAAGCGGGGGGTCTGAAGCATTGCTTCAGTGACGGGCTGCTGACTGGGTTTGGATGTAACAGACAGACTGTCAGAGCAGCCAGTCAGTGCCTTTCAGATTGTTCCCTGGGACTCTCGGGCTTCCTGGGGGCCGCTGAGCATGCTGGCTCAGTTCTGGGATGCTGGCTCCGTTTCTGCCGGAGTACCTCTGCTTTTAACCTGGAGCCTTTGAGGAAGATCTGATTTGTTTTTGTCTTTTTTAAATGAAAAAAGAAGGGAAAGGGGAAAAGAAAAGAAAAAGAAGGGGAGGTAGTTCCTGACTTAAAAACTATTTGAGCCCCCCATTATACAGATGGGAAAACAGTAAGGGGTGTGGCGCCACGACCTCCCTGTTCGACGGGTGCTGGGTCGAGCCCCCAGTCTCCTGACCCAGATGGCAGCTTTGTCCTCCCACCGCCACATGGCCTCGGTCTTCTGGTTATGACAGCGGGGGGTTGGGTGGCATAGTGTTTGAGGTTGTGGGGTGTGCCCAGGTGTGCTGTGTGAACCCCTGTGCCCCATCATTAGACTGTTTCAAATACCTCGTGTTTACCACTGAGTAACTAACAACCCTAATTTCCTTTTCAGGACTGTAGATGTCATGTCACTCCCTTTCTTCCCCAGGTGTTCAGCTCCCGACAGGCACTGAACGGCCACGCCCGCATCCACGGTGGCACCAACCAGGTGACCAAAGCTCGGGGCGCTGTCCCCTCTGGGAAGCAGAAGCCTAGCAATGCCCAAAGCGGGTACTGCTCGGTGAAGAGCTCGCCCTCTCATAGCACCACCAGCGGCGAGACAGACCCCACCACCATCTTCCCCTGCAAGGAGTGTGGCAAGTAGGTGGCACTGGACCGGGGCTGCGTCTGAGTGTGGTGGACAGTCGCTCAGTGGGGGCTGGGCCAAGAGGCTCTGAAGTAGTTAGAGAAAGAACCCGGACTCCTAAGTTCTCCCTGAAACCATCCGTGAGGTCTGCAGGGGCCTCAGGGTGGGTGGACTTGGTCTCTGACTCATGATGTCATTCTGAGATCTTAAAGCCTAATGAGCATGGTCATCTTCAGAGAGCAAACCTTTAGCGACAAAACTTACCTCTGTTACAAAAAGGGTGGATGGGAAGTGATTCCCGCTTCTGCCCATCACACCCAAGCCATGTTTGCCCGCATTGCTCCCTTGGCCTCCCTGTTAAGAGAGAACGGCTCTGAGACACCTAACCAGGAGCCTCTGTAGCAGAGCCAGCTCCCTCCCACAGCTGCTCGTGCCTGTGCCCAGCGCAGACATCACCAATCAATTGCTGCACTCTTGCTACCATGTTAAGTCAAGACTTCAAATCCTTTCCATCGTAATGCTCCAAGCAAGCCCAACCAATTGATCAGAGTTGACTCGTGAGAGAAAACCTATTTGGCATCCCTGCCCCTTTAAGTACAGTTTACAACAACGGCTAAGGGTAAAATTGACTGTGGGGAATAATAGCAGCTCACATTTACTGAGCACTTATTTTATTATATACTGTATGTGCATGAGCTCATTTAATCCTCACCCAGAAACTCCACGATACAGATCCTGTTTTTATCCTTGTTTTACAAATTAGGACTGAAGGTTAGGTACAGTGACTTGCCCCAGGTCACACCACCAGTAAGAGCAGAGCTGCATTTGAACCCAGCTGTGTTCAAATGCAGAGCCCGGGCTTCTAACCACTGCTCCATCCTGTTGGTTTGCAGTGTTTATTTACTTGCTGTAGGTAGAAACTACCACTGATGATAAGGCACACGGCTCCCTCCCGCAGTATCCAGTATACTGTCAGTCTACTCTCAGTGAGTCTGCCTGACTTGGAGGACTCGGGCGAGACAGCACCAGTGACGTCCTTGGCCAGTGCCGAGTTTCTCTTCCCGCGTTCTCCAGAGCCTCAGACATGAAGAGTAATATTACCTGGAGAGAGGGCAACCAGGTAGCTGCTGAAACTCTACCAGGAAAACATCCCTCGCTGGATGAATGAAGCCAACTTTGTGGCAGACATTCTCGAGGGATATTTCAAGGAACTTAATAGTAGCTGCCCCTTCTCAGGGGCTCACTATTTGCCTGGCACTCCTTTTAAGGATCTGTACACGTATTGATGAATTTCATCTTTACGGTGACCCTGTAAAGCAGAGACACTGAGGCACAGAGCGGGTGAGCTGCTCGTCACGGTGCACAGCTGAGTGGGGACTGACACCGTGCAGGCTGGCCCGGCCGGGCCCTTGGCCTCTGAGGACACCCGACTCAGTGAATTGGAATGAGCGCTCTCTTCCCTCGGTGAAGTGCAGGGATGGGGAAGGTGGATTTAGGCACCGGTCCCCTCCTCTCTGGTGTCTTCTTCATGTCACCATGGAAGACATACCCTCTGAATTGATCATTAGGTTTATTAACTTGAATTAATGAAACCTCCTTAGGCCGACTCTCGTTACCTCCTACCTGTCTGCTTTGGGGTGATGAGGGCCGGGTGGTCGGGGTCTCGCCAGGTTCCTCTGAAGAGCTAGCACCTTCCACTCCTCTACTCAGACAGGCGGCGACTCCTTATTCCGCAAGGTGCAGACACAGGGCATTTTAACAAAAATTAGTATTTCGAGTTCTCTGGCTCTTTCGGTGACATCCATTAAATGTTTCCTCGTCTTACTTTTATGTTTCTTGGGACCTTTTTCTACCATAATTCCAGTTAAGATTTCATGGGAAATAGAAAGATTTTCTGTGGTTTTCCCAACTAGGAATGGCATTAGGCAAATGTTTTCAGGATGTCCAACTGTGACTCATCGACCCTGCCTCTGGTCGTGGGGATCAGGTTTCCGTTTTCTCACTTTCTGTTAGTTTTTCCTTTCTGAGCTCCGGAATGAGTGGAGAGTATTTACGCCACTCTGCTCCGTGAGTGGGCAGCCTCACATCTAGGCAGACTTGCTGGAAAAGGTCCAGATGGAGTATTTTCACACAAAGGCCAGATGTGGCTGTATTGTGAAACCTTATTTACAAAAATAGGCAACGGGCTGGCTGGGTTTGGCCCACTGACCATAGTGTGCAGACCTCTTATCTCGGGGTTTCTCAACCTCAGCACTGACATCAGGGTCTGATAATTCCTTGTTTGGGGAAGAGGGGCTGCCCTCTGCGTTGCAGGATGTTTACCGGGGTCCCTGGCCTCTACTCACTAGATGCCAGCAGTAACCCCCCCCCATACTTGTGACAATCAGAAATGTCACCAGACATTACCAGATGTTCCCTGGGGAGCAAAGTCACCCTCAGGTGAGAACCACTATTTCATTCTAAAGCAAACAATAGAAAACAATGATAATAGATGGCCAACAAGAAGGGGTCTCAGGTGAAAGGGATGGTGGATACAGCTCAGAAGTCAGGTACAGTGAAGACAGAAGAGGGCCATTGGGTTTGGCCACACGGAGTTTTTGGTGACCTTGAGAAGAGCACTTGGGCTGAAGTGGAGGGGACAGCAGTCCAGTTGGAGAGAGTGGAGGAAAAAGGAGCTATAGCCAGTGTGTACAGATCCTAAAGAATTCTGACCGGCCCGGCTGGTGGGGCTCAGTGGTTGAGCATTGCCCCGTGCACCAGGAGGTCACCAGTCTGATTCCCGGTCAGGGCACATGCCCAACTTGTGGGTCCACTCCCCAGTGGGGGGCATGCAGGAGGCAGTTGCTGTTCTCTCTCATCAACGTTTCTCTCTCTCCTTCTCCCTTCCTCTCTCTAAACTCAATAAAGAAAAAAAATATTTTTTAAAATAGAATTCTGACTGTGGAAGAACAGGGACAGAGGCCAGAGGGCGGCTGGTGGGTTGTCTCACGATGGGAACTATCAGAGCTTGGCGGCATGACTTGGGGATTCTCAAGTTGGTTGGAAAGGCTTGGTTAGTGATGGAGAGAGAAGGTCTGTGCCCCAGACCACAGGCGGACAGGAAGGCCTTTGAGAATTTTCTTGTAATGCTTGGAGGAGACGGGAGAGGGACAGGTCCCTGAGGGAGGAGGTCCTAGGAGCGGAGGAGCCAAGCACTCTGTCAAAGCCAGCCCGACTGCGCCAGACCACGCGTCCCCGTCTCAGAGCTCCTCAGTTTCACGTGCGTCTATTTCTTTCTGTTTAGAGTCTTTTTCAAGATCAAGAGCCGAAATGCACACATGAAAACTCACAGGCAGCAGGAGGAACAGCAGAGGCAGAAGGCTCAGAAGGCGGCTTTTGCGGCAGAAATGGCAGCCACGATCGAGAGGACTACGGGGCCGGTGGGGGCGCCGCGGCTGCTGCCCCTGGACCAGCTGAGTCTGCTCAAACCCATCAAGGACGTGGACATCCTGGACGACGACGTGGTCCAGCAGCTGGAAGGCGTCATGGAAGAGGCCGAGGCCGTGGACGCCGATCTCCTCCTGGACGATCAGGATCCCGTTCTGCTTCAGGGCGACTCGGAACTGTGAAGGTCCGTCTGCCACCCAGCGACGGCGGAAACGCGGCCTCCTCCTCCAGTGATCAGGAAGCCTGGACTGCCTGCTTGTTTTGTAACCATTTTAAACTACCTGTTTAAAAAGTGGTCGTTTTATTCAGGTTTAGAAGAAAAAATCCAGTTTCTTTTCCTTTTATTTAAAAAAAAAAAAATGTTTTGTTTTTTTTTTTTGGTGGGAGGTTGGGGGGAATAAATAATTGGCACAACTCTCCTTCAGAGGTGTTTCATCTGGGCCGCATTCCCGTGAATCATCCTGGCAGGGAGCAGACCTGCCCAGTTCGCATCCTCTTGCTTTCCGATGCCACCCGTCCCGCTTGCCCTTCATCCCAAAGCTTGCGGTGTGTGCGGTGCGTGTGTCTGTGTGCAGCAGGCTGCCCTCTTCTTGCTGGGCCTTGGGCCATCCTTTCCCACCAAGAGTTATTTCTGTTCTGTTCTGACCTCATTCTGTAGTGTACAGTGAACTTGGCATCTGCGCCAGGAGACTGCGCTAGCGGCTAGCTTTCCAGGGAGCTAAGGAAGCCCTCCTGTGCCACGCTCGCCTCTGCACACATGCCACGTGAAGAGTTGGCTTGCCAGTCCGTGGGCCTGTTTCTAGGACCTGAGTACTGGACGCTTGTAGGCTCGCACCCCCGGCAGGCTGGCATGAAGATCTGGGCACGGGGCGGAGCGCTGTCCTTGTCCACGCTCCCCGGGGCTGCTTGGCAGAGCCGTGTTTCCGTGACAGCCCACTGGAGACCCATCTGGAAGAAAATAACCCCAACTATTCAGTTGCCAGGGCTGTTTTTAGGGAGGGGGTGGTGGAGAGGCACACACTGAAGTCCCTGGAATGCCAAGAAGTGTTCCTTTGCCCAAGAACGAGATCGGAAGAACCCGTTCTGTTTTGCAACATTGCTCATGGTCAGTGGAGTTCTGAAACGACTCTGCCCTTTGGAAGTACTGTGAAACTTCGTGCATTTGGGATTTTGCTATAACTCATCTATGCTGGACTGAAGTTTACCTTGACGCTAACTATGAAGAAAAGGGTTTTCTAAGAAATTTGATCGCAAATTCGAGGGAAATGGCATTAAAGGCCAACAAAAATGGTTTCAGATACCACTTTAGCTCCAACGTTTGCATTCAAGCAATGAATGTATTCATTCAAGTCATTTACCAAAGCACTTCTAGAATCTTCCAAGCTATATAACTCTGCCTCCTCCTGTCCCTGTCATCAGGGTTGCTGTTTGTACCTGAAGGTAATAAACTTGTAATCCTTCAAAAGTGTCATTTAGCTCAGGCTTTTGAGCTGAGTCAGACTGACCTGTCCTACTCTTGGGGCAAATGAGTGTGCACCTCCAGACTGGGACAAGGCCCTGGCACAGAGAGGACCCCCCCTTTAATTTGTGACTTCCGGAGAGGGGGCTTTCAGGCCTTGCCCACCCAGGTAGGCTGGCTCCCCAGCTCTGGTAGCTGTGGCGTTCATGCCAGGCCACTTTGCTGGCACATTAATAGCATGACATTAGCGAAAATGTCAGCGGAAGCATATGGATAAGTTTGACTCTGCAGAATCATTTAGCACATCCTCGTGGCCCACGGCGGCCCCACACAGGCAGTGTTCTCTGAATCTCAGGAAGCCAAGGGCAGAAGAGAAACACAAAGGTTCTTTTCATTTCAGTCATTCTGTTTGCAGAAAAGAAGTCTTGGAGGTGTCTTCATTTTTTATTTAGGGGAAGAACAGGTGTTTTGTTAGCTGCCATTTCAAACAGGTTTCTCTCTCATAGGTTCTGAGCTCAGACCTGCCTGGGCTCGGCACCGACTTCATGGCAGAACTGTTCCAGAACCATCCCAGCGGTGGTACTGGCTGGTGGCGCCTGTCCCAGTGACTACTTCCCTCTGCTGTGGAGGTCTGAGAGGGATTCTGGAAAGGTTCTGCTTTTGGGTGTATGCAAGCTTATCTATCAAAGGAGCCAACACCCAGAAAAATGTTTATAAAGCAAACATATTCGCTCTGTTTGGAGACTTGCCCAGCTGTTCCAGTTTTAAACATTAAAAATAAACTTAAGTTGCCAAGGCAAAAATATAATGCACAATTTAATTTTGATTTTCCATGCAGTATAGTGTAAGCATTTTTGACTTGAAATAACCAAAGAACTCCTCAATGAGACAGTTCAAATTCCCGAATTAGTATTTTCTTTTTACAATATCAACTTAAAGAATTGACTTCATAGCAAAACATTGTACTTTTTTTTTCCCCTGAAATGATTCTGCCTGCATGTATGTGTTGTGTTTTACCTTCCCCCACCCTCCCCACCCCAAAGAACTTCTCTTTCTGAAGGTCAATGTCTTCAACATGGTTACTGTTTACTATCAGATGGTTTTTCATTAGTGAATTTAGATCTCTTTGAGAAAGCTTGTATATAAAAAGTTAACAGATATATTTTATGGAAAAACCCATCTTATTTTCAAATATATTTAACTGCTGTTATATTTTATTAGAGGAAGGTTGTAAATATTTTCTAGGAGTTCTATTGTAAAGAAAAGTATTTTTGAAAAAAATTAATGTAATAAAAACGAAAACATTTTTAAATAGTGGTTGTGATTGCTTCCTGTTCTGGCTTCGTTATGTTCTATTCTCAGCAAATGACTTGCATGCCTTCCCATTTCAGGATGTAATTTATTCAGCTTTGCACTATAAGTTGACATCATAATATCTACTGTGCATAACTGTATTTTCCCCGGAATGCAGGTCCCTTGGTCCATATCAAGAGCACTATGTATAGCATATTCATAATTTTTCTTTTGTAATGTGTGTATTTTTAATAAGGATTTTATGTAACATTTTGGCAAAGAGGACAGTATTTTCTAGTGAATTTTATAATACATTTTGCTAAAAGTGTTTCTTCCTAGGTCAGTTTTTGTTAAGGCGAACCAAAAGTCTTATTTTACCAGGGGTTTTAAAAAAGTTTGAAGCTTGAAAGCAAAGTTATATTTAAACATCACATGTAACAAATAAATAAAGATGTTTTATAGACTTGTCCTAAAAAGGTGCATTCCTTAAAAACAAACATCTGGGGCATTCTAGGTTGGTTCCCCCACGAGTGATATCACAATTTTTTTTCCCCCAGAAAGAAAGCCAGGAGAAATTTACTGAAAAGGTTCCAGTCATTAGCCACAAAACTTTATGACACTTCCTATAGAGAGGCATTCTTCAAATAGAGATGTAACCAAAATGTCTTATTTATTTGTGAAAACCTGACTCAATATTGCATCACCTGTTCTGATAATAAAATGTTATCTTTCTGAGTTTCATTTGGTTTACACATTCCTTATTTCTAGCCACTGAAATGAATTCTCAATGCTGGATAAATCCTAACTTGCCTGCTAGTTGGTTTCTCTACACCAGTTTAGAGGTCTGGTCAGGTTTAATGCTCATTTAAATGCCCAACCTGGACAGAAATTTCTGCTACTCCAGCCACGGATGAGCCACCTGAGTTGGTGGTCTGTAACCACCAGGGGGCTCTGTTCACACAGGTATCTCAGTTTGCATGCATTGCTAATCAGGATTTCCGGATTCTAGAGTGTGTTTATTCTTATTTTTAATCTTCACCTGAGGATATTTTCCCCTTGGTTTCGGGAATCAACCCACGACCCTTTGGTCCACAGGCCGATGCTCTAACCACTAAGCCAAACCGGCCAGGGCAAGAGCATGTTTACTTTTTAATGGCCAATAATAAACTTCAAGAGAAATCTCAAATTCTGAATTTTACATAGAATTTGCTTTAAGTGGGACACACCTGCTAAGATCTTGATCTAGGTTCTTTTGTTGTTTTACTTTCATCTCAGCCGTCCGTGTGAAGCAGCTATTCCCCTAGAAGTACTGCATTAGGGCGGCCTTGTCAATTTAATTCTGCTGCCAGGGGCTCCGGTGTCCAATCTGAAGCCTCCTCCAACTGTTAGCCATTCATTCAGTACTCGTGAGCCCCATGTACCAGGCACTACTCCACACTGTACTGTACACGGGGGAGTGGAGTGTATAAAAATGACTGTGACATCATTCCTTCCTGCCAAGGAATTCAGTACTTCGAAAGAGCATACAGAGCCCTGGGAACTGGTCCAATTCCACCACCGGGAAAGCAAAGGTCATGCGTTATTAATATTGTGAACTGCCTCCCCATTACCCACACCTACACGGCAATTGAAAGTAGGAGCTCAGCAACTGTGTTAAATTAATTATTGCTAATCTTTCAGGTACGCTTATCCGTGTGTGTGTGTGTGTGTGTGTGTGTGTGTGTAAACAAAACCTCTTCTGAAGTTACCTAGAGTCAATTTTGAATTCCACAGACTCCCTAGCCACAGCCAGCTGGCTGAAGTTGGCCCTGGGAAAGAGGATGAGTTTTAATGTTGACACAGCAAAATAATTAGGAAGGCATGTTAAGAAATTGAATAATATATTCTTAACTGAAACCGCAGTGATCTTTGAATCAAAGACATCTCTGTATAAAAGAGCCAAAGGGCTGATTATTTCCTTTATATAAAAGATACAATCTTTTGAAAAGGGCTGTTCTCCCCGCCCCCCACCCCCAGGGAAGTGATTGTTTCTGTTTGAGTTGTGAAGGCCGGCCAGCCCTACGTGCTTGCTTTGCATTCCAACATACATATCACGTGCAATACTGATCTCTCCTTTGACTGTTTTGGGCCATTACTTCCTCTGCTAGCATAATTTTATTTTTGGCAGTATGGCCATTTTTGACCACTTTATTGAGACATGATTGACATAAAAAGCCATGCACATTTATCATATGCAACTTGATGAGCTTGGAGATAAGTATATAACCATGAAACCATCATGACCAAGAGACAAGGGCTGTCATTTATAACAGAACCACTGGTGCAATCAAAATATGATATAACTTAGAAATATTTGATGCACATACTTTTATTTATCCTGGATATAAAGCAAGCTGGACTTGCATCAACTCTCCAGAATTATTTGACTTCCTGTTCATCTACATCAGGTTAGAGGTTTGAAAGTTTATATGGTAGAAAAAAGACCTACAATAGGCCAAGCTTTCAAACACTGTCCCTGCCCACACACCACAGACCCATCGTTGGCAAATCCTGGGTTTGCCCCTCACAATGACTCCCACCTTGCCTCCAGCTAATTGGACCAGGGTTGGCCCCTGACTCCCAGCTATAAATCCCATAGGCCATTAGGGGATACGTGGCACAGCTTAGCCCAGGAAAATAAGGGGACCAAATCGAATTCCCACATTTAGGAATATAAATGGAGAAACTTGATGAGCCCAATGCAGCAAGTAGTGGCCACATGCAAGGCAGAGTTCTGAGGGAACGGAAATTATTTGTACGCAGAGAGCGCCCATCAATAAAGACCATGTTTGACCACAGGGATGGAGAGGGCATCCAGTCCTTAAGGATGCTGTGAGCCCATGTATCTAGTGGCAAGAGTAGTCCAGGCCACACATGTCTTTAATTTAAAAAAAAAATTTCTTTTCTTTATTGATTTTAGAGAGAGGGAGAGGGAGAGAGAGATAGAAACATCGATAAGCGAGAACATCGATTGGCCGCCTCCTGCACTGCCCCCCAGTGGGGATCGGACCCACAACCTGGGCATGTGCCCTGACTGGGAATCAAACTGGCGACCTATTGGTGCATGGGTCGATGCTCAACCACTGAGCCACACTGGCTGGGCTAAAAATGTTTTTATTGATTGGGGGGGGGGAGAGAAACCTCGATCAGCTGCCTCCTGCACAAACCCCGACTGGGGATTGAGCCTGAAATCTGATCATGTGCCCTGACTGGGAATGGAGCTGGTGACCTTTCAGTGCCCGGGACAATGCTCAACCAACTGAGCCACACCAGCCAGGACCGCACATGTCTTTTAAAATAAAAATCAATTTAAAAAATCTCTTCTTGCAGGAAGGTGGGGAAGTGGGACTATCTAATCCTCACACCCAAAGAGAGATAAATAGAACTGGAGCTGATCATAGGGTCAGCACCAGTCCACTGCCTGGATGGAAAGGCATTGAACTAGGATCTTGAAGGTGGTTGCTTGTTCAGCTGTAACTCACCATGTGACTCAGTGTGAGTCATTTCATCACTGAGCCTCAGTTCCCTCACTTATAAAATGAGGATAAAATGTCCGATCTTGTGAGGATCAGATTAGGTAACAGGTGAAAGTCATTTGCAAGCTATATAATGTCACATCATTGTAGTGACAGGACCCTCACCCAGCTGAGGCTACTCAAAGGGGACAGAAGCAGGCTGAGGAGCCATCACAGAAATTTTAAATAGAGAGACTGGTGCAAACTTCAGAAGCAACAACAGAGTTGATGAGCTGTTAGAAACCTCCACTGGCCAAGACAGACCAGCCAGCTTTGAATGTCACAATTCATAGAGGGGGCCTGCAAAGGGCACTGGGCAGCCTGTCAGGTGTGGCACAGCTGAGCACAGCAGAGGTGCACCCAGATGAAGTATGGTGTTTCCATGCTCTGGTGTAGGATCACACTGGGCATCTCTGCCGCACCTCCATGTGGGCTGAGTTCTAGTAAACAGAGGCTGGTTTGAGGGGCAGGAAAACTGGTTTTGGTCCTAGATCGTTCATCAATGTGTGTGATATTGGGCAAATCATTCTACCTCTTCCTTGGTTTTCTAGCCTGCAAATTAGGGTAGGGAAGGAAGAAAAACTAGCAACTTGCCAGTTGCACAATACTTTAGTTAGATGCTTCGAAATAGTCTCGTAAACTTGATCTTTAAATTTTTAATCTTCTCAACAATCTTGTGAGGCAGGTGAGGTAGAAGCAACTTTATGGTACAAATACTGGATGACATTTGCATTATTATGTGCCAGGCATTGTACCAAACATCATACATCAGTATCTCATTTAATCCTCATAGCAACTATTTGAAGTAGTAACTACGATTATCATCTCTAGTTGCTATATGAGAAAATTGAGGCTTAGAGTGGGGAAGTAACTTGTCCAAAGTCATTCAGCTAAAGGGTAAACCTGGGTTTGCAAGCCAGATCTCCCCATTATAAGCCCAGGGTTGCCCATTATACTAGACTGCAGATGTGCGAGCACTTGAGGGAAATAAAGCTTAGAGAATTGCACAAATGGAAGAAAACTTTATTAGAGCATATCCCAGTTACAAGCCTTTAAATTAGAGCTAAATTACGGTGGGCATTAATAAGCGACCAGCCCGCTGTAAATTCTGGACCACCAGAGGGACAGGAGACGAAGCCTCGGGCGGATCAGGACAGCGGGCGGCGGGGCAGGCACCTGCCAGTTGGGGTGCGGCGTTGGGGGTGGGGGGACACAACTGCAAGGCTGTGTGCTGAGCACAAGGGGTGGGACCTGGGCTCCATGGTGGCAAACTTTTTCTTTTATTTTAACGAAATACGGATTTGGTAACATTTTGAAAGATACAGGAATAGGAAACAAATCAACCATTTATCCACTCCCAAGAGATAACCACTGTCAATGTATTTTTTTTTCCAAGCACGTGTTTGTTTGCCTCCAACAGAACAGGAACCAAAGAGGGCACACACGGTTTGTAGAGGAAAACACTGCTGGGCCTCGGTATCTCCACATACGGGCTGGAGGAACTTCATCAAGACCCGGTATCGCACGGGCAGCCGGCCCGCGGGGAGCCAACTGGATTCCCAGCCCCTCCCTCCAACAGCACGGAACCCCGCCTCTATGGTCGTTCCTGTGCCGGAACACAAGGGTTTCCTCTACCCTTTTGCGGAACTCTATGGTCTGAGCGCGCACCGTGACCCCGGAAGCGATCGTGGGAGGCTGGGGCGGCAAGATGGCGGCGCGGGGAGCGCTCGGGGCCGTGTGCCGACGTCTCTGGCAGGCAGGTACCGGGCAGGCTCGGGGAACTAAGCACGCCGACAGGGACACTGCTACCAAGTCTGGCTGCCGGCCGTCGTTCTGGCCATCAGGAGCCTTCCCCGTTTTTTCCCTGCACCCCGGCTCGTTTGCAGGAAGGTGGCAAGAAAGGGGCCGGTCTTATCTCGATCTCCCATGGGGTAAAACATAGGTCAGGGCAAAGACAGGAACAAAAAGGAGGACAGAGTTGGAAAGGATACTGGACATTATACGTTTCGATTTCTCCCTTCTTTTCACGTTTGCCAAGCGAGGCTTAGGATGCTTCCCACGGAACTAAATCGAGACGCCCTCCTCCTATCCAGGGGTCCTGAGGTTTACAGGCGAGTCACCGAGGTCAGAGCAGCGGGGGAAGCAGCAAAAACTTAAACAGCGGTTCCCAAGTGTTTTGCCTTCAGCACCTCTTTAAAAGTGGTCGAGGATTTCAAAGGAGTTTTGTTTTAGTCAGTTTTACTTTCTAATAAATTATCAATGACTTAAGATGCTTATTCCTTTCAAAAGGAACACCAATAAACTAATTCCATGTTAACATAATTAACATTTTTATGGAAAGTAATTGTTTTCCAAAGCAAACTCAGTGAGAAGGCTGGCAGTATTTTATGTTTTTGCAAATCTCTTTAATGTCTGGCTTAATAGACGACAGCTGGAGCCTTATGTCTTCTTTATTCATATTGAGACAGGCTAGTAGTAAACCAGGACAAGCAAAATAGGGAAACAGATAAGTAAAAGCCATCTAGAAAATAGCTAAATCCTATCTTCTGTAACCAAGGTCAATTAGGAATAAATGGTTTACACCTTTCTCCAACCAAAGGGTAAATAGCATAAATCACCCTACTCAGGAAGATAGCTGGAAGAAATGCAATTAGTGCCACTTGCCAACCATGCCCAAGGACAGATGAAGTTAAGGGAGTAAGTCTCATTTTGGAACATTAGCGTAAAACTGATTAATATTTTATTGAAATCCTCCCCTAAGACCTTCCCAAGATGTCCAGCCTTGAAAAACCCTCAAAATGAAGGTCCCGGTGTACACTCTCCCACCCTCTGGGAAGCATCTCCTAAACTCTAAGGGACCCCATGAGACTTGCAGCCATGTAGAAGTGTGCAGCAACTGTTCATCCCCGACTAACCCCCTGAACCTGTCTCCAAGGCCCCCTTTTCTCTGACTTCTTAGTGAGCCAAAGCAGCTCTGCCTCTGCTCATTTCCCCACCTAGTCTCTCCTGTTGCTTTTTCTGTCCTATGTCCTTTCTTGTTTTACTGTCCCAGCTTTAATAAGCGTCCTCTAAGAATCACCTGGAGTTGTATTGTGAAATCTTTCCTGCACGAAGTGAAGAACCCACAAACTACCAGCTGGCCCTAGGCGGACCCACTCAGGGCCAGCCCCCTTTCCAGTAACAGTTCCACACATCATGTAGCCTCTGGAATACTTCACTGTACTTTAATTCAAACATGTTCACTTGTAAGAGATGGGAGCGGAAAAGTTCCAAATAAAGCCTTAGTATCGCCCTGGCTGGTTTGGCTCAGCAGTTGGAGCATTGGCCTGCAGATCAGAGAGTCCCCGGTTCAGTTCCCGCTAGGCCCTAGCGGCTAGGGGCACATACCAAAAAAAAAGCCTTAGTATTATGAAATTAGTTTCAACCTTCCGGGCCCCCTGAAAGTGTTTCAGGGGCTCCCCAGAAGTCCTCAGGGCACACTTTGAGAACCACTGTTCTTAAGAAAAGTCAGACAGTGTTAGAGGTTTAAATTTTGAACTAAGATACCCAGATACCCTTCAGCCCCCTCAAAAAGAAAACTTTAAGAACTTCTTAAGGTTGATTTGTGGCTGCAACATCACTTAGCTTCCAACTTTTAAAAGTAGAGGTTTATGTTGGGAGAATATAATTGGCATGTGTCATATTTCTTAGAACTGTGGTCCTTCTACACAACGGAATTATTGGGGTCTCTGGCAGAGATTGGGGGAGGGGGATTTCTATGTGCTTATTCATGAAGAATGGCACTTACCTCATTCTACCTGGTATTGCTCCTGGTTTCCTCATCTTTTTGCTTTTCACCTGATCCAAAGGCAAATAGGAAAGTTTTAATTTGCCTCCATCTTGGGTAAAGGGAGGAAGAAATAAGCTAAAAAGAAGCTTTTTAAACATACTTAGGTGACCCTCAGTTTTAATTAAGCTTCACTTGTGCTAAACAGTTATTTTCACCTTCAAAGTATTTTTTTTTTGGTATGTGCCCCTAGCGGAAACCGAACCCGGGACTCTATGGTCCGCAGGCTGATGCTCCAACCACTGAGCCAAACTGGCCAGGGCCCCTCAGTATTTTTAAGGATCCTATCATGCTTCCATTTTTTCGGGTTACACATTTAAATTTCAGGAAAGCTTAAAGGAAAAACAGATGGCAAATTAAATACACATAGTACCATGTTTCTTACGACTAGAAGTTTCGATCTGGGGAGCTGACAAAGGATTTGGAAAGGCTGGATTATTGCTTTATGAGGGACAGTAGTGGTGTAAAATGGGTATAAATTTCAGTGCGTATTTTAGTTGATTTATAAGCTAGCTACCCCAGCCAGGCCAAGAAGTACATATGCTGGAAAAGATGTATGCAAGCTTCAAAAGAAAGGGTACTTTAGTCTTATTTCAACTCTTAATAAGTTAAATTAAAGACTTTTTATTGCTCAAAATATTGAAGCAAATAAGTGTTATATTGAATTACATTTAATATATGAAAAATAATGGGAAAATTAAGCCACATTTTTTTCTTTGATGTCCACAAATTTAATTTATAGCTGTTATTTTAATATGAGAATTACTTGTTTTAAAAAGTTCTTCTAGCCTTGGCTGGTTTGGCTCAGTGATTAGAGCGTCGGCCTGTGGACCAAAGAGTCGCGGGTTTGATTCCAGTCAAGGGCATGTACCTCGGTTGTGAACTGTCCTCAGCCCTGGTCGGGGTCATGCGGGAGGCAACCAGTCGATGTGTCCCTCTCACATCAATGTTTCTCTCTCTCTCTTTCCCTCCCTCCCACTCTTTCTGAAAATAAATAGAAAAATATCCTCAGGTGAGGATTTAAAAAAGAAGTTCTTCTGAACTAACATAGATTCTCTAGTATTTTAAGAGTCCTTTTTGATTATCAGTTCTACCACTGCCTTTTTAATAAAGTCTAATTTGGCATTTTAGTTACCCCAATATCTTCATCTGAAATAACGAGATATTTATTTGAAACATCATACATCTTTTGATTTTTTTTTATTTGTTTGTTTGTTTTTGTTTGTTTTTTTATCCTCACCCGAGGACATTTTTCGATATTTTGTTCAGATAGAGTGAGTGGGAGAGAGAGAGAGAGAAACATCGACGTGAAAGCGACACGTCCAGTGGTTGCCACCCACACGACCCAACCAGGGCTGGGGACAAACTGCAACCAAGGTATGTGCCCTTAGCGGGAACCGAACCCGGGTCTCTACGGACCGCAGGCCGACGCTCTAACCGCTGAGCCAAACCGGCCAGGGCTTGATTTTTTTTTTTAATAAAAACTGTGAATGTTTTGGGGATTGACTTTAATTCTAACATGTTGCCTTTTTTTTTTAAGGGTTCGGGGGATTTTTTTATAAACAGTTCTAAGAGCAGTACATCGAAAAATTGTGGCTTTCTTCAGTAAGTATGTAATTAGATGTGCTACATTGAACAAGAAAATGGGCTCTTATGCTGTTTTACTTAAGTTTCTCTCTTTTCCCATCCACACAGCAGTCCCAGCATGAAGTGGGTACAGTTTTCAAGTTTGCACGTTGATGTTCCCAGGGATTTGACCAAGCCTACAGTATGTACTCCCTGTTTCTTGGTATATGGAGCTATGTTAGCAATAAATTTTCCTTATTGTTTCTTTCGGGGTTGTTTCCCAAATACTTTATGACTAAAAAATTTTGTTTTGGAACACTGGTAAATGCAGTGTGCCTGAATAGAGTATTCTCTGACGTCCCTGGTGGTCATGTTCTCTTTCACAGCATCTGGGTGGGTTCTAAGGGAATAAATCATTTACCCGACATAACTGTGGGAGCAGTCTTTGCCTGTAACTAACTCAGCATAATGTGCAGAGTTGTCATAATTAATGATTCAGAATACTTTATGTGTTCTAGGAAAATTTGCTTCATGTAGCCATCAAGTCTTTGTTTTCATTTTAAGACATTGAGCCTGGGCCTGGACAGTGAGAAAGCATTAGCGCGAGTGAAATGCAGAAGTAGCCGTGTAACCTTGTTTCATTTAAGTAAAAGCCATGATTCCTTCGATCCAGTCTGTTATTTGAAATCCTTACAGATTCTCATTTTTTCCAGTCCCACCCCTCAAAAATAACCCTCTTTGACAGTTTAGTATGACTCTTTGTAGACATTTACCTGTATGTAATCATTATGTCTGTGTACACGTACACCAAAATAGAATTGTGTTATACATAATATACTGCCGTTTTATTTTTTGCACTTAGTAGCTACTGGATATATTTCCATTATGATACATATTCACCCTGGGTGTCCAACTCAGGTGCCTGCATGGGGCCAGGTCTGTAAGGAGAGGTGACAGGGTGGTCACAGTGACTAGCTATGCTCTTGATAAGTGAGGCAGCTGCTGCTTACTCAAACCACTTGTTGCATGTGGGAAATCAGACCTAGTGAAGCCAGATTGTCTAAATTTTCTAAGCTAAACTGAAATCTACAATTTTATGTGAAATCTGATTTTTAGTATTTTTAACATATTCAAAATATCTTTAAAACTCTGGAGGAGGCCCAGGCCAGATAGCTCAGTTGGTTAGAGTTGTCCCAATTCACCAAGGCTGTGGGTTCAATCCCCAGTCAAGGCACATTCAAGAATCACCCAATGAAGGCATAAATAAGTGGAACAACAAATCAGTGTTTCTCTCTCTCTAAAAAACAATCAATAAATAAGAACTTATAAAAAACAACAACAACAAAAAAAAAAACCCTGTAGGAACCAATCAGAATATATCTTAGGGCTATATTCCACCTTGTCCCCCAACTTTTGCCATAGGGTATCAGTATATCTGTTCTTCCAACAACCCTATTTGGGGTCATTGAGAGTGACTGTCCAGCTTCGTGGTTAGGTAAGTAGATATCCTTTCAGGGGTGAAGTAATTAACCCTGGGTCATTGAATTAGTGTATATAAATTGCTGGTTTAATGGATGGATGAAGTGAAGGTAATTCACCTCTTGGAAGAAAGTCAGAAATGTCAAACCCATTATTTTCAAGATTTTAAGTATTGGGGTAGAAGAGTTAGAAGTTATATATATAGTTAGTATCATAACATTTTAATTAGAAATGAGTGATTTTTCTATTATGGCAGGCGAAACAGACATGAATAAAGCTTAATAAAGAATATGGCCCTAGCCAGTGTGGCTCAGGTAGTTGAATATAGCCCCATGCATCGAGAGGTCACTGGTTTGATTCCCAGTCAGGGCACATGCCCATGTTGTAGGCTTGGTTCCCAGTAGGGGGTGTGCAGGAGGCACAGACCATTGATGTTTCTCTTTAAAATCAATAAAAAACATATTTTTAAAAAAGGATATGAATAGGCCCTGGCCAGGTGGCTTAGTTGGTTACAGTGTTGTCCTGTACATCAAAAGGTTGCAGGTTTGCTGACTGGTCAGAGCACATACCTAGGTTTCAGGTTTTGATCCCTGGTTGGGGCAAGTACAGGAGGCAATCGGTTGATGTTTCTCTGTCTCCTCCTTCCTCTCAAATCAATAAACATAGCCTCAGGTAAGGATAACAAAAAAGATCATGAATGGTAATTGTTCACCTTGACAGAACAATGTTTTATCATTTATAAACACTTGAATCTGTGTTTTCTTATTCTCTAAAGAAGTGCCATGAGCTGTAGCATCAGTATTCTATTCTATTTTATTTTTTTCTTTATTGCTTTTAGAGGGAGAGGGAGAGAGATAGAAACATCGATGAGAGAGAACGTCAGTTGGCTGCCTCTTGGTGCATGGGTTTGCACTCAACCACTGAGCCACACCTGCCGGGCAGTATTCTATTTTATATATGAGATAAATAAAGTGCAGTGAGACTATATGACTTGCCCATTGTCATTCATTCAGAAGTAGCAGAGTTTAATTCTCAGTCTAGGTCTTCTAACCAGGCTTTTGTTAACAGACCCCAAAATCCTTTTCCATTGTGAATTTGGGGCTTAATAACGATTAAGTTAGAAGGTTCCATTAGTGATTTTGCAGATTGCCTTGAAAGTCCCTTTGGTTCAAATTGCAGATCATTGTGTAGATCTGAATATGATAGTATGTAGATACTTAAAATAACAGCGTTAAAATGTTACTTAGGCCCTGGCCAGTTTGGCTCAGCAGTTAGAGCGTTGGCCTGCGGTCCAGAGAGACCCGGGTTCGGTTCCCACTAAGGGCATGTACCTTGGTTGCAGTTTGTCCCCGGCCCTGGTTGGGTCGTGCAGGTGGCAACCACTCGATGTGTCCCTTTCACATCGATGTTTCTCTCTCCCATCGATGTTTCTCTCTCCCTCCCACTCTATCTGAACAAAAAATGGAAAAATGTCCTCGGATGAGGATAAAAAAATAATAAAATTTTTTAAATGTTACTTAGCATTTTTCTCCTCGTTTATTACTAAACTCCAAAGTTGCTCAATTGAAGGTAATATGTTAAATATTTTAGTTGTAAATATCAGGGGAACCACAAATAAAACTTTTTTTTTTATTTCAAAATTTTAGATAACTGTTTCTGATGAACCAGACACATTATATAAACGCCTGTCAGTTTTAGTAAAAGGCCATGATAAGGCTGTGTTGGACAGTTATGAATATTTTGCCGTGCTTGCTGCTAAAGAACTTGGTATCTCCATTGAAGTGTAAGTATGATTTTTCCCTTCAGCTGCTGTACATGATCAGCCAGCCAGGCAAGGTGCTGATTCCAGCCAGGTCCGAGTCCTTCAGGGGGCATAGAACTCATAATAGGGTAGGGTGTAGCTTTGTCATATTATCCTAAGCAGGATCATCCCTTCCTGTCTTCTAGAATGTTTAAATACTGGAATAAGTGAACCAGGAAAATGAAGGAAATCCTTTCTTGACCAATTTCATAGACATAAGGAGAACCAGGAAGCCCTCACGTCTGGGATCTCCATGGGACGGGGGCAATTAGGTGGGCAAGCGATCCTTTTAGAGCCTTTGATTTGATGATCTTTGGCTGATACTTTCATTAGTTTTGAAACAATGAACACCTAAGAAACACCACTCACCCAATAATTTCATACCTGAGCAAAGTGAGCTTCATTTGGCCCTGAAGTCACTGCAGGGTCAAGTATAACTACCTCCTTGTCTTGGCACCTGCTCTTGATGTAGAACACAGTCCACTTGGGGCTTTGCCAGTCTGCCTTTTTACAAAACACAAGGAACTCACATTTTCTATAACAGACTATAGTTTTGTGATTATCGATGTGTCTGTAGATTTTCCTGAAATAATACACACAGTAGACATTACACCCGTGTTCAACGCACTGGTGTTACTCTTCATAGTTCACATAGTTGGTCAGTAAGGGTCTTCAAGGCTGCATGTGTGTGTGTGTGTGTTTGCATGCATGCACAAGTGTGCTCACTTGCATGTGAAGGCTCAGTTTTGGGTCTGTGGAAAAATGTTTGTGTTGCTGTCTGAGGTGTTTATTTTGGCCTGAGCTTTATGACAGCAGTTATTAAGCATAGATGACAGCCCTGACAAGTGGAAGTCAGTAAGTGGTAGTTAATGCCTGTAATTGAGTATGAGCCTGACCTACAGAATTGTGGAATCATGCTTTGATATCAGTGACTAAGTTTTAACATCACTTAAGTATGTTGTTTTGCCCATTAATTTTCAGACATGAACCTCCAAGGAAAATAGAGAGATTTACTCTTCTCAAATCAGTGCATATTTTCAAGAAGCACAGAGTTCAGTATGAAATGAGAACACTTTACAGATGTTTAGAGGTGAGTCTGTTTCAGACATTTGGGCGTTTTTAAAATGCCCAAATTTCATACTAGCATAACTTTCCTTTAACTGACTCAGTTGACTTCCTTCCATTCAGCTCGTGCCTGATAGTTGCAGAGAAGCTAAATGTCCTTTTGTGTTTATGGAAGCAACAGATAGGAAAGTCAAACTCAAATAGTTCATACTTTAGCTCAATAATGCGATTATGCTAATTTTTATACAGTAAGATAGCGTTGGAATGATTTTGCTTTTCAAAAATTCTAGTTAAATTTTCAAACAGTTCTAATAATTCTTTTCACATGCCTACTGGATATCCTATGTCTGTGGTGGGCAGTATTAAGATTTTTCATTCATCCACTAGGGTCAGCAGTCTTGTGGTTAAGGAGTCTATGGGTTCTGGAGTCAGACAGCCTGATCCTGGTTCTGGTCCTGGCACTTACTAGATTGTTTGCACCTCAATTCCTTCATCTATAGAATGGGAATAGTAATGGTACCCATCTCCTTGGTTAGTGTAAGGATTGCATGAGATAATTGAAGCATTGAGATATTCCATCACCTAATAAGTGATTGATAAATGTTATTAAAACAAGTCCTGTAGGCCTGGCCGATTTGGCTCAACAGTTGAGTGTTGGCTCGTGAACCAGTGAGTTTCGGGTTCAATTCCAGTCAAGGGCATGTACCTTGGTTGCGGTTCGTCCCCAGCCCTGGTTGGGATTGTGCGGGAGGCAACCAGTTGATGTGTTCCTCTCACGTCGATGTTTGTCTCTCCCTTTCTAACCCGCTCTATCTGAAGATAAATGGAAAAATATCCTCAGGTGAGGATTTTTTAAAAAGGTAAAACAAATGCTGTACATCTTTTACATTGGAAGCACTGTACGAGTCGTTGATGGTACAAAAATGATTAAAACATAGTCCCACTCTTTTTTTTTCTTTATTGATTTTAGAGAGAGGGAGGAGAGAGAGAGAAACATCGATGAAAGAACATCAGTTGGCCGCCTCCGGCATGCCCCCCACTGGCGGTCAGGCTCACAACCCGGGCATGTGCCCTTACAGGGAATCAAACTGGCGACCTCTTGGTGCGTGGGTCAACGCTCAACCACTGAGCCACACCAACCGGGCTGTAGTCCCACTCTTTTTTTTTTATCCTCACTCAAGGACATTGTTCCATTTTTGTTCAGATAGAGTGGGAGGGAGAGAGAGGAAGAGAGAGAGAGAGAGAGAGAAACATCGACGTGAAAGGGTGTAGTCCCACTCTTAAATGGAAAAAAACAAAACAAAATTTGATGCACCCTTGTCCAACAGAAACACCTCACCAAGGAGCATGCAGAAAATCGCATACCAACTGTCTTATTATCTAGTCTTGTTTCCTTTTGCCTTAAGTTGTTTTGTGAAACTCATATAAGTATACTGCTTTGATTCCATGCTTGCAGCTAGGTTCCTTGGAGCTTTGGCTTTAAGACATTCGGCAGATAACTGTGTCTAAGGCAGTCTTGTTCTATAGTTGATTTGGAAAAAAATAAAATAAAATTATAAAATCATAAAAAAAGAAAACAAAAACAGAATAAATATTTATTAGGCATTAATGTAACACTCAGTTCCTCCCAAGAGCTTTTGACTTACTGGAAGAGTCAAGGTTAAAGTATGTAAAGCAACACCAGAAGTACTAAATAACAGACAGTGAAGTGCTAAATTACATTATGCTTGTATTTCTCTTTGTACATTCTTGGAACTCTTCATCTCTCATGATTTTATCTAATAATTGTAACTATGTAGGTCACTGTTTCTCAGTCTTGAGTAATGTAAAGATGGGCTGCTGAAAAAATTTTCTTACATTCCCTAAGTATGGAATGAATGAATTTTTTTTTTCTCACCCGAGGATATTTTTCTACTTATTATCAGATAGAGTGGGAGGGAGGGAGGGAGAGAGAGACAGAAAGAAACATCGATGTGATAGAGCCACATTGACTGGTTGCCTCCTGCAGGACCCGGTTAGGGCCGGCGACGAACCACAACCGAGGTATGTGCCCTTGACCGGAATCGAACCCGTGACTCATTGGTCCGCGGACTGACGCTCTAACCGCTGAGCCAAACTGGCCAGGGCTGGAATGAAAGAATTTTTAATATTATTTTATGAAAATGTGTCAGCCTGGCCAGTATGGCTCAGTGGATTGAGTGTTGTCTCAGACTGAGAGGTCCCAGTTTAATTCCCTGTCAGGGAAGGTGCTGGGGTTGCAGGCTCAATCCTCAGTAGGGGGCGTGCAGGAGGCAGCCAATCAATGTTTCTCACATCAGTGTTTCTGTCTCTCTAAAAAATTAACAAAAATATTTTTTATTTTTATTTTTTATTTATTTTTTTTATCCTCACCCGAGGACATTTTTCCATTTTTTGTTCAGCTAGAGTGGGAGGGAGAGAGAGGAACAGAGAGAGAGAGAGAGAAACATCGACGTGAAAGGAACACATCGAGTGGCTGCCACCCGCACGACCGACCAGGGCCGGGGACAAACTGAAACTGAGGTACGTGCCCTTAGCGGGAACCGAACCCGGGTCTCTCCGGACTGCAGGCTGACGCTCTAACCGCTGAGCCAAACCGGCCAGGGCCAAAAATATTTTTTTTAAAGTGTCAATCTAAAAATAGGCACAGACCACTTAACCTTATGATTCTTGAACTATAAAAATAAATCTACAAATTAAATACAGAAAATTCACAGAGCCAATAGAATTTAAATTAATTTAGTGACACGGATGATGTTTTACTGAAAGAAAATCACCACTCAAAGCCTGAGCATGGTTCTGTCTGCTAAGGTGGAGCTTCCTTTGCTTTCAGTGGGGCTTTTTTTTTTTAAGTTTCTGACAGTGAAGCATATATTTTATTATCAGTGAATTATATATATTTTTTCTTTTTTTATATTTTTATCGAATTTTAGAGAAAGAAAGGGAGAGGGAGAGAGAAACAATGTGAGAGAGAAACATCGATCAGTTGCCTCTTGCACACACCTGGACCAGGGATGGAACTCGCAACCTGGGTATGTGCCCTGACCAGGAAGTGAGCAGGCAGCCTCTTAGCCTCCGGTGCACTGAGCGGTGCTCAGCCAGCTGAGCCGACCGGCCAGGCTCACTAGGCCTTTCTTACTGTTTGAGACTCAGTAACTCAGCTCTCACCACGTCTTTATTCGAACTGTTGTGAAACTATCCTCTATATACATCCTGTGGAATTTTTTTTGGCCTGTGATTTGTACAAACACATGTATATATTAACTCTTCTTGTGATGCTGTCTCAGTATTTGGCAACAATTACTATAATACTATGGACTGTCAACTTGATTGAAATACAAATGAAAAGGTGAGAAATAAAGTCTTGGGTGATACTTGATATAAGGTAACCACCCAGATGGTCCCAAATTATTTTGTTACTTTTAATAGAGTGGTGCCAGGTGGGTGGGTATCTAGCCACTATGCTGTAAACCTGAAACTAGTACAAAATAATATTAAATGTAAATTATACATTTGAAAAAAGTTTAAAAAAAATAAAAGATAGTCATAGAAAAAAAAAGACATTTGGGAGGAAGGGTACCTCAGGGCCATGTTCTCCCCATTTAGTTCAAGCAGAGGATTTACAATTTTTTGTTAATCCTCATCCAAGGATATTTTTTCCCCATTGACTTTTTATTTTAGTTTTTTTTTTTTTCTTTATTGATTTTAGAGAGAGAGGAAGGGAGAGAGGGAGATAGAAACATCGATGAGAGTGAACATCAATTGGCTATTTCCTGCATGCCCCCCACTGGGAATCAGCCCACAACCTGGGCATGTGCCCTGACCAGGAATCAAACTGGTGACCTCTTGGTGCATGGGTGGACGCTCAACCACTGAACCACACCAGCCGGCTTCCATTGACTTTTAGAGAGAATGGAAAGGAAGAAGGGAGACAGGGAGGGAGGGAGAGAGAGAGAGAAACATCAAAAGAGAGAAAGAGAAACATTGATGTGAGAGAAACACATCAATTGGTTGCCTCTTGCACATGCCCCGACTGAGACTGGGGATCAAACCCATGACCCTTTGGTGTGTGGGCTGATGCTCTAACCACAGAACCATATCAGCCAGGGCTATAATTTTTTTTTTTAATTGGGATTCTGTGTAAGATTTCATAGAGGAAGAAAAGGCTCTACCTCGTTTACCAATAAAACTTAAAATTTTCTGCTCTAACAGCATAGCATGAACCAATTTCATGTTTGAAATTTCAGCTAAAACATCTAACTGGAAGCACAGCAGATGTGTACTTGGAATACATTCAGCGAAACTTACCTGAAGGAGTTGCCATGGAAGTTACAAAGGTATGACTTTAATTTCTACTTCTGTTGGAGGGTAGATCTGTGTTGGGTCACAGCCTTCTCAGGAGCTTCCCGGGTGTAATCTGAATACCCGGTATGCAGGGCAAGGAGAGGCAGCAGAGAAAGGCAGCCCACCAAATGGTAGGTCAAGTTTAATGAGCAAGCTTGTCTTGGGCAGCAAGACGATTGGGTTTTCTTACTTACCTGCCAGATCTTAAAAGTTTATACAGAGGCTGTAACAGGGTATTCACATACCCAGGAGACTTGACGGGGTCAGTCATGTACCCAGTCCAGACAGTGTCAGTACCCCATTTCTGTCTCAAGCCTGTGTCCTTGAAGCAGGTTGTGGGAGCAGGGAAGGCGAGCAGAACACACATTCCAAAGCACAGGGAAGGGGACAAGGAGCCTTCAGTTGCCCAGATTCAGCTCACAGGGCAAACTGGTGGGCATGTCTTTTTGATCCCCTTCCCCACATCTGGGTTGTTATAATTCCTCACAGACTAGTCCTGGCCCCCTGAGGGAGAGGAGGGCCTGTGGTGGACCTGGAGGCAGGGTTTCACAGTGGTTAGGGTCTTCACCTCCCTGTGCATTGGTGGCAGCTCAGCTGAATCCTGCAGCCACATCCTCCCCGAGCCATCTCTGAAGTCCCCTCCCTGTCAGGAGTTGTCTATACTTGGGGCCCATGTTAAGTGGCAGTCCCCACAGATCACTAAGGATCATATAGATTATATATGTCAGAGTTTTATATACCACCAGGTTTTCTTCTCTGTTTCAAAGCCTACAAAAAGATGAGAGGGATAAAAGAATAAAGTCAAAGGATTTACGGGAACAAAATTAATCTATTTTGTAGCCAAAGAGTTCAGCTAAGTCCACATTATATTATAGTTTTATTTTTCTCTTTTTAGACAAAATTAGAACGGTTACCAGAACACATCAAGAAGCCAATCTGGGAAACGATGCCAGAGGGAAAAGAAGAAAGCAAGTCATAAAGTCTCAGAGACTGGTGCGGGCTTTTGAAATGAGGGCGGGCCAGCCTCGTGGGCTGAAGCAGAGCGTGCTTCCAGTTGGGACGGTTTGAGGCCGTGTGACCGCTCTGTGAGTCCACATGTCCTGATCAGTGGGCAGCAGGGGCTGGGGCGTGAAGGACACAGTGGACCAGAGTGCAAGAGCCCCGTCATCATTTCAGTTCTGATATTAACAAATGTGAGTAAACCATGTGGACGACTGTCCACCAAAAGAGTCTGTTTACATTTTTTATTCTGCTATTCAATTATTAGTTTGTACTGATTTTAGTTTATATCATTCTTCTGAAAGTGAATGTTTGAAATTTGCTCACATACATTTTTTTCTTTTGAGATTCCTAGAAGGAACCTTTGGTTAATTTGATTAATTTAACACTGAACGATTCAAGTTTTTTAACCTTCACTTTAGTGTAGGCTGGCACATGGTCATTTGTTCGGGGGTGATGACTTCCAAATTATACCTCGTTTAAGCCCTGTTCTGAAAACGTACTTTACAGCAGACCGAGCACACTTGTGGGACGTACCGAACTCCTGTGGCCCAGACCCTCGCAGGGCTGCTCACAAGGGTCACCGACGTGGAATTTAAGCTCTCAAGAAAGTACCACCTGTATCGTTTCACCCATCATGTGATTCATCCATTCAACAGGCTTTTATTTTGTTAACTTACCAAAAATTGAATAGAAATAACAGCTTTTGAAAATTGTGCAAGGCACAGAAAATATTTTCCTTATTAAGTTCCTCACTGATAAGAAGGCCTCTTTTCTTTCGGTGAATGGTGCTCTTTTCGTTTGGAAATGTCTACTTTTCCATGAAATTAAATAGTCGTTAAAGCCCTGAAAGAAGCAGGACTACAATGGGCTGAAACTGCTGATGTATCAGCCCCAGGGGAGTGATTCGTTTCCTTTTTACAGCAGAATCAGGGCCTCCTCTTTTGTAGTTTTCTTCACATCTTCGGAGTGGTTATGACTTCTCAGTTTTTCCCCCCCTAAACTGGAATTCCTATTCTCTCTTCCCGACCTGCTATCAGGTATCAGTGTTTTGAATGCATACTGCTTATGTATCAGACTTATATTACTGTCATTAACATGAAAAGAACTACAGCCTTGTGGCCTATGACCTCATTCTCTTCGAAGCTCAGTTGCTGACTACTCATTCACAAATGCCTAAAGCATGCTTATCTCAGGTATAAGCCTCAGGATTAAGAATTAGTCAATAAAACAAGAGCAATATAATGGTAATTATTTCCAGCAAAGCAGCAATTTGTGACCTATTTTTACTTTAAATCTTTAAAAATAAATACAGCTTTTTGTGTGTTTTAGATAATATTAATCGCTGCAGTACAGTAGGATGATTCGTGCGCACTCAGCTCCAGTGACCCAGCCCCCCCCACCCCCCGTGAGCTGCTCAGAGATGTGCGTCTGCTTCCAGCTGTTTTCATGCTGAATGAGCCCGTGAGCCAGATTACTTAGTTTAACACATCAAATTATATATTAAAATTTTTTTAAGATAAAGATGCAAATAAACTGCACATGACAAAAACTAGTGGTACTTCTTTGACAGAAGTATTTGGCATTTTGAAGCTTACTTCTTTTTTTTTTTTTTTTATCCTCACCCGAGGACATTATTTTTCCATTTTTTGTTCAGGTAGAGTGGAAGGGAGAGAGAGGAACAGAGAGAGAGAGAGAGAAACATCGACGTGAAAGGAACACATCGAGTGGCTGCCACCCGCACGACCGACCAGGGCCGGGGACAAACTGCAACCGAGGTACATGCCCTTAGCGGGAACCGAACACGGGTCTCTCTGGACCGCAGGCCGACGCTCTAACCGCTGAGCCAAACCGGCCAGGGCGAAGCTTACTTCTTGATATAAACAAGGTAATTTCTTTATCCTGATAGGCTGAGAAAAAAAATTCTTTTAGTTTGGTCTCCCAAGTAAAATGCATATTCTAAAAATTACAATTAACGCCCAAGTCTCTGTCCATGGTGGGGATGGGAGGTGGTGGGAGAAAATGGGACCCAATAGTAGAATGAACCAGAAGACAGGTAGGAAGTGGGACTATTTTTCATTGAGAGATAGCCCTGAGTTCGTTGTTGCTTTCTCTGATCTGAAGAATATCTTCTTTTCATATTAAATGAAATAATGTCATGGTCTGTTTAAAATTATTGATAGGCCTCTATGGAGTAAACTTGTTCAGAATTTCAAAGAGAATCACTTACATGTTTCTCTGACCACCTTATGCATGCCACAGTAAGTATATAAAGGAGTTGCTTTGAACTAGTAATCTAATTTCTTAACGTTTCCATTTGTCAGCTACGGTGCTTTCTTTCCTACATTATGGATTTAGTTTTTCTGCAACACTAATGAGTAGCAGAGAAGAGAAAACATGGACTTCAGAGTCAGACAGTTCTGAGTCAGATCAGAGTGCAAACCCACTATCTGCAATAAACTTGGACACGATAGTTGACCCTGTCAGAGCCTGAGTTTACTCCTTAGTGAAATGTAGGAAGTAATGCCTGCTCACTAAGGTAGGGGCATTAAATTCGGTAACGTACAAGATGCCTCACAGCAGTGATATGTAGCAGACACCACTGGATGAGGTGCAGGTTTGTGGTGGTCCAGATGCTCGCACACTGTGCTCTTTAAAGCCAGCTGGGAAGGGCCTCCGAGCATCTCCAGGGCGAGGCAGGACTTGTCCCTACAGTGGCTGTGAATGTCATTTAGATGAGAAACACGTAATGTGCACAAGAGTCACCACTGTGCATTTCGCCAACCGTTTTACATAGTCATTTACAGCTACTCTTTATAACAACCCAATATAGTTATGTTATTACCCCCATTTTCCAGAACAGGAAACCAAGTTATGACGTCCCCATTCATTATCCTTCCAGTCTACAGATGAGGCTGAGACAATGAGGGTGAAACTGATTTGTTTGAGTTCAGATTAGTGACAGGGACAGCCCCAGAACCTAGTTTTTAAAAAGTAGGAGGTATTCAATATTCAAACCTAAAATCCAGATTTATTTCCCCTTTTACACCGGCAAAATGTGCTTATTTCCCCTAAAGCTTAGAAGTAAAATGATCAACTGCGAATGGGGGGGATCTGAGGAATAAAAGATGTTAAGTGTGATCTGCACAGAGACAGGGGTGTGCCCTGGCTGATTTGGCTGAGCAGTTAGAGCATTGGCCTGTGGTCCGAAGGGTTGTGGGTTGGATTCCTGGCTAAGCGTATGTACCTGGGTTCTGGATTTGATCCCCATCCCTGCTCAGTGTTGTGCCGGAGGCAACCAATTGATGTGTCTCTCTAACATCGATGTTTCGCCCCTTCCTCCCCTCCCTCCCACTCTATCTAAAAATCGATGGAAAAATATATCCTTGGGTGAGGATTAACAAAAATTTAAAGACATGGGGTGTAATATACAGTGAGAACCCTGTGGTCTCAAGGTCATGAGTGTGAAGGGGCAACGCAAGAGTTTAGGCTACATCAAGGAGGGTCCTGCTGGGTCAGAAGAACACTGGTGTGGAGGTTATTTACGAGGTCTGTTGCTCAACTATTCCTTACACCTGGAGCAGGCTGTGGCTGACTGCCCGTGGTCCCCAGGGTTCTCCGCAAATCCCCGATCAGTTCCTAACCCTGCCTCCCTTAAATCCCTACTGTTGTTACTACAGCTATCATTTCTCTCTATGGAGTCCTAATCCTCTTTAAAATGATATATTTATACTTCAACAGCTCAGCAGTGTTTATGGGGCAGGTCATGGGCAGCTGACCCACATGAAAAGCCAACTGAATTTTAAATTTTTTAGCCAGAGGCTAAATCAAGTTATATTTCATTCATACAGTTTTTTTTTTTATCCTCACCCCAGGACATTTTTTTCTTTTTTAGTTCAGATAGAGTGGGAGGGAGAGAGAGAGAGAGACATGGATGTGAGAGGGACACATCGAGTGGCTGCCACCCACACGACCAACCAGGGCCGGGGACAAACTGCAACCGAGGTACATGCCCTTAGCGGGAACCGAACCTGGGTCTCTCTGGAGCGCAGGCCGACGCTCTAACCGCTGAGCCAAACCGGCCAGGGCCATACAGTTTCTTAATGTGAGCACAGTTACTGCCCTTTAATCACTCCTCGATGCTGCGTAAGTATTGATAAATATGAAGAGGGTCGGGGATGACACCGTCCTCACAATGAGCCGGCTGAGGCGCTGTCGGTTCAGAGCCACAGCAGCTGATGGACACCTGTGGTCTCCAGGTGTGATGAGACAGGAGCAGGGTGAAGATCACGGAACAGAAGATCTTCAAGTCCTCTTCTAGTTCCAAAGGCCCATTATCTTTCACATCAATAAATATCTGCTCACCCAGGCGCTCTCGACAGAGTCAAGGGGAGTTGTCTTGCAAAGTTAAGGAGTAATCGCTCCCATTAATTCAGCAATGACTTGGTATCATGCACTTGCTCAGTTACGCAACAAGCATTTGAATTCCTTGTATGTGCCCAGCACTGTCCTCGGCACTGGGAATTCCGCAGTGTATATGGTGAAGTCCTTCTCATCAAGCATCGTAGACTATGGGGAAGACATAATAAATAAGGGAAAAAATAAGATGGTTTCGGCTGCAGTTAAATGCTATGAAGAAAATAAAGTGGGATAATGTCAGAATTACTTGAGGAGGGGAGCCATGTGAAGACCTGGAGGGAGAGCAGTCCAAATAGCAGGGCCAGTCAGTGTTAAGACCCAGTGACCTTGGTGTGTCTGCGGACAAGGACAGAGGAATACACAGAGCCAGCGGGGGCTAGATCATGGAATGCATCACGGCCGTGGGGAACAGGGTGGGTTTTCTGAGCGCAAATGGGAAGCCATAGGAGGGTTTGAAGCAGGCAAGTGATAGGATCTGAGTCATGCCTTAGGACATGCTACTCTGGCTGCCGGGTGTGAACTGTAACGAGGGGGTTGGTAAGAGGGGTCAGGACCTGCGGCAGTGGACCAGGCGAGAGGATATGGCCTGGACTGGAGTTGAAGTAGTGAGGTGATGAGAAGTGGTTGGATTCAGAATATAGTTTGGAAGTGGAGTTGATGGGATGACCTACTATAGATTGAAATGAGATCTAAGAGAGGATTCAAGGATGAGTTCTAGTGTTTGGCCTAAGTAACTGGGCAAATGGTGAGGCCCTTACTGAGGTTGAGAAGGGGTTTGGCCTTGCAAAGTTTGCGATCTGAGCATAGATGTCCAGTAGGCAGCTGAGCTCACGAATCTGGAGTTCTGGAGAGAGGTCCAGGCTGAAGATACACATTTGGAAGCTATCAGCTTACAAGTGGTATGTAATTTGGGGGGTGAATGCGTTCATCTAGGGCGGATGTAAGTAGATGAGAAGAGTACCAGACAAGCCTGCAAAGCCCTAAGCATGTAGAGATTTGGTAAAACGGAGGAGGTTCTAGCACAGATGAGCAATCAGTGGGGTTAGAGTGAAATCAGAGAAGTGTGGGTCCTTGAAACCTAGAGTATTTGGAGAAAGAATTCATTTGGTGAACTATGGTAAGTCTGCTGGCAAGTTGAGCAACAAAAGTAGGTCATTGGTGACCACTGTCGAAGTGGTCGACTTTCATGGAGTGACTGGAGCATCCAATTGGAGTAAGTTGAGGAGAGACTAAGAGGAAAGATGAGGACACAAAACAGGTTTGAGAATATTCAGTTATTTATTGCTACCTTAAAAAAATGCCCAAGATTTAGTGGCTTAAAATGGAGACGACATCTACTTTGCACACAAATTTGCAATTTGGTCAGGGCTCTGTGAGGACGTGGCTTCATCTGGTGTCAGCTAGAGTGTGTGGAAGGCTGGGCTGGAGTCTCTCACTCAGCCACACGTCTGATGGTTGAGGCTGGTAGTCCAGAACCCCTGCGAGTGCCCGGGCTTCCTCGCAGTATGGCGTCTGGGTTCCGAGGGCAAGTACTGAGAGCCAGGCAGAAACCTGTCACCTTTGATGACCTAGCCGTAGAAGTCTCTGGTATCACTCTGCCGTTCTCTTCAGAGTAACCACAAAGTCCCATCCAGGTTGAAGAGGGAGAAATAGACCAACCCCTTGGTGGGAGGGACACCTGAGACCAGATCTATTGCTGTGCCATTTTTGGAAAATACATCTGCCACAAAGGGATTTGTTGTAAGAAAAGCCTAAGTTAACAGTAGGTGGAGGGACTATGGGCAGGGCCAAAGGATCCAGGATCCAGAGTGCCGAGGGCACACAATATTTTTAATTTCCTTGAAGTGTTTTAATTTCTTTCAAAATCAGAAAATGAGTTTAATCCAGTCTGGATTGGACTGGATTATAGTCATCTTTATACCAACGAGTGATAAAATATTTTCAATATTTACTTATGTAATATTTATTTATTCCATATGTATCTTATGACCCGTGAAGGTAAAGTGTGTAGGCCCATGCAAGTGTCAGTGGGACCTGAATGTGGGAGCAAGGCAGGGTGTTTGTTGGTTTTACTCTGAGGATGCAGAGGAGGAAGGACTCATGGGAAGGAAGTGCTTGAGCAGGCAGAGAGCCGAGCCCTGGAAAACAGGTGGAGGGCCCGACCGGTGAGAAGCGGAAGGGGCGCTGCTGCCGAACCAGGACCTGCTGCCGAACCAGGACGGCCGAGAGGCGGCACGGATGGAGCCGTGTCTGTGGGCAGGTGAGGTGGCTGGTGGCTGAGGCATCTCCTTCTCTGGAATGAAGCCGTGACGCCGTCCGCTGAACGGGGGAGCAAGTGGAGGTCTGAGGGGGTGGTTATGGGATAGTCATCTCGGGGAGGGGACAGTGAAGGCAGCAGGGACGAGGAAGCAGTCATTTGACGTATGTGCAGCCAGCGTGACTTTATGATTTTTCTCATGTTCGACCTCCTGGGTGCAGGTGGGGTGTTAGCACACAGGTAGTGGTTAGCTTTAGCCAGGGTCAGGTTTTGCCACGTGAGTGGTTAGAGGGGGAGGGGGTGCAAAGGTCAGGGTCATGGTAAGGAAACAGCCAGCGTGCTGGGCCGTGGGTAAGGATAAGGAGGAAGTGGGGGTAGACGTGAAGTGAATGATGTTTTAAAACACAGGAGATCAGTAGGTTGCAAGTCTCACTAAGGCTGGCGACTTCCTGGAGCGCAGGTGTTAGGGTGAGTGAGCTGGAAGGAGAGGTGGGCTGTTCAGAAGCTTCGGAGGGAGACAGAAAGGCCTGAGGCACGGCCAGGGTATGGCTGCCAAACTGTGTGCATTGGAAGGACCTGCAGGGCTTGTGAAAATAAAATTCCTGTTTCAGTAGGAGAGGTGGGGCCTGAGGGTTTGCATGTCGAACAAGCTCCCAGATGCCGGCCTGCTGGCCCAGGGACCTCAGGTGAATGGGGGCCAACGTGTGGTGGAAAGAGAGCTCTTCGGAACTAAGGAGATAAGGAAGGACCTTTGAGGCTGGAGTGTGGGATGGGTCCGCTCTCCTAGATGTGGCTGTCTCTGAGCTGATGCTTTGAGACACGTGAACTCAATAGTGAACAGTGGCAACAAGGCTGAGTGCGTGGAGGAGCAGAGTCAGACATGGCTTTGAAGGGACTGGCAGTTTTTTAAAAAATATATGTTTTTATTGATTTTCTGAGAGAGGAAGGAAGAGAGATACAGAAACATTGATGAGAGAGGCACATCGATCGGCTGCCTCCTGCACACACACTTCCCCACTGGGGATCGAGCCCACAACCCGGGCATGTTCCCTGACCTGGAATCAAACCGGGACCTCTCAGTCCATGGGACGATGGTCAATCCACTGAACGACACCGGCCAGGCCAGGCAATTGTTTTTAAAATATGTTTTTATTGATTTTTAGAGAGAGAGGAAGGGAAAGGGAGAGAGAGACACATCGATCGGCTGTCTCTTGCACAACCCCCCCCCCCCACACACACACACACTGGGGATCGGGCCCACAATCCAGCCATGTGTCCTGACCTGGAATCGAACTGACAACCCCTTGGTGCATGGGATGATGCCCACGCACTGAGCCACACTGGACAGGCGGGACTGTCATTCTTGAAGGAGAAGAGAGAAAAGGTGGAGGCAACGATTAAGAGGAGGGAGGAGACTAGCCAGCCTTATTCTCCGGACCCTGAGGGAGGTGAGCGAATAGTCCACCAGCACTTGGCAGGATAACAGAGTGAGGCTCCTCCCTCACACGTGGGGAGGGAGGAGAGCACCGTGAGGGCAGGGGCGCGTGAGGCTGAGAGCCACCAGAGCAGGTCTGGCTTCCGTGCCAACCCCCTGGCAGACACGCGATGAGACGGGCCGTGCTGCCCGAAGACAGGCTCACTGGGATGGCTGCCCGTACATCTGGAAAACTCACTGCTCCGGGTTTTCTGATTTCTTGGAGGTGCTATTTTTATATTATATTAACACAAGCATGAATATATAATTGATTAAAAAACAAATTTGCATGAACTTTTAATATAAAAGTAAGACTATTTTAAGCCATGTTCCCAGATCCTTCTCACATGGAGAAGAAGCCTATAGGCCTTGGGTGAAGGGTGTTGGAGGGAAGCATCTGTACTTTAAATTGGAAAATGGGAACCACTAGGCAGTCAGTGGTTCTCAACCTTCCTAATGCCGTGGCCCTTTAATACAGTTCCTCATGTTGTGGTGACCCCCAACCATAAAATTCTTTTTGTTGCTACTTCATAACTGTAACTTTGCTACTGTTATATCTTAGGCGACCCCTGTGAAAGGGTCGTTCGACCCCCAAGGGGGTCGCGACCCACAGGTTGAGAACCACTGCTCTAGAGTGTGATCTGTAACGGAGCCAAAGGCATTGTGCTGGGCACTGAGCTTGGGGACAGGGCTGCGCACCAAGGGCCCTTCACGCCATAGGCCCTGCTGCTTCTCACTAGACCATGTGGAGGAGCGGGTGTTTGTTTCTGGGCTGGGAGTTGGCCTTGCTTCCTCTATGGACTCCAGAGTCTCCTGTGTCTCCAGGGTGGTCTCTCTGGAGCAGCGTGGTGCCCAACTAAAGGGACAGGGAGTGTGTGGGACATGGGGGGGCTCGGCCTGTCTTCCCAACTTGTCTTCACTCCACCTTCTCTCAGTTTCCTCCCCTCCCCCCCTTCAGAATCTTCTGGGTGGCTTAGCTGAGTGGTTGACAGATGAAGGGGAGTGAGGCTGAGGAGCTGAGCAGGCTGGAGGTCAGCCCTTCCAGGACAATCTTCTAATGATCTTAGAGCTTAGCTGGCTGGTTCCGCCCACCTTGTCGGCCGCCCCCTGACGCTGCCCATCATGTTCAGTTGCCCGGGAGGTGATGAATAGGCTGGCTGAGCTCAGGACAGGGAGGACCCTAACCTAAGGAGTCCATCTGCAGCAGCCCAGGAGGAGACAGAGCCTCGCTCCCTGCCGAGCCGGGGCCAGGAGGAGACAGAGCCTCGCTCCCAGCCGACCCGGGGCCAGGAGGAGACAGAGCCTCGCTCCCTGCTGACCCGGGGCCAGGAGGAGACAGAGCCTCGCTCCCTGCCCAGCCGGGGCCAGGATCCAGGATGGGGCAGCAGTTCAGCTGGGAGGAGGCAGAGGCGGCCGGCGAGATGGACGTGGCGGAGCTCCAGGAGTGGTACAAGAAGTTCGTGGTGGAGTGCCCCAGCGGCACGCTCTTCATGCACGAGTTCAAGCGCTTCTTCAAGGTCACGGGCAATGAGGAGGCCACCCAGTATGTAGAGGGCATGTTCCGAGCCTTCGACAAGAACGGGGTAAGGCGCCCTCGGGGGAGGACTGGTGGCCGATCCGCTTGGCCCATTTCTCCTGAGCCGGAGGAGCAGCCTCACAGGGGCTCCCAGTCCCCAGTCCCCTGCTCTTCTTTTCTCTCCTTTACCCTTCACCGTTTGTCTCACTTTCTCAAAAACTCTCTCTACCATCAGTCTGTGCCCTCCCATCTTCTCTTCCCTCCTCTCGTCTCTCCGCTCTCACCTGACTCCACTAACAGCACCGAAGGGAGGCGGGCAGGGCACACAGTCCAGACCTCTCTGTATTTACCGCCAGGGCTTTGCGGCCAAGGACTTGGTTTCCCACCCCCACCAGAGCCCCTGTCGCTCTAAAGATGAGGAGCAAAAGGGCTGCCCAATGGGATGAGCCGATGTTGGCACGGACCCGAAGCTCCTCCTCTCCGTCTGCGAGGCAGCAGGAGGAGTAGGTTACTTCAAACTAAATGATGAGAACGGGGCACAAGGAAGTGAATTCGTTTGCCCAGGATGATATCCTCAGGGGTTCTGACTCCCAGGCACGGGCACCTGCCTAGGAGGCAGTTTGTGTTTTATAAAGAGAGAAAGTGAGTTTGTTTTTAAAAAGCAGGACATATATCACAGAACTTGCTATCATAAATATACCTATCTTCCCCTTACTCATCTAAAAATTCAATGTAACAATTCAAGAGCCTAAGGGATTATTTTAGCCCTGGGTATAATATAGCTGGACCCCTTACACCTCATCTCATCTAACAAATTAGCATATGCACTCATCAGTTGCTTTTTCCTTTCTTTATAACATTTTATTATTATATTATTATTTTTTAATCCTCACCCGAGGATATTTTTCTATTTATCTTCAGATAGAGTGGGAGGAAGGGTCAGTGGGGAGAGAGAAACATCAACGTGAGAGGGACACATCAACCGGTTGCCTCCTGCACAACCCTGACCAGGGCCGGGGACAACCACAGCCGAGGTACGTGCCCTTGACCAGAATCCAAGCCATGACTCTTTGGTCTGCGGGCGGACACTCTAACCACTGAGCCAAACCAGCCAGGGCAAGGCCATTCTTTTTTTTTTTTTTTTTTATCCTCACCCGAGGACATTTTTTTATTTTTTGTTCAGATAGAGCAGGAGGGAGGGAGGGAGGGAGGGAGGAAGGGAGGGAGGGAGAGAGAAAGAGAGAGAGAGAGAGAGAGAGAGAGAGAGAGAGAGAGAGAGAAACATCGACGTGAAAGGGACACATGGAGTGGCTGCCACCCGCACAACCCAACCAGGTCCGGGGACAAACTGCCTTAGCGGGAACCGAACCCGGGTCTCTCTGGACCACAGGCGAACTCTAACCACTGAGCAAACCGGGCAGGGCCAAGGCCATTCTTTTAAATAACCTAATACAATGATCAAAATAAGGACCCTGGCCGGTTTGGCTCAGCGGTTAGAGTGTCAGCCTGTGGTCCTGAGAGACCCGGGTTCGGTTCCCGCTAAGGCAGTTTGTCCCCAGACCTGGTTGGGTTGTGCGGGTGGCAGCCACTCCATGTGTCCCTTTCACGTCGATGTTTCTCTCTCTCTCTCTCTCTCTCTCTCTCTCTCCCCCCCCCGCCCCACTCTATCTGAACAAAATATCAAAAAATGTCCTCGGGTGAGGATAAAAAAAAAAAAAATTTAACATTAATACAATTCTATTACCTAAGTGACCATCCATATTCAAGTTTGGTCAATTTGTGCTGATAATGTACTTACATGTTTTTTTTTAGGTGGGGATCTGATCACTCAATGTACTTCCTTGTCCTTGTCTCCTTACTGTTTAATTTGGAACCTTTAACCTCAGCTTTTTTTTGTCTTATTTGTAATCAGTAAGCATCTTTTTTTTTCTTTATTGATTTTAGAGAGAGAGGGAGATAGAAACATCGATGAGAGAGAACATTGATTGGCTGCCTCCTGCATGCCCCCCTAGGGATTTGGCCCACAACCTGGGCATGTGCCCTGACCAGGAATCGAACCAGTGGCCTCTTGGTGCATGGGTCGACACTCAACCACTGAGCCACACTGGCTGGGCATTGGCACAATCTTTAGATCAACAGGTCTCATTTCTGGACAATTGATCTGAGATTTTCTTTTTAGGACACCAAGTTTTCTTTAATTATTTTTTTGGGGGAAGGGACATCATACTTCTGCCCAATTAAGAGAAACATTTTTTATCAGTACAGTGGTCTTCTTTTTACACTTATCACGCCATGAACTCACAGGGATGGGTTCCAGCGGCTCAGGCTCCTTCCCATTGGTTCTCACAAAATGTGCTTCTCTGGGGCCGACAGGACAGGGAGGAGGATGACGCTTCAGCTGAACCCAGGTCCCCTTCTCCTTGGCTTCCTTCTCTTTCTGATCATTTTCCTTCACGCGTTGCAGGAAGCTGTCTCAGCTCTTAGAGGCTTACTATGCTCAAGCCGCACAGTAATTCTCTTGGCAAGAATCTTGCCCTTGACTTGTGTGTTCACAACATGCCCACTGCTTGCTGGGTGACCTGTAGACTCTTCCAGCTTTGCCATGGTAACATTTGTGGGGCATTCCTTTTTGAACAGTGCCTGTTCCCTTTATGTCCACAATGTCACCTTTCTTACAGATTCGCATGTATGTGGCCAAAGGAACAACTCCACGTTTTCTAAAAGGCCTAGAGGACATATCGCGGGTGCCTCTCCTCTTTCCCTTTGTGTTCGTCATTTTGGCGAATTACTGGAAGATGGAGGTTCCGGCCGAAAAGCGATCTGAGATTTCCAAGGCAAATAAAATCAAAAGAGCTCATAGATCTAGCTCACATGTCAAAATCTGGGGTGACAGAGACAGGGGTTTGGTGGAGACAAGCAGGGAGGGGCACTGGAGTGGAAGAAAAGGGTTGAAGCTCAAATGTCATTTGGGACACTTATGTAACATGCATTGGGGGCGGGGGTCAGGGCTGGTGCACAAATGCAGCCGATTTAGGAAGAAACAGGGAGGGCAGACAATCCCAGAGCAGACCACGTGCCGATCACCTCTGCTCCGACCTCTTGAGTAGACAGGTGTTTCCATCATCCTGGGCTCCTGTGGGTAATTAAGGCTGACGAGGGCCGGTGCACACAGAAGAGTTAGTACCAGCTGGAAGATTCCCAGAAATGGTCCTGGGCAGGGGTGGGGTGCAGTAGCCTCACAGGTGAGATCACTTGTCTGGACGGGTTACTCTAGAACATGCCTCTTGTTAGGCAAAGGATTGTGGGGAGGAAGAAATTTTCCTTGACCTTCAAGTTTCTTCTGGCCCATCTAATAATCACATAGGCATAAGACAGAGTAGCAGGAGAAAATAAGTGTAATACATGTAAGTGTCTGGGAGCCCCGCATGTATGAGAGTCAGAGCCCCGCATGCAGGAGAGGCGCAGAGACAGGAAGGGAACGTGGACCGTAAGACAGTCTGAGCTGGGGGTGAGCTAAGGAGCCTCAAGGGGCTTAAAGGGTCGTTGCAGGGTGATAAGAAGAGCAGATGTTTACTATATCAAAATTTGTCCTTCGGTCTAGATAGCTCAAAAGAAGTTATCTGTGGTAATCTGTTAATATGGACAAGGCCCCTAATTCAAGTTGTTCTAGATAGTTAAGGGAGGGGCAGAAGTTTGTTTTGAGCCCCATGCAGTGGCTACTACTCAGCAATAAAAAAGTTGCCTTTAGCTCAGAACAACCTACATACTACAGAGGCACGTTATGGGGTGACTCGTTCTGAACTCCACAGGCTTGTGGAAAACGTATCATGTTGAGAGAGGACACATGAGAAGGTTCTAGGGAAAGAATGCGGGAGAATCCAGAGATCTAAAGCGTAGGGATTTGCCAATGGTTTAGTTTTTCTGTTTTTCTCCCCTTGGTGCAAGGACCAGGCCCACTTTTAGACAGTGGTAGACCTGGAGCAGAAGAAAGTTCTCACTTGATGCACTGAGGAGACTTGTATCTTGAAAGATTCTGCTGTAGGCAACTTACTCCACTTCTGAGTCTCGGGTTACTCACCCACCAAAGCCGATAGCAGACCTGAGGGAGGTGAGGTTTGTAAAAGAGATGGTCCTTACCAGATGTTTGCATGTGTTTTCCTACTCAACTCATTAAAAAGGAAACATAAGGTTGATTTTTAGTAAGTTTAATAAGTCACAATTACTAATGAAAATAGCCTTTTAAAGAATATCAATTATTACATTGTACACCTTAAGCTTACAGTATGTTCTTTAAAAGGCTATTTTGCAATTGTGTCTCAATAAAGCTTGGTGAGGGGGCTGGAAACAAGCCAAATAAACTTCAATGAGCAGAAAACAGATAGGAACCATGCATGCAGTGGAATATTACTCGGCAAAGAAAAAGGAAGGAGCTGTTGCTCTACATCGCAACTTGACTGAATCTCCAGGGCATTGTGCTGTTTTAAAAAAAAAAAAAAAAGCCCATCTTGAATTGATTCTAATTCTATACCAGTCCCAAAGTGAAACTGTTACAGTGATGGGAAACAGATCAGTGGTTGTCAGGCGATTCTATTGGGAGAAGAATGTGATTATTAACAGGTAAGAAGAGAATTTGTGTAGAGATTTACTCATATCTACGCATATGATAAAACTTCATAAAACTATGCACCTACCAAAACAGTACACTAAAGAGTAGTGAGGGTGGGGGAAGGAACAGCTACTGCTAAGAATCTACCCCAAAGAAACTACCAGAATGTAAGAAAAATATATATGCACAAAGTGTTCATTCTGTATTGTAAAATATTAAAACCATCTTCAGAAAGAGGGACTTCCCAGTACACCTCAAAATACATAAAAGATGTCATTTTAATTCATTCTGAAGACGTAGGATTTTTTTGTTGTTGTTAATCTGCACCCGAGAATATTTTTTCCCCTGATTTGAAGGAGAGGAAGAAACACTGATGTGAGAGAGACACTTCGATTGGTTGTCTCGTCTGGGCTGGGGCTCTGAGTGGCCAGACTGAGTGAGACAGAGGTGCTCTGGGCAGGTGCTGTCATTTCTGATTACAAGGTTATGGGAATGGTAGACACTCCTGGGAGCTGATGACTCGGGTGTTTTATTCGGAGAGCTGAGGTCCCCACCCTGAAATACATGAGGTCACGGGTATAAGCTGCGCCTTGTGAAGTTCCACCTGAGACCCTGGCCAGACCGACCTCCTGCAGCTGCCACCCCCAGCCTCCTGCCTCCACCTCCTCTGGAGTCAAAGCAACCTGGCCCTGACCGGTTTGGCTGAGAGGTTAGAGTGTCAGCCCGAAGACCAGAGTCTTGGGTTTGATTCTGGTCAAGGGCATGCACTTTGGTTGTGGTTTGGTCCTCAACCCCAGCCCTGGTCAGGGTTGTGCAGGAGGCAACCAATCGATGTGTCTTTCTCACATCGATGATTCTCTCTCTCTTTCTCCCCCTCCCTCCCACTCTCTCTGAAGATGAATGGAAAAGTATCTTCAGGTGAGGATTAAAAAAAGAAAAACACGTTTTCTGGCCGACTGCTTTTGCCTTCCTCCTTCCTCTGGCCAGTTAGCACCTGAGCTCTATGTCTACCCACCTTCCTGGGGGGGAGGGGCGTGCAGGCTTGTTCTTCGGTGTCATGTCCACCTGGGCCCAGAGGTGAGCAGGGCTGCACTGCCTGCCCACCTGCCCTCGGACTCAGAGTGAATGAAAGTGCAAAAGAAACGTTCAATGTGAGCACAGTTTTCTAATCTCCTTTCAAAACTACCTTGGACTCAAATTCAGATTAAGTAGATTGATTGTTCATTGATTCATAAATACTTATGAGACCTCGACTCCGTGCAGAAGTGGCACTGTGCTGGGCATGGAAGGGAAACAAAAGCAATGTAAGCCTCTGTTTTCTCCAGAGCACATCATGCAGCTGGGGAATGAGACATTCTTAGGAAACAGTCATGTGGCAATGCCAGAGTGAGTCCCAAGCTGTGCAGAACAGGTAGCAGGTGCTGTGAATGTTAGGAGAGGGAGAGATCCCTGTGGCTGACGTGGTCTAAGAAGGAAGGCTTCCTGGAGGAGGGGGCCCTTGAGCTGAGCCTGGCAGAACAGGTAGAACTGGATGATCATGGAGGGGAAAGGATGTGGAAGTGGAGAACAGCATGAGCAAAGGTGCAGAGGCCACACAGAGTGCAAGGACGAGGCAAAGCCCTGAGTTCGTGGGGATGGATGACCCAGAATAGGGTGCACACCTGTGCTCTGGAGGTGGGGCACGGACCAGGAGGGGGCCTCACAGCTTCCACTCCCAATGCAGGACAACACCATCGACTTCCTGGAGTACGTGGCAGCCCTGAACCTAGTGCTGAGGGGCACCCTGGAGCACAAGCTGAAGTGGACCTTCAAGATCTATGACAAGGACCGAAATGGCTGCATAGACCGCCTGGAGCTGCTCGACATTGTGGAGGTCAGAGGTGCCCCTGGGCACAGGAGCACTGCTGGGCTCAAAGGGCTGGGCACTGAAGTGGGGTCCCCGGGGGCTGGGGTTCGGGAAGAGGCATTGAAATCATTCAAGTTTGCTTTCTGTCCACAGTGGAAGTAAGCTAGAAATCACTTACAAAAAGATAACTAAAAAATCCCTAGGTGTTTGGAAATTAGGCAATACACTTCTATTCCATGAATCAAAGACATAAAATCACACACACACACACACACACACACACAGAGTGAAGTAAATAATGATGCAAAAATAATATAACAAAACTTGTGGAATGCAGCTAAAGGTACATTTGCAGACACATGTATAGCCTTAAAATGTCTATATAAGAAAATGAAAGGCTGAAAATCAATGATCTAAGAAGTCATCTCAAGAAATTAGAAAAAAGAAGAAATTAAACCCAAACAAAGTAGGAGAAAGGAAATAATACCAGAAAGAGCAGAAATTGATAAAATAGAAAAAAATGCACAAAGAAAGTTGGTTCTTGAAAAGACTAACAAAGCTGATAAACTACTAGCAAGAATGTTAGCCTGTTACTGCCCAGAGCTGTTGGTGGACACTGTTAGCCCACTTTACAGATAGGGAAGTCACCTCACAGAGGTTCTGTGTTTGCCCAAGTTCATCCACCCAGGAGGCACTGGAGCTGGCTGTAACCCCTGAGGCTCCCTGTCAGGGAGCCTGCTCTGAGCCAGGCTGTGCTGGGCAGCGAGGCCCTGGGCATCTGCCAGACACACCTCTGTCCTCAGCCTAAGAGCTAAGGGCAGTCCTCTTGTCTGTCTCTTCCCCATTTCACTTCACAGATGTTGCCTCGCTGGAGACCCGCAGGAGAAACCTGTTCTGTCCCTCCAGTCTGAACACCTGTGTTTCCTATCATCCTGTTACACACACACACACACACACACACACACACACACACATACATATTCTAAATTCTCTCTTCCTCTGTAAACTAGCACTGAGACCATCACAGTGCCATACACATCCCTCATAAGAGGTTTGGGGTTTCGGCTTTGAGGCCCACAATGGAAAAGCTGGTGGCATCGGGGTGTGGGGGGCGCCGCATGTAAGGTCAGGGCTCCCCGGTTGCCGCTGGGCCAGTGGGCCTAAGAGGCATCAGTTTTGATTTGCGCCCAGGCCCTGTGGTGGGGATGGTGCTGGGCCGTGGGTTGGGAGGGGCGGGGTTGGCAGGGTCCCCTCACGGCCTCTGGGATGTCCCCGCAGGCCATTTACAAGCTGAAGAAAGCCTGCAGGGTGGAGCCGGAGGCCGGGCAGCAAGGCCAGCTGCTCACGCCCGAGGAGGTCGTGGACAGGATCTTCCTCCTGGTGGATGAGAACGGAGACGGTAACGGGCGGAGGGGGTGGCCCACCCCGTAGCACCCACTTCCTCGCCGTGTGACTTTGGGCAAAGCCCTCCACCTCTCAACAACTGGTGTCCTCATCTGTGGGCTGGGTGTGGAGAGGACGCCATGAAACAGCAAAGGTGTCACTGGCACCTGCCGTTCGTAAGAGCCATTAAGACTCCTCTGGGAGCCCTGGCCGGTTTGGCTCAGTGCTGGAGCGTCGGCCGGCAGACGAAGGGTCACAGACGAAGGGTCACAGGAAGGGTCTCCAGTCCAGGGCATGTACCTCGGTTGCGGTTCGGTCCTGCCCAGGTCCGGGTTGTGAGGGAGGCAACCAGTCGATGTGTTTCTCACATTCATGTCTCTCTCTCTCTCACTCTATCTGAAGATAAATGGAAAAATATTCTCAGGTGAGGATTAAAAAACAAAAGCCCTCTTAGAGTTGCTGGTGGAGGTAGGCAAGCGAGCCAAAGGGTGGGAGCTTTGGAGTCAGGCAGACAGATGCTCCATTAACCCCTCCTCACCCTGGTCTCAGCTTCCTCATCTGGAAACGGGGATGGTAATGGCTGAGAGGACTCTTTTTTTTTAATCCTCATCTGAGGACATTTTTCCATTTTTTGTTCAGATAGAGTGAGAGGGAGAGAGAGAGAGAAACATGGATGTGAAAGGGACACATCGAATGGTTGCCACCCACATGACCCAACCAGGGCCGGGGACAAAGTGCAACCGAGGTACGTGCCCTTAGCAGGAACCGAACCCGGGTCTCTCTGGACCACAGGCTGACACTCTAACCGCTGAGCCAAACCGGCCAGGGCTAAATGGGGTAAGTAAAGCCTGAGGCTGTGCAGGGAGGAAGAACACACCCAGGAGAGCCCTCAAGAAGAGCCCTCGAGAACATTACGAGGGTACTATGGGCAAAAGTAAAACTGCAATTCATTTGCAAAGAAGTCCCGTAAAGAAACCCTTGAAGGTTCCAAAAGATTCCTGGAGAATCAACAGGCCCCCAGCTCCGGCCCTAAGTCTGCAGGCCTCCCCTCTCCCCACGACCCCTTCCTTCCATGCTGCCTCATGACCACTCTCTGCCTGTTCAGGCCAGCTGTCTCTGGATGAGTTCGTCAGAGGTGCCCGCCGAGACAGGTGGGTGATGAAGATGCTGCAGATGGAGGTGAATCCCGGCGGCTGGATCTCTCAGCAGAGGCGGAGAAGTGCCATGTTCTGAGCGTCTGGGGCCCTGGGACCCTGTGCGAGGCCACAGGCCCCTCCAAGACGCCAGGCTCGCAGTAGTGGGAGCGCCCCTGGCTCAGCTGTGCCCTGCATCCTGGCAGCCCTGTAGAGGGGGAGGGGACGGGCTGCTGGTCCATTGGGGGAGTTCCTGGGGTGGTGAAGGGAATGGCCTACTCACCCCTTTCAGCTGCTCCTGGGCTGGGCAGTTATGAGGCTCCACAAATTCCCACGCGGTTCTTAGCTGGAAGCAGGAGAAAACTGAGGGGCGGGGTCCCATAGACCTAATTAACAGTGAGCGCCCGCCCGCCCGCCCCGCCCCGGGGAAGCAGACTGGTAGAAGGCAGGGGCTGGAAGGTGGGGGGAGGGGCCTGTAATCGCATTCCCCCAGGATCTTAAGGGTCTACAGAGGGCGCTTGCCCCTCCTCTCCAAGGTGTCCCTACCTGGGGTGCCAACAGGGAAAACTTCAGCCAGCCAGGCCTGGTCTCCTGCCCTTGGAGGGGTCAGCTGTTCTCAAAGGGGCTGCTTCAGCTCTGCCCTGGTTCTGCTTCCCCAGCCCTGGGGCCCGCTGCCTCCCCAACATCCCCCTCCCCTTCCGTACCCCTTACCCCCTCGCCTCTCCAAGACCCTCCCCAGCATGGCCCTGCCACAGTTCCCAGCCACGAGCTGAGTGTGTCTCCTTCGTGAATGGAGACGCCTTCCCTCTGTCTCTGGAGAGAATTGGGGGCCTGATGACCTGGGTTCTAGCTCAGGCTTTGGCTCCAGCTGCTATGTGACCCCAGACGGCCAGTTCTCTTCCTGACCTGTTACTTCCTCTGCACGGTGAGCAGGACTGGACTAGACCAGCAGTTATCAGATGATTATTTTTTTAGATTTTGAATTATTTTTGTTATATAAATTCTATGTGCAACCCAATATAGAAACTAGATTAAAAGGGATCTGAGCCCGGCCGGTGTGGCTCAGTGGTTGAACATTGACCCATGCACCAAGAGGTCACTGGTTCCATTCCCGGTCAGGGCACTTGCCCAGGTTGTGGGCCCGATCCCCAGTGGGGGGCATGCAGGAGGCGGCCACTCAATGTTCTCTCTCATCAATGTTTCTATCTCTCTCTTCTGCTCCCTTCCTCTCTCTCTAAAAATCAATAAAAACCCGGCTGGAGTGGCTCAGTGGATTGAGCACAGTCCTGTAGACTGAAAGGTCCCTGTTTGATCCCTGGTCAGGGCACATGCCCAAGTTGCAGGCTGGATCCCCAGTAGGGGACATGCAGAAGGCAGCCAGTCAATGTATCTCTCTCACATTGATGTTTCTATCTCTCTCTCCCTTCCTCTCTCTCTAAAAAATCAATAAAAACATATTTTAAAAAAATCAATTTAAAGGGGGGGGGGCACTCTGGTTGAAGGAGGGCTGAGCAACTCAGACTCCTCCTACCCTGCAGCCAGAAACACCTCTGAGAACACAGACCCTGGGTCAGAATTACCCCTGTGAGACCGTGTAAAGTAGGACCTGGAAAAACACTTGCTTTACCTTGAATAGATATGTTTTTATGTTGATGTACGAAAAATAAAATTAACCTGTTGAACCTGTGATTTCATAGGTGTGATATTCATATAAAAAGTTCCTTCAGAAACAAATTTTAGGAAAGTGATTGATTAAAAAAAATAGCCCTGGCCGCTTTGGCTCAGCGGTTGGAGCGTCGGCCTGCGATACAGAGAGACCCGGGTTCGGTTCCCGCTAAGGGCACGTACCTCGGTTGCAGTTTGTCCCCAGACATGGTTGGTCGTGCGGGTGGCAGCCACTCGATGTGTCCCTTCACATCGATGTTTCTCTCTCTTCCTCTTCCTCCTGCTCTATCTGAACAAAAAATGGAAAAGTGTCCTCGGGTGAGGATTTAAAAAAAAAAAAAAAAAGTCATAATCGGGGTGGGACACAGATATGCCCCAAATCATAAAGGTGGTATGTGCATGATGCTGGGGAAAGGGCCTTACTCTATCCAGATACCCTCCCAACTCTGACAGGCAGGACTTCGCAAGAGGCGCCACCGGAGGAGGAACAGAAATGTCAGCTCCGTGTGTTGCGAGGCTGCCCCTGGCACTGACCTTCACCACCCTTCATGTCTGTGCTCAAGCCCCGGCTGGCTTCCAGTCTGGGTGGTCCAAGGATGAACAGGATGGTGTGAGCACAGTGCACCCTCTCACCCCCCAGGGGCGCTCTGAAACAGGGGCTTCACTCCCCTTTCCCCCGTTTCTCCTTCCCACCCTGGATTTTTGTTAACTCCCTGCACCCCACACACACCCAGATGAGGTGAAGACTCATAGCCTAGAAGAAATGGGCACACCTGCTTCAGCCTGCTCTCCACAGTTCTTGGACAGGTCTTCCTAAAGTCGGGGTGTACAAGGAATGGGGAAGAGGCCGACCTGTAACAGAGTGTCCCACTTCCCAGCTGATGTGAGGTGTCACTGCAGCAAGAGAGATTTAGGTGAGACCAGGGATGGTCAGCTCACTTGCAGTGAGTCGCAGGCCCGTCAGGAGCCGGCAGCAGCACCGCATGGCCCCAAGCAGCCAGCAGGGGAAGGATGAGGTTTTGTGCAGCAGCCACTTCTGAATCAGTATGTTTTTCCTCTGGTAAACGAGGACTTTCTATAATAGCACCTCACCTTTCACTTTTTGGCCAGAATCCGACTCAAGCACACCTCCCCACAGGGTGTGAACAGGTGCACATGTGCACACACACCACGGCCAGTCATTCACTCCTGATCGGATCTGCACCATCATCCAAACACTCCAGCTCATCTCCCAGGTAGCACTGGAACTTCTTGAAGGAGTTGTTGGTTTTTTTCCTATTACTGGGGCTCTTGGAGGTACTCCCTAAAATGAATATGATAACCCCTTATTGTTTCAAATTTGGTAAAATGTAAATCCTAAGAGACACCCTCAATTTACACCTAAGAAAACTTCTCCCCATATCACACAGCCGCACACGTGATACACATAGGTCACACAGAACGTACCTCTAACCTCACTCACGTCACCTCCACATGCAACCCCCAGCTCTTCGTTCATGTTCATAGTCAAGGGTCATCTGCCTCAGAGTGAGGCTCACTCACAGTTCCCTGTGTACCTACAGGAATCCAGTCATAGCTCCCCTTAGTATATTTTATCATAATGAGGCTCAGCCTGTGAGTTCCTTGAAGATGAGAAGGGTCCTCTTCTTTGCACATCTAACATCTAGCATTAGTACATAGCAGTTGTTCAATACATGCTTGCTGAATGGGAGGGACAAATCGATGCAAACCACACAAGCAGGCTCGGGTGGTCCCGGGCCCCTTGCAGCACCAGGGCGGAGGCTGCGGTCGCAGGACCTATAGGATTCCACCAGGGTCCTGGGAAAGCTGGGCTCTGCCGTCCAGAAGAGGGGCCTGGAGAAGCCCAGCGGGAAAGCGGGGGAGGTTCCGGGAGGGGCAGTAGAGGAGCCTGGTGCAGAGGGGAGTTAGGAGGGCCCGGCAGGAAGCAGTCACCACCAGCCCAGTCACTGCCCCCACCTCTGCACTCCCACCTCGGCCGGAGCTACCACCATGCCGCCCAAGGAGGCAAGCTGAGCCTTTGAGTTCAGTAGACTTTATCTGGTATAAAAACAACCACCACACACACCCTCCCAACAGAGGCATCAGGGCAGCGGGTTCAGCCGGCGGCCTCAGGCGCCCCACCACCCTCCCCTTCCTGGTCTTGCTCGCCGCTCTGGAGTCTGCGCACAATGCTGGTAAGGTCCAGGCTTCGTGTCAGCGTGTCCAGCAGCATCTGGTCCTTCTGGACGCCCTCCATGAACTCCTCCAGGGACAGTTCCCCTGGTGGAGAGAAAGGGAGTCAGGGGAGGAGGGTGTTCGTGTCTCCTTGGTAGCACTGTACCCGGCCCGGGACTGGAGTCTGGCCAAGGGCACAAGGCCAGTGCTGGGGGAAGTGGCTGTGACTGCAGCGGGCAAAGGGGCCAGACACCAAAGTCTGGCCCAGGAGTCCCTAAAATCCAGGTTTGTGGCTGGGACCCTACCCCTGCTCAGCCGGCCCCTGGCGACCCCATCCCGGCCTCCTCACCATCCCCATTGATGTCGATCTTGGAGAACACGGTGTCGGTGAACTCCTCTGCGCTCATGGTGGAGTCGCTGCAGGGGTTAATGGCTCGGATGGCCTGGGGGGAGAAGAAGTGAGCCTGCCCTGTGGCTCAGTGAGAGGTCTCTGAGGTTCATTCCCCGTCAGGGCACATGACCAGGTTGGGCTCAGTCCCCAGGAGGGGGCCTGCAGGAGGCAGCCGATTCATGTTTCTCTCTCATGGATGTTTCTTTCTCCCTCTCCCTCCCTCTCTCTCTAAAATCAATGAAGAAAAAAAATCAATAAAAACATTAAATTAAAAAAAAAAAATGAGAGGACCCTCCTAACTCAGTCCGGTGGTGGTGGCTGGGGTGGGGGGATGAGGAGGGGCAGTGGGCTGGAGGCCAGGGTGCGGAGCTGCAGAGCAGTCCTTGGCACAATGAGGAAACTGAGGCCCAGAGAGGGGGAGGAACGGCTCAGTCGGCCGCTGGGGGGGACAGAGCTGCCCCCGGGCGGGGCGCTGAATTCCACCCCGTCCCCTTGCGACCAGCTCTGCTCACTGAAGACCCCGCGCCGGCTCGGCCCCCTCCGGCCCCGCCCCAGGCCCGGCCTGGGCACCGGCGTTACCCGGATGATGGTGAGCAGCTCGTCGCGGTCGATGCATCCGTTGCCGTCGACGTCGTAGAGCTTGAAGTACCAGCGCAGCTTCTGCTCCACCTTGCCCTTGAGCACCAGGCTGAGCGCCGCCACGTACTCCATGAAGTCGATGTAGCCGTCCTGGGGGGTGAGGCTGCCTGAGCCCCTGCCGCCCCCGCGCCTCCGCCCTGGACCCCGCAGACCACCCCGCCCTGGGCGCCCGCCCCGCCCGCCCCAGAGGCTCTGAGCAGGTCCGACTCCCTGGACGATGAGACTCTGCAATCTGCTGCAACTACGCGCTACTTCTTTTCAGTGCCTCTTGTGCTGACTGGTTCATTCGTTTTACCGACGCTCACAATCACTCCCAGGTGGTTACTTTTGTCCCGTCGTCCGCTGAGAAAGCTGAGGCTGACAGAGGGTAGCCACACAGCTAGTAGATGACAAGCCCTTGCCTAGAAACTCGGTTTCCTGAGTCCTGATGGCGCTCAGATGCGGGGATGGAAAATTCACACTGGGTTGGGCCTCCTGTGTGACCGCCCAGCACAGCCAGGCCCACACACCACTTTGAAATAAACAAAGCATGTGCTTGTCCCCAGGTCACACTCCCACCCACACTGCTGGACCCCCAACCCTGCCCACCCAGCACCGCACCCTAGGACACAACCCTCTTCTAACTCGGGCTGGCTGACATTTTCTGTAAAGGGCCAGATGGCAAATATTTCAGTTTGGACAAAATGTAAACACGTGTGTGTGGTGTGCTCATTCATCAGAATAGGCCACAGGCCACTGTTTGCACACCCCAGTTTTAACTCCCGTCTGTATCAGTTTCCGAGCCGACCTGCTGAGTGGCTCCGGTCTCACGGCAATGGGTGCGGCGATGGTGCCCCAGCGGGGAGTTAGACCTGGTGTCCGCGCGCACTTTAAATATTACAAAGGTGCTCCTCATTTAAATAAATATGTGTTTAAATTAATGTTATTATGAAATATAAAACTAGCCCATAAACTCACGAATTCTCATGTAGTCATTCACTCCTATAGCAGATCTCTGTTAAGTACCTACTATGTTTCGAACGCTGTTTTGGGTGCTGAGGGTACAGCAATGGACAAGACAGACAACAATCCCTGCCTCGCGGAGCTCACATTCCAGCAGGGGAGACAGACAGACACAGTGGCTACATGTTATTCAGTATAATGTATTAGATGTGCTCGGGGGGCAGGACTAGGAAATGCAGGGTTAGGGGCTACTCCCAGTAAAATGGGGTTTAAAGCAGGAGATCAGGGCAGGTGTCAGTGGGAACGAGACATTTGAGCACAGACTTGGAGTAGGAGAAGGTGTGAACCAAGCAGAAATCTGGAGGAAGAGGGTCCCAGGCAGCACCAAAGCCCTAAGGCAGGGGTGTGGGTGACATAAAGGAAGAAGTGAGGTTTGGACAGACCAGGAGGTGCTTGCATATGACAAAGATTGAAGAGGTGGCATATGAATGACTCCGGTTAGGCAAATACAAAATTGGTGGGTTGCCTGTCCCTGATGTCATATGTGGGATTTTAGAGGGTCCTGTCAGAGACGTGTCTTGACCCAAAGGGTTTCTTTCGTAGCTGAGAAGCTGAGCTATTTTGGTGCATTTGGGTGTAAGGTATTGAGGTTCTTCCCCTCCTGCTCAGGAATTATCGCTGCCTCTGGAGGGTTTGGGAGGTCCAGGGTCCTGAAGCCTCCCTTCCTGGTCTCCATGCTCTGGGCTCCAATACTCTGCTCCCTTGCGCCCCCTTCAGGAAAGCCCTGCGATTCCACGATGCTGCCCTTGAGGCTGGGACTCAAAGCCCATAATCTGCTTTGGCCCCTTGACCCCAAATATTAGCGAGTTTTAAATAGCCTCTGAGCCCCAGCTTCCCCGAGAAGCCCCACCTACAATGGTGTGTGGCCCATTGGGCAGTGCGGGGAGCTGGGGAAGCTCTGGGCAGCCTCTCCCCAGCTTGTGGTGGGCACATGGCAGGCCATCACCACGCCTCACCTCTCGGGTGCGCGCCAGCCGCGTGGGGCCAGCCAGGGTGGGGAGCGTTTATGGGTTTGGATTCTTCCACCACTACATCTTGACTTAATTGCCAAATCAATGGAAGATTTGCTATTGAAAACCAACAAACATCTAACGAATGCTCTGACGTCATGGCAGATACAGGTGAATAACAAGCTGAGGTCGAGGGGCAGAGAATGGGTTCAAGGTCACCCAGCTGATGAAAACTAGGGGCCCTAACTCACGGGGCCTACCTCCCTTTTCAGGGTTCCCTCTAACTTATCCAAAGTCTTCGCTCCATGAGGCCAGGTGATTACTTGGAGACACATACAGTTTGACCCCTGTACTCACTTAAGAAAAGGTAAGTGAGGTCGCTGGGCATTTTGGAGTTGGAGTAGCCTGAATACCCCAGTGACTAGGCCACCCTGCCTGTCCCCGGGTCTAGTGATTATCATGGGTGACACAAGAAACGTGGGCCCGTCCATCCCAGACCTGCCGGGGCTGGAGCCTTCACACCTGCTGCCCACTCCCCACCCCTCCTTCTGCATCCTCTCGGGCCTGTGCAAAAGCACCACATACAGTGCCAAGCGCTTAGCAGGCGCTCAATGACTGTCGATTAGTGCTCACACTTGTTCTGAGTAATCGGCCTGTGTTTGTGGGAGAGGCAGAGGGAGCCACTCGGTTCGCCTGCAGGTGCACTGCGGACCCCGCTGTCTTCCCCTGGGGGCCGGAGCAGGAACGCCCGAGTCCTTCGGAACCCCCGGTGCCTGACTCTCAGTAGCTGCTCAGTGAATGTGAGATCGATTTGAGTCCCGAACATGGACATGCCACCTCCCAGATAAACAAAGAAGTGTATAAATGAAGTCACTCCTCCAGCGGACCCCGCTGTTCCCAATCTGCTCCCACCCTCCCCACGCTGGTCGAGCCTCCCCAGGCTTCCCTCCGACGCCCCGCACCCAGGCCCCTGCTCACTTTGTTGAAGTCAAAGGTCTCAAACATCTGCTCCACGTACTGGCTGGTCGACGGGCTCAGGTTCTTGAGGCCAAAGAACTGGCGGAACTCGTAGAGGGTGAGCTGGCCGGAGGGGCACTCGGTCATGAACTTCTTGTACCACTGGTGGCACTCGGTGCTGCTCAGCTCTTCCACCGACTTGCCCTCCATCACGTTGCCCATCCTCCAGGCCTGGGGGAGGCCGATGCCCAAGATGGACAAGTCCTGTGCCCGCTGCTCCCTGCACGGCGCGCCTTGGCTTTTTAGAACTGGGCCCTGCTGGCTCCCAGGCCCGCGTCACCCAGATCTGAGGAAGGAGGAGCTGAGAATCCGTGTAGGGAAATGCCGGCAGCAGAAGGGAGAAGGTGATGGGGGCTGAGCAGGCCTACACCCAGTCCGGGGGTGCCAGAGAGCTGGTGTTCCAGGCCCCAACGCAATCCCTGCCGCCAATGGGGCGGCCCCGGGGAGAGGAGCAGAGGCCTGGGATTACGGCCTGAGCTGCTGGTGAGAGGATTTTCTTACCCACTTTGCAGTCTCCTTGTCCCTCCTTCCCAGGAGTGGGTGGCCAGCCAGCAGCTGTTCTGATCCCGTGACCTGTTTGGAGTGGGTTCCTCGCTCGGGCACAGAACGGAGCTGGTCCCTCTTCCAGAGCTGGGCCAGCTGCGGGCTCTCGACGGGGCTGCTGCTTCCATTTCCCAGGCTGTCACTGCACTTGGCCCTCGCGGCTGAGGTGCCACCCCGCCGGGGAACGCTAGCACGAGCGCTCCTGGGTGATGCGGAGTGTGTGGGCTTCCAAGACGAGTCTGCGGCACCAGTGGGAACCCCTCCTACAACATCCTACACAGGCATACACGGCCATGCACACGCACTCTCTGGTCCTGTTCTGACCTCTCTCGTGTTCCTGGAGGCCTCAGCCTTCGCATCCTGGGAGGCTTGGATTCAACCCTGCATCGGACTCTGAACCTGACACCGTCGCCTCCCAGGGGCACGGGAATAGGGGACTTTGAGTGTGTGCTTCATAGCCTGGTGGGGGGTGGTGCACGTGTGAGCGAGAGGCTGGCACACACATGCATGGGTGAGCTGCTACCTGCTGGTCCTGGAAAGCTCCCAGGCCAAGCCTACAGGCCCATCTATGCAGCAACAGCTTTCCGTGGCCCCTCGGGGGATGGTCTCTGGCCAGGCTTTAACACTGGATCACTTAGGAGCGAGTGCTGGCTCCGGATTCCCCAGTACGCAGGTGAGTCTAAGCTGGATGATACTGGGGAATCCGGAGCCAGCACTCACTCCGTCCGCACTGTCCTGTTTCCCCCCCTCCTTTCCATGTGGACCATGCCTGTCCCCGTCCTGGGCAGAGGGAACCACCATCCACATTCCTGCTTTCCCAGCAGGCACTTGGATGTCTTTCCAGGCTGTGCATTGATGCACGAGCACAAAAGTGTCTTCTATACTTGCGGAAGGGGTGCCCTTTGGGGATGGTTTGTTACCGCAGCTAATCTACCCTCTTCTGACTAATACAAAGACAGTGATTGTAAATACTGCGCAAAATGTCACGAGTCTTTCTAGCCGCACCAGGCTTGCGCAGCTCCTCTCGGGAACCCCAGCCCGTGCTGGTCCCTCCCCCGCTGCAGGGCTGCAAGGAGCGGATTCTCTACTCCAGGCCACAAAGCGCTCTTTCTTCAGACTGCAGACTAAGGAAGATTTTTATATACATGCGTATGTACGTAAATGTACTTATATGTACATACATTGTATAATATAACTATATAATGACATAAATATATTTACAATGTTATGCAATCGATATTGTCTATAATATATTAGATATCACAGTACATACCTAAGCTCTCAGCATCGGCCAGGTAATGCTGTGTAACAAACCATTCTAAAATCTCAGTGGCTTAAAACACCACCACTTTGTTTCTTGCGCACAATACTTGTTGGGTGAACTTGAGCAAGTACTTTAACCCCTGGGCCTGTTTCATTCTTTTTTTATCCTCACCTGAGGACATTTTTCCATTTTTTGTTCAGATAGAGTGGAAAGGAGAGAGAGAGAGAAACATCAATGTGAAAGGGACACATCGAGTGGCTGCCACCCACATGACCCAACCAGGGCCGGGGACAAACTGCAACCGAGGTACGTGCCCTTAGCGGGAATTGAACCCCGGTCTCTCTGGATCGCAGGCCGACGCTCTAACCACTGAGCCAAACCGGCCAGGGCTCAGTTTCATTCTTAAAATGGAGATAATGGTGTCCACCTCGTAGGGCTGTTAAGAGGATTAAATGAATTAAAATTAATATATGGAAAGCATTTAGAACTGGGTCTGGCAAAGAGTAAGTGCCCCATGTTAGCCATCTCCTATTACTTCGTGTCTGTTACAGCGGCTGGCATGCTGTTGGCTTTAGAATCTAGGTGCGGTTACACTGCACCTTGGGCACAGCAGTGTCCCCGGATGACAGCCAACCATGTCTCTTGTCCCTTTAGTCCCATTAACCATGGCCCTGGACTGTGTGTGGGGGCAGACATCCACCTGTGGTAAGGCTCCAGAGGAGGTAGAGGTCTTCATTAAAACCTTACTAAAGCCCAGCCGGTGTGGCTCAGTGGTTGAGCGTCAACCCATGCACCAAGAGGTTGCCAATTCGATTCCCGGTCAAGGCATATGCCCAGGTTGTAGGCCAAATCCCCAGTGGGAGACATGCAGGGATTGGCATGCAGGCCAATCGATGTTCTTGCTCATCGATGTTTCTATCTCTCTCTCTCCTTTTCTCTATCTCTAAAATTAATTTTAAAAAAATATTTTAAAAAAAAACACCTTACTAGATCCAACCCCATCCCCAACCTCCGCCTGTCTCTCCTAAAAGAAGCTGGGAAAGATTATTGTTTTCTTAGCCTCTCTTGCAGCTAATAGTGGCCATATGATGTGGTCCTGGCCAAAGAAATGTAAGTGAAGGTCTGCCATGGTTTTCCGGGGAAACTTTGCTTTCTTGATAAAAAGTGATAAACGATGGAGCTGGTGCAGCCCTCCCCTACTTTGGCCTTGAGTATGAACGTGATGCCTGGAATGCAGCAGCTACCTTGGGACCATGAGGTTACAAGTAGAGGGAAAGACCAAGAAAACCAGAGATGTCAACCATTATCTGTAGAACCCATGGCAATAAGCAATGCCTCTCTGCACAGTTCTGGTTATGTTAGAAAAAGAATCCCCCCTTTATTTAAACAAAAACAAACTAGAACCATCGGAGGCAGTCTGAGAATGGAGGCATCAAGGAGATGGTGGTTCTTGTGCAGTTGCTCCAGGCTCTTGCTCCCAGGAGAGTTCCACTGGAAGTGGACAGAAGGGGAGGACCAGGGGCCTGGAGGTCAGCTCAGAGGGGTGGCCCGGCTCTGTCAAGGAAGGACAGTCCCGCCTTCCAACCGTCAGGACAACCCAGTCTTTGCATGAATAGGCTGTGCCCACTGCCTGGGCAAAGAAATGAGCCCGGAGCGGTGGGGATCTGTGCCCTGAGACACTGCTCAGCCCCAGCAGCCCTTCCTCAGGTGAACAGCTGCTTCCTGCAGCTCAGGAGACATATGAACCACCAGAGGCCAGACCCTGGACACCTCGGGAGGGGTCCCCCTTCTTGGCCAAGATGCTGCAGATGGAATGAACCAGAGGCTCCCTGCGAACCAGAGGAGCCTGGGAAGGTTCCTTCTCTGTCCCTGCCTCATGTGACATCTGCCAGATGCCGTGGGTGGCAGTGGGGTGCAGAGTATGTGCTCTGGGTTATGTCTGCCTTCCCAGAGTTGCTCTCCCCCCAGGCGTAGCTGTCTTCCTTCCCATCATCAAGACCCCCACTGGTCTCTCTTCTTTCTGGCCCTGCAGCTCTTCTTGGCCATCATCCTGAGCAAGTTCATCCCAAGTGCCCAGAGCTCAGAACATCCCTTAGAAGATCAGGGAGATGAGGTGAGGTGACATTAACATTGCCGTCCCTGTCACTATGACCAGAAGGAAATGACCCCAAAAATGTCAACAGGGTTCATTTCTAGGTCATGGAATCACCAGTGTTTTTTTTTGTTGTATGTTTGTTTTTTAATCATTGCTTTTTAAAAAGTATCTGTATTTTGCCCTGGCTGGTTTGGCTCAGCGGTTAGAGTGTTGGCCCGCAGACCAATGAGTCGCGGGTTCAATTCCGGTCAAGGGCACGTACCTCGGTTGCGATTCGTCCCCGGCCCTGGTTGGGGTCGTGCAGGAGGCGGCAGCCAGTCAATGTGTCCCGTTCACACTGATGTTTCTCTCTCTCTTCCTCTCTCCTTCTCCCACTCTATCTGAACAAAAATGGAAAAATGTACTTGGGTAAGAATTAGAAAATAATAATAATAAAATAAAATAAAAATAAAAAGTATCTGTATTTTTTTTATTTCTCACCCGAGGATACTTTTCTATGTATCATCAGACAGAGTGAGAGGGAGGGAGGGAGGGAGAGAGAGATAGAAACATTGATGTGACAGAGCCACATAGACTGGTTGCCTCCCAAATGACCAGACCAGGGCAGGGGATGAAATGCAACTGAGGTATGTGCCCTTGACCGGAATCGAACCTTCGACTCATTGGTCCGCAGGCTGATGCTCTAACCGCCGAGCCAAACCAGCCAGGACAAATGAATCTGTATTCTTAAATGGCTCATAATGAACATATGTTGCTCACAGAGGATAGTGGTTTTTAATTTTTTTTTTTTTTATCCTCACCTGAGGACATTTCTTTTTTGTGTGTGCAGATAGAGTGGGGGAGAGAGAGAGAGAGAGACATCGACGTGAAAGGGACACATCGAGTGGCTGCCACCCGCACGACCAACCAGGGCCGGGGACAAACTACAACCGAGGTATGTGCCCTTAGCGGGAACCGAATCCGAGTCTCTCCGGACCGCAGGCCGACGCTCCAACCGCTGAGCCAAACCGGCCAGGGCAGGATAGTGGTTTTTAGAAAAAAAATCAAATAGGACTGTTTGAGCTCTCCTTTACCTAAAGGGACCAATTTAGGGTCCTTTGGGGGTCTGGGACTGCCAACTTTGATCAAGTTCCAGGGCATGTTTTCTGGGGAAGGGCAGGGAGGGCTCCTTCCAGTGACCTTGCTTGGGGTCCAGGCTCAAGTCTGTCCTTGCAGAGTCCTCTTGGGCCAAGGGTCTGGAAATGAAGGGCTGAGCCGGAGTTGGAAGCTCATCTTTTCATGTCTCCCGCTTACATCCTCCTCGCATTTCATGGTTGGATACAAATGCCGCCTCCCCTGTGAAGCCCTCAGAATCTGCAGAATTCGCCTTTCCTGCCTCAGTACGCCCGTTTTGCTTCTGTGTTATGCTCGTTTTCTATGCTGCTCAACAAGTTACCACAAAGTTGGCAGCTTAAAACCCGACACGTTCATCATCTCGGTTTCTGTGGACCAGGAATCAGGCATGGCTTAGCAGGGTCCTCTGCCCAGGGCCTCACAGGCTGCTCTCCGAGAGTCATCTGGGCTGTGTTTCCATCTGGAGGCCAGAACCCACTTCCGCCTCATTGTGGTTATTAAAAGAACTCATTTGCTGCAGCTGTAGGACTGAGCGCCCTGGCTTTTTGCTAGATATTGTCTGAAGACCACTCTCCAGTCTGCGAAAATGGAATCCTATGTAACGTGACCTAATCAAGGGAGAGACATCCCGTCACCTGTGCCATATTCTGTGGTTTAGAAGCAAGTCACAGGTCTTGCCCACATTCAGAGGCGGGGGACTTTACAAAGGCAGGGATGCCAGGAGGTGGAAACCAGTGGGGGCCATCCTAGGGTCTATGACAACACCCACACTTTACTACAACAGGCATAACGTCCATTTCCTCCTGGAATTGTAGGCAGCTGTTATCCCTGGCCTGCCCTGGGGGATCCAGGGAGCTCCGGGAGGGCAGAGAGCGTGTCTTCCTCATCTCTTGCATCCTCCTCCCGGCACCTGGCACCGTGCAGCCCATGTTCCCGTGCTGGTATCCTGTTGGCCCCGCCCACCCATTCTTCCCCTGTCTGCTCTGAGCCGGGAGGCTGACCCCTGAGGACTGGGTTCCCGGACTCCCCTGCCCTCTGGCTTCAGGCTGGGGTCAGCCATTTAGAAGCACTGAAGGAGACTGGAGGGTGGAGAGAGAAAAGGCTGGTCGTTTCCTTCCACCCTCAGCCACAGCTCTGGCCAGAGCTCCCTCGGGGCTCCCAGGACACAGTTCCTTCCCCTTCCCCTCAGGCTGAGGAGTAAGAAGGGCCTCCCTCCATCGCCACTCTCTGGGCACATCACCAGTCCCCTAACCCACTTCCCTGTAAACAGTCCCTTCACTAAACTCCCCTCAATGCCCTTTTTGAGAGTACCAGTTGACTGACGGGCCTGAGCTCAGTAAAACACGGAGTGAAGGTGTGCGTGCGTGATCGGGGAAGGCTGGGACCAGCCTTCCTGCTGGTGGACGGAGCCGTCGGTAAGTGTCCGCTGCCCAGGCATCACGCTGAGCAGGGCCACACCGCTCTGGGGGTGGCTTTACTTCCTCAGGAGACGCGAGGCACTGGGGGCAGACAAACAGCATTCTGAGGTTGACAAAAAGTTTAAGTGGTTGTAGGAAGCCTTGTGCCTCATCACCATGCATTCAGCCTGTCTGGCCACCTCCGAGGAAGGCCCCTCCCCCCTCCGGTGCCCTCCGCAGCCCCCTGCCCGGGCTCCCCTGGCTGCTTTGTCTGCAGGAGTCCCTCCTGGGACAGATGCCACACCAGAGTGAGAGGATCCACCTGTCGGAACGGCACCAAGGAGAGGGACAAGGGGGGTGGGCAGGTGCCAGAGGTGGAAGCCAGGCCTGGAAGAGACTGGAGGGGCCACAAACCCAGGCTGCCCGCTGCCCGCTGGCCTCCCCCACTGAAACACAAGAACCCTGAGTACCGCTTGCTCTGCCTCCCGGGACCATCCCACCCAGACCCATGTGGGACCTGGGCCAGCTTTTTGAAAGGGTCCTGGAGCCTTCCATGGAGGCTGCGCTACCAAGGTGAACCTCAAGGGGGAGACCGTTCCTCAGGGGACTGGAGGAGGCGTAGGTTAAGGGAGCAGAGACGCTCGCCTGGCCCCCCCTGCTCCCACGGCTGCGGGTCTCGGCGGACAGAGATGGTTCTTGTTCATCTCTGCAGCCCGGGGACCCAGCCGGCGCCAGGTGTTCCAGGTGTCTGTGGGAGACCGATTGATGGAGGACGAAGGCTCCTGATTGTCGTAGACGGCACACTTGTATCATTCGGCTCCGCTTCCAAATCCCACTGCAATGGCAATAAATGCTGCTCTGAAAACTGGGAGGTAAGGGAAGAATGAGGCCCCCCAGCTCCTTCCCATGCTGGCTCCTCAAACACCCACGACCAGGCAGGAGAGACAGGGTACAGTTGCCAAATGGCCTGCTTCCAGCCCCGGTCACCAACGAGCAGGGGAAACCTCTCACTTGACAGAGAGCCTGCATCAAACAGAAGACCCCGATGCTAGGTTGTCAGGGTGGCCCTCGGGAGGGCCTTGAGGCTCCCTGTCCCCGGCCACCTGCTCAGAGAAAGGTGTCTGGGAAGCCGGGCCACTGCACAGGCCGCTTGTCGGACTCCCCGGACATCTGTCCTGTTATCCCCCGCCGGCCCCGCCTCTTGTGCTCTACAAGTAGGCGCCACTGAATGCACCCCGATATCTGGAATGGGATGTGACTCCGAGAAGAAATCCAGCTGGAGTCACTCAGCAGTGTGCTGGTAACTATTCAACCACCGAGTCTCTGGGCAAAAGAAACTCCAATCCGTCGGTGTTTGCTGACGTCAGGGGTGTAAATACTCCCACCGCCAAGTTCAAGCTGCCGACGTGAAGTGGCTGAGTGTGGAGCTGGGAGGAGAGGCCCACAGTCGGCTCTCACAGGCTGCCCAGAGCTGGCTCCAGTCCCCCACGGACTCACCCTGGGGGGCAGTGACCAGGGACTCACTGTGGTCACCGCTACGGGGCAAGTACCCTCTGCCTTCACCCTCTTTCTCCGGGAACCAGGGCGCACGAGCCTAACCAACCTCGGAGCCAGCTCTTCTGGACCAGCGGAGAGACACACGACGGGAAATCCATCCCCACCAACAAAGGCAAGTCAAAGGCGGCGGTCTTACATTACACTCCGGCTGCCGAGGGGGCCCCTCGAGACTGGGTTCGCTCCCTACATCACTTCCCCATCCTCCAGTGGCCGCTCCAGCAGGGGGAGAGGGGGCCTCATGAGAGAGCTGGGGTGTGGTCAGACGATGCATCTCTTTCTTGTGCTTGGAGGGGTGCCCAGCCTGGACCCTGGCATGGGCTTTGCTTGGGACTTAGATTCTGAAGGGGGTGAGGTTCCTGTCAGAGTGAGGGGACTAAGAAGCAAGTCCTTCCAAGTCTTCAGACCCCTCTGGACATCACCTTGCTGTGAAATACCCCTATGGTCTCAGTCTACCCCCTCAAAGACACCCATTCAGATGCCAGGAAAAGGAAGAACACACTTTAATTGCTGCCGAGATGGGAACCCCCCTGTACCAGGGCTGACAGTGGGCATGGCGCAGCTGTCCTAGCCCAGGGGGTCACTGCTCCCGGAGTGAGCAGCCCCTCCCCTCCAGGACGGGGGGCATGGGTGAGGGGCAGGGGCCTCTGGCTGGCACAGGACTGGGAACCTAGGAACGCCACAAAACCTTGTTAGCAGGAGGCACGTGGAAGAGCTTGCGGGTGTGGTCGGTGTCCCGGCGGTACAGGTAGCCACAGGTAGGCTTCTGCAGGGTGTAGAAGGGGCTCAGGCAGTTGGAGTACTGCGAGGTGTAGAAGTTGAACTTGGGCTTGTCCAGGTTCCAGCCCCTGGGGTCCACCACCACCGGCATATAAGCGGAGGCCAGAGTCTGCTCGCAGTTTTGCATCCAAGACCAGGACAGGGGAGCCTTCCCCCTTTTGCCTGATGCTGCCTTCAGCTCATAGCTGGGCACTGAGGGCTTCGGTGAGTCCTGGGAGGAAGGAAAGAAAGGGAGAGCTGTGGCATTGGACACTGGGACTTTGGCTGCTGGGGCAAGGGGCAGGACCCAGAGCCACTGGGAGCACAGCTCTGCGGGCTGCGGACCAGACAGACCCGGGGAGACCAGCAAGGTTCGCTCGCCTGTCCCCTGCAGACCTCCGCCTGCTTCTGGAGGCCTCTGCGAGCTCAGAGGCTGGGAGCCTGGGATCATCAAACACCCCTTCCATTCCTCCACGTGCAATCTGTCTGTCAGTGTCCCCCACTCTCCTCTGGCCGCCCTCTCCTGGCCCTCTGCCACCGCAGAGGTCAGGCATCCCTCCTCTCTCCTGCAGGGTCGCTCCAGAGCCCTACCAAGTCTCCCGCCTCCTACTCGCCTGCCTTTCAGCCTGTGCTTCACACTCACACTGAACTGCTCTTCCTGTATTAATGGCCAGATCACGGGGCTCCCTCCTCACAACACCTTCAGTCCCTACAGCCTAGAACAGAAAGCCCAAGGCCCCCGCCTGGAAGACAAGACCTCTAAGGATGAGGCTCCCGCACCTATGTTGCGGCCTCACCGTCGACCGGGCATCCCCCCCCCCCCCCCCCGCCACACTGCGCGCTTCCAGGCCTCCTGGGGCGCCCTCCCTCCCTGTGATCAGGGACATTCTGTCTTCCTTTCCGCAGAGAGCTCCCTCTCACCCTCATCCTCGACAGGACAGCCCGTGGGAGCCCATTCCTTCTTTCCACACAGTAAATACGGTCACGTGAACTGGATCCGGGAAGGGCTAGCCCCCCTTCTAACCCGCCAGCCCCTTCTGCTTTAGAACGTCCATTGTTCAGCGTCTCCTGCAACAATGCCCGCTCTCCGTGACCACCGCTGCCCGGCGATGGGGCCTGGGCGCGACCCTCCCGGAGCTCCCCACTGCACAGCGATCACGTGTACGCACATTTATTTTCCTCTCTGTCGTCACCCTCCTTGGCTATCCTCTGACATTTGAACCCCCACCTCTCTCCAGGCTACCGGATGTCCACTTCACGAGGGATCTTCAGAGCCAGGATGGTGACAGTACACCCCAAGGGACGAGACGCCTGTGTGTCGGGCTGGCTCTGTCCTGCTTCCCCAGCTGTAACTGTCAGGGGAACCCATTTCCTCTCTGCAGGGATGCGCCCGGGGAACTGGGAGGGAACCCCTAGCTGCAGGGTTACTGGTAATCCCTGGTACTCGAGTCCTAAGGTACACGCCTTTGTGTTTAATTTGCAAACTATTGGCACAATTCAAACATGCAGAGGGCTTTCCTAAAGGCAGCCTTTGCTCCTGTAGGTTCCTACCCAGGAGTATAGGTGCCTCAGCTCTGCATTTCAAAATTCTCCCTATCCAAGCCTGCAGCTCTCGACACCGCCTCCAGGAGGCCTCGGATGCTGCGGTGCCTGCCCCCTCACCCTCCTCCGGGCTTCAGGCACTCCTTTGGGGATGAGTCCCTCGCTGGGCTGGGACCAGGGTGAGGCAGGTGCCCCAGTTTCAAGGAGGTGCTCACTCAGAGTCGTGCAAGGGCACAGCCATTGATTGCTTCCTCGCGCCTGGCACCTGGGTGCTGTGCCCGCTGCACCCAGTCCCAAATCGTGGTCCTTCGGGCTCCTGCTAATGCTCCCACAGGCCTGTAAACCGCTCCCAGTGGTCAGGACCACACCCTATTCACCTCGGTCCCTGGGGCGCACTCCGTGCTGGCACACAGCCAAGCTGAGGGGGCAGCGAGCGGTCTGCAGCCTGCCAGCCCTCCAGGCTCAGCCCTGGGATGCGGGACTACAAGCGGAGGGGCAGGCACCGGACAGAGCTATGATGGTGGTCATCCACGGTCACTTTCCACCGCGGGCTCCAGTACCCGACTAAGTGGATTATCTCTTCTAATCCTCACATTAATTCTTCAAGGAAGGTGTTATTATTAACCCCATTTAAAGTTGAGGAAGGGGGACGTCTGTAATACTTTCAACAATACATCAATAAATAAAGTTGAGGAAATGAAGTAAGGAGGTTATGTGACTGGTAAAAAGCCAGGCTGGGATTTGAACCCAGGCCTGGCTCACCCCGAGGCCCACACCCTATTCTCCATGATGCATCCTGTGTCCACTGCACTGTGGGGATAAGACCTACCAAGTGATTTCTGCCCTGGTTCCCTCAACTTGCTGAGCGCCTGCCAGGTGTGCTGGGCGGCAGGTGAGCTGCCAAGGCCGCCCTCACATCCCCCAGGCTCATCGGGGGCCAGGCAGCCCGATGGCCCCGGTCGGCTGGAACACCGGGGTTTTGAATGCTGGAGTTTGGTTCCGGGTTCTTGGACCCTGCATGGACAGGACGATGCACTGAGAAGTGTGAGGTTTATAAATTATCATCTCTTAGCAGAGCTAAGGATATGACATTAGTTGATTCATTCATTCATTCATTCATTCATTCATAACGATCCCTCTTATATACCAGGCTCTGGGTGAGCAAGTAACAAAGACATCACAGATCTGAGTACAAATACAAAGTCCTACAGAGCAGGGCTTCTCGGCCTTGGCTCCTTGGCATCTGGGGCTCGATGACTCCTTGTGGCGGCGGCTGTCCTGTGCAGGACTGTTGGCAGCATCCCTGGCCTCTATTCACTCCACCCACCTCCCAGTTGTGACAGACAGAAATGTCCCTCATCATTGCTGATGCCACCGGAGGGCAGTGAGAACCGTCGTTAGGGAGTCCCTAAGGATCTCTTTATCCTCGGTGCTGAGGCTGACGGCCAGGCCCATCAGAATCTCCCCTTTCCTGACCACAGAAGCGGCTCAGGTTTCCTCCTGTTGAGGGTAATTCTGAGGACATGGGGTTCAGGTCCTTCAGACACCACAGAAGGACTCAGCCTGTGGCCATGGAGATGAAGGGGCTGCAGAGGCCCCCACACCCACCCGCACCTGCTCCCCAGCCCACCCTTCAGTCTTGGCCACTTGGACGCTACGCCTCAGTCTCGGGGGGCTGGTGCAGGGGTGACAGAGGCAGGTGCTTTCAGAATGGCTGGGGGTCCTACCAGACACCACACAGAAGGAAGGATGACACTCTTTGCTAACAGAATCGAGCATCTATCACGCGCCAGTTCTGCCCAAACTCCGGAGACCATCTGAGGTGTCACTCCCATCTCTCAAGTGCAGCCACGAAGGCTCGGGGGTGTCTGAGCACTTGTCTGACCCACGCATGGTGAGGTGGTATGTAAGAACCTTCTAGAAGTCCCATGACTAGTGACCAGTTAGTGCGGGAACCAGGAATGGAACTCTCTTCCCGCTCTGCCCAGCTCAGGCCCTGGCTCGGGCTCACCCGCCCTGGGTCTACCCGTCGGCTGTGTCCCAGCTGCTGCTGCTGCAGCACTCAGGACCCTAGTGGGGGAACGGAGGGTCCCAAGCACATCCAGGGATGAGGACTCCCCAGAACCCGGGACAGAGGAACAGTCTCCAGAAGGAGGAAGAAGAGGAGAGGAAGGAGGAAGCAAGAAAGGAGGAGAGAAGACATTTGGCAAAGCGGGGGTGGGGGGTGGGGGTGGGGCCCAGGCGGCTCCAGCCTTGTCCTGCCCCTTCCGGGGGCCTATCAAGCCTCCAACTGCCCAACCTCAGAGCGCTGAGCACGCCCGGCCCCTCCCCAGGCCCTGCGAGGCCAGCTCTGCAGGGAGGGTGGGGCCCCTCTGCATACTTTCTAGGTGAACATCTGGTTTCATCGAACCATCTCCTCCCCAGTCAGATCCTCCCTGCAAGTGCAGGTGCGTGTGTGCACGTGTGGGTATGTGTGTGTGTGTGTGAGACAGACTTTAGAACCGTGGTTCACAGCTGGGGGTGATCTCCCCCCCAGGGGCCATTTGGCAATCCTGGAGACATTTTTGGTTGTCACAGTGGGGGCTGCTACCGGCATCTGGTGGATAGAGGTCGGAGATGCTGCCGAACATGCGCAGGGCAGACAGCTCCGCAAGCACGAGCACATACGATGTCAGCAGTGCCGGGGCTGGGAACCCTGGTTTGGAGGTTTGAGAAAGACCCCTCGCCCCTTCCTGCTTCCTGCAGCCCTGGCGTAAGCCTTCCATGCCACAGGGAGCAACGAAATGCCCAGGGCAAGCAGAGGCTCCCACCAGCCCCTTCCCTCCGTTTTCACTTGGGGTTCGAGCGAGAGCCAATAGGAGGACTCCGAGGAGAACTCTGTCTCCATACCCCGCACGCCCGCAGGCAGAGCCCAGCCCGGCCATGCAGACCGACGTGCACGTGTCTGTTCCTCATACCCGGGCTTAGAATGGAGAAGAGGAGGACTCAAGAGTGGAGCTTTCTAGGTAGGGCCCGGAGACATTACTACAGGTCTTCCGGGAGGACACTCTGTCCCTCTGTCCTCTCAAATACTCCAGGCCCTGGCACACCCCCGAGCCTGGCCCAGGCCTGACATCCACCATCAGCACCTCCTCTTTGGGAGAAGGCCTCCTCCCTGTTGAGAGGCGAATGGCACTGGGTGAGGCCTCTGGTTCAGCAGGCACCGGGTTCTGCGGAACGTGCCTGGGCCTTGGCGGTTAAAGACCTGCGCTCAAGGCCTGACGCTACCCTTACAGGTCGGACAACCTTGGCCAAGCGGCCGAACCTCTCTGAGCTTCAGTTGCTTCATCTGCAAAATGGGGATAATAAGGCTGTTATCTACTTCATCAGCTGGCTGTGGGGGTGTGATGTGTGGGGACTGCACCAGCACGGTGCACGTGGTAATTATCAGGCTGGGTGAGCACACTCTGCTGAGCCTCTGTGAGAGTGTGTTTGCCGCACTGGGGGCAGGGGCTCGGAAGGACCTAGATGGGGAGGGGTAGTCGGGGCCCCAGCTTCCCCATTAGGCTGTGTGGCATTGGGGCCTGGAGGTCAAATTCCAGCTCCATCATCTACTAGGTACCTGAGCTTTTGGTATTAATAATACTCTGCACCTCAGTGTTCCCACCTAGGAAATGGGAATAACTAGAATCTATCACATAAGGTTACCACGAGCATTTCACGAGCTGTTTCATATGAAGTGCCTGGACCTCTCGAGCACGCTACGAACTTCAGCTATGCGATGGGGTAATACAAACTAAGTAAGAGTCATGGGAGTGTCTTGAGGATGTGAAGGGGCAGAAGAGCCAGAGTTGGATGGTTGGCCCACTTCCTGTCCCCCACCAGGCCCTACAGCAGGGAAACAGTTGGGCCATGATACTGGCCCCTAGGCCTTTTGTAAGAGGCCCCCAGCTCCTAGCTACACAGGTGGGCCAGGCCTTGCTACTCCTTCCTGCCAATCGAACTTCTGTGACCTTGGGCTGCCCTGGTCCAGCCCTGTGATATCACCCCACCTGGGCCATCCTTGACCAGGTCTTCCTCAGTGGTGAGCTGAAACTTCCGGTGGTCAGGGGCTCCAGGGGCTCCCAGCGTCTCTTGGGAGGCTACTGGGAGTGCCAAGGTGGGGAGGATCTGTGGGCAGTGATATTGTGATGTCTCTTTGACAACACAATTCCTTCTGTTTCCCCAGGAGACACACAGGCAGGGCTGAACTGAAGTTTCAAGGCCTGGGAGGGTCTTTCTTTTAACCCGGACATTGACCCACTCTGCAATTCCCTCTTTCCACAGTCTCCCAGGACCCTGAGCTGTGGGTAGTAAGGTAAGTGGAGAGAAGAGAAAATCATCCTAGTTATCTAGATACCTCCTGA